TATATAAAAAAAAAAAGATTTTACATCTTGATTTTTAGCAGTATTATAATATTTCATTGGGTATCACTAAAACAAATTTACTACAATTATTATGCTTTAGTGAACAGCATAAATCAGGATAGAGGGAGTGAGCTAACATAGTCATCTTGAGTGATCAAAGAAAAGAAATATAGAGGTGAAAGATTTTGATGAAAAGGGTTGCGTCTGTGTGTGAATGATGGGATGCGAGACTTAGGATTATGGCTAAGTTAGTAATTTTATAAATAATTTATAAAATTAATCTAGATTATATTATATAATAGTGTAAATTAAAAAAGAAAAAGCTAAATAAGCCAAGCCTACAGGCTTGGAGGCTGGGCCTTATAAAAATAAGTCTGCCTGTTTACTTAAATAGGCCTTGCAATATGCTTAAACCTGAGCCTGACCTATTTACTAAATAGGTCAGGTTAGGTTAGGCTTAAAGTAGGCTAGGCCGTAGATTTCTGATAGGGGCCTAACCTATTTTCACCCTACTCATCTTCTTTCGAACCAAACAAGATAACATTAAAATTCCTTCATTCATTTCTCTTCACTAAAACCTCTCTTCTCCCTTCTCCTCATCCTCTTATTAAAATCCCTTCCCTCCCTTCCCCTTCCCTTCCTTCCTCTTAGTTGAACCAAACACACTTTTAAGGAAAAATTGAGCTTCAACGGCTTTTTTTTTGGTCTGGTGCATGCAAAGAAAACCTTACTCTCTCGATCTTTAATAAAAAACCTATTTAATTAATTTGATTAAATTAAAGAAGTTAGATATATAACAAATATGACATATTTTTTTCTAAAATATTATAATTATCTTTTTAATATCCTTTCTCTTTTACTTACTTGATTATGGTTAAAAGAATATCTATAAAAATAATTTAAAAAAAAATAAAATAGAATAAAACTTAAGTTAATAATTATAATAATATTTTTTTTTATGATAGTAACTAATTAGGATGAATATAGGAGATTTTAGAGAGAGAGGGACGGAGTGAGAGGATGGAAACCTCTCTTCTCCCTTTCTCCCTATCCCTCTTATTAAAATCCCTTCCCCCCTTCCCCTTCCCTTCCTTCCTCTTAGTTGAACCAAACACATTTTAAGGAAAATTGAGCTTCAACGGCTTTTTTTTTTTTGGTCTGGTGTATGCAAAGAAAACCTTACTCTCTCGATCTTTAATAAAAAACCTATTTAATTAATTTGATTAATTAAAGAAGTTAGATATATAACAAATATGATATATTTTTTTTTCTAAAATATCATAATTATCTTTTTAATATCCTTTCTCTTTTACTTACTTGATTATGGTTGAGAATATACTATAAAAATAATTTAAAAAAAAAAAGACAAAAATGAGAAATAATTTTGTACTTTAAGTTAATAATTAGGCCTAAGTATAGGAGTTTTTATTTGGGAGAGGGACGTTGGGTGGAGAAAATTGTTATCCTTTCCCCAGATCAAATCAGGAACCCCTCATTGTCCCCGTTCTCATCAGTCTTGACGGCCGACGTCTCAACGGAAGCAGCCCTAGATGGATCTTCTGAAGCAGGAACTTCTCAAGAAGCGCCCAATCTCTGGCCGAAGACACTGGCGGCAAGCGAGTTTTCAAGCGGTCCGAGATGGAGCAGAAACAATCCAAAAGCTTCGCGAGCAGGAAAAGCGCGAGTTAGAAGCCAAATCTCAGCGTCATGCTACCCCTCCTCCCTCTAACGCTACCGACCCAACCTCCTCTTCCAACACCTCCAAGCCCGCCAACTCGATCGTCTCCAACGCCGCCTCGTCCGCCGCATCTACTTTCAAATCCCTAACGGACGAGCAAAACATCGACAACCTCGTTCTTCCCAAACAAGAGGTAATTCGCCGACTCCGGTTCCTGAAACAACCCGTCACCCTTTTCGGTGAAGACGACGATGCTAGGCTGGATAGGCTGAAATATGTATTGAAAGCTGGCTTATTTGAAGTTGACAGTGATATGACGGAGGGGCAGACCAACGATTTTTTGCGTGATATTGCGGAATTGAGGAAGCGGCAGAAATCTGGGATTCTGAGCGAGAGGAAGCGGCGAAAGACAGATGATGGGGCGGTGGAGGATGGAGATGGAGGGGCCGGCGAAGAGGATTTGAGCGCAGATGGTGGGTCGAGTGGCGTTGATGCTGATAAGGATATAAAGCGAATGAAGGCTAATTTTGAGGAATTGTGTGATGAGGATAAAATTCTCGTGTTTTTTTCAAGAAGCTGTTGAACGAGTGGAATCAGGAACTGGATGAGATGCCGGAGTCGGAGAAAGCGAACAGCCAAAGGGAAGTCAATGGTTGCCACCTTCAAGCAGTGCGCGCGTTACCTGAACCCGCTTTTTATTAATTTTGCAGGAAGAGGTAATCAGGGGCGATTAATATATTTGGACTCCTTTTGGTTTTTTAGGGAAGTGTGTAAGTTCGTGGTTTAAGCAAAAGCTTTGGATTTTTTTTTTTTTTCGTATGCTTCAAAATTTCAATATAACATTCAGTTTCTGTGTTCAACAACTGATTATGGAGATCCTCTAGTAGTGAGCATAACCAATAGCATCTGACTATCTGTGTCTACTAAATACGGAGTCATTACTTCCTTCTGTGGTTTGAAGTTATCTTACTTCTGATGTCAGTTGGTATTGCCTATGAAATTTAATGAGTCTTCATAGCTGCATTCTCCTTTTTTAGTTTGAAACTACAGGGATGGGACGTATTTTTGGAGGATATAGAGTGGTCAGAATTAGTTTTTAGCTAGGAATTCCAATTCTTGAAGCCCAGAAAAGATGCGAGCTTTATGTTACAATTCGTGGTTTAAGCAAAAGCTTTGGATTTTTTTTTTTTCGTATGCTTCAAAATTTCAAATATAACATTCAGTTTCTGTGGTTCAACAACTGATTATGGAGATCCTCTAGTAGTGAGCAAACCAATAGCATCGGACTATCTGTGTCTACTAAATACGGAGTCATTACTTCCTTCTGTGGGTTGAAGTTATCTTACTTCTGATGTCAGTTGGTATTGCCTGTGAAATTTAATGAGTCTTCATAGCTGCATTTTTAGCTAGGAATTCCAATTCTTGAAGCCCAGAAAAGATGCGAGCTTTATGTTACAAGTTAATTTTTGAAAGATTATGTCTTTACGGGACTGAGTTTGAGCTGTTTCTTTGGAAGAACTTGTGGTTATCAAATTCCTGTAGGGTCAGCTTTTTGCATCGACAGCTTTATTGATCCTGTCTGTTGGATGCTCATGTTCTTAAATCATGAGCCTTTTGTTTTTTTGGTTCAAGAATTTGATAATTAGATGTTAGTTTGATATGTGCATTCTGCTAACGGTGATTTGCATCCTGTTATAAATTTTTAAATGCATTTCGTAGTTTTGTTCAAGAATTTAAATCAAGGGTCATGGTGAATGCTATGTGCAGGTACTTCCTGATGATATCCGTCAGGCGTTAATGATTGTGGTCGAATGTTGCATGAAGCGAGATTACCTGGCTGCAATGGATCATTATATAAAGCTGGCGATAGGGAATGCACCCTGGCCTATTGGTGTTACTATGGTTGGTATTCACGAAAGATCTGCCCGTGAAAAGATTTACACCAATAGTGTAGCCCACATCATGAATGATGAGACAACACGAAAGTACCTGCAATCAGTTAAGAGACTGATGACATTTTGCCAACGCCGCTATCCAACGTTGCCATCTAAAGCAGTTGAGTTCAACAGTTTGGCGAATGGTAGTGATTTGCAGTCACTCCTTGCTGAAGAGAGGTTTGGTGGTGCTAATCAGGCGTCTGAGGAAAGGCTTCGTATAATGTGTGGGCCAAGAGAGAGTTAGCGACTGAGGATATTGCTTATATTGGAATATAACGTATACTTTCTTTCTCCTGGTATGACGTAGATCATGAGCCTGTTTGGAATCACGTTTAAAAGTGTTTATAAGAAGCACATTTCGTGTAAGCTAAAACAAAATTCTTTTTACATACTTATCTTGTATTTCATGAATCACAGTTTAAAAGCTGTTTATAAGTAATTCTAGACCGGCCTTACGTTTGTTCACTTGACGCTCGTCTGTTTCTGCTACTTAAAAGCTAACTAACCTGGACGTTGCCCATGTGCATTGCGCTCCAAAGTGAAGTTTTCCCACTCGTGGTTTGAAAACTTTTATTTTTCTTTAAGATCGTGTATTTATGTGGGTACTGGAATCTCCTTAGAAATGATCATCCGCATACAAATTCGTCTCTTTTCTTAGAACAGTCATAACAAAGCCATGAATACCTATTGAAGAATTCTAGTTTTAATTTCGTAAAAAATGAGTTATTTTAAATAAATTTCAGCTGTTTGAATAATTTGAAAAACAGTCAAATTGTGTTAAAGAATAAGATAGATTTTTGACTTTTTCAATGATTTAAATGATCATATTCAATGCCCAATTCCAAGTGGATGGAAGAAGAAAAATATCTGGCCAATATAGCTTGTTTTTGGTTTCTTCCAAAAGGATTGTCGTCGTTGTGAGAACAACTTTTAATCGACTTGAACGCTCACATTCGGTATTTTCTTTTAATCAGATCGTGCGTAACTATGTTATTTGATCGTCACTTTGCCCCGTCGGAGCAAAGAGACTTGGCATTTGCAGAGAACGAATAAAAAGAAAGGAAAAATCACAAAAAATACTGTGGAATTAGAAAAATTACACACAGAAACCGGTTTATAAAAATTGTTGTCAAAATTTATATTAACCCATACTGTCATGCTCTAATTTATAATTTTTTCAATTTCATGATTTTTTTTGGGATTTTTCCATAAAAAGGAAAAGAAGTAAAAGGAAGTATGTAAGAAAAATAAAAAGCACAAGAGGACAAGGTACATGGCGTCCTTCGATACAGAAGGAACCAATGGACAAAAAAAGGAAAGAGAAATACAGAGAGAGAGGGGGGATACGCAGGCGCGTAAGCTGTGTTGATAACCCGCCACGTGGCCCAAAGCGCACAAACACTTGGCGCTGCGATGGATTCTCTCCTTCTGGCTATGGGCTGTGGCAGAGTGAAATATGAGTGTCCTAATATCGACCTCCACGCAGCACCTCCCGGTAAAGCCTACAGCGATGGATAGTTCAGTGAACAGCCCCTCCTCATCAATGGCCAAGCGTCCCTGTCCTTCCCAAATCCAAAACCCTAGATTCCAAAATCTGAACCAGGTGGACCAGCTCCTCGAAAATTTCCTCCGCCTTTCCGAATTCCCTTCCCTCTCCCTCGATCTCTTCTTGGAGAGGCTTCTCTCTTCATTGCCCACCGATGCCGATCAGACCCTTCTCATCGATCGCGCCCTTCACATGGGATCCATGCTTCTCGATGCTGCCAAACACTCTTCCCGAAAGCGAGCCTCCAAGCACAATTCTTTGGCGTGGCCTCTCCCTTCTGACCTTACCGTCAAAGTATGTGCTGCTTGTATTCTGTGGTTGATCGCGTCTGTTCCTGGATTTTAATTTTCTTTCTATTTTATATTTTTTTATATTTCAGAAATTGTTTGTGGCATGTTGGTTATTTCTTTTAATTGCTCCCTTGCTCTTCACTTTTGCCGGTGAATTTGATTATGGTGCCTTGTTGCATTAGGATGCTGCTTCTGTTATTTGCGATGGTGACTTTATATAAATCAATCTCGTCGATCTGACTGGCAACTTCCGCTTCTGTTTGGCTTCAAGATTTTCCTATTTTGTAACCTGAGCATTGAATGCTGGTCATTACGAATATAGCTTAAAGTCACTTTATTCTACTGTTCCTCGCTTTCCCTCGGTGCAGATATATCGTTTCTATTTTGTGTGGCGAAGTCTGAAGGTGTTGTTTTTCCGCGACACTTTATGCTTTAACTTTGAGGCGGTTAAAACAATGTTGGAAGTTTATGTGTGGGTTTGCCAGCGATTTGATTGTATGATATTGTGTCTGTATATATTTCTAATAATATAGTCGGGTCTTCTGATTATCCTAGCCATGAGGACGCAAAATAATAGAGATAAGATTACTTTTTAGTAGTGCTGACGCTCTATTCTTGATAATCTTTCTGAAGGAAAAAGCGGTTGTGTGTGTAATTTGGTACCCCGGTTTTATAGGTTTTTAACATGCTTGTATAAGGAAGTATGTTGAGTATTGATCATGTGCCATGACTCATGTTTTGCAGGTGTTTTCATTGCTTGATACCCAGAGCCTATGCTATGCGGCAGCTACTTGTTCAATGTTTAACAAATGCGCTGGGGATCCTTTGTGCTATGAAAATATTGATTTGACAACACATGTTCCCAAGGTTAACAATGCGTTAGTTTCCAGGATGATTCAGCAAGCTGGAAAGGCCTTGAGGTAGGAACTTTTGAAGCGCTCTGGTTCTTTCTATGCTACAATTAATTTTGTTAGCATTTAAACTTTAATTTACTGAGCAGTCGATGACAATTAAAAAGGATGTATATTTTCTTATAGTGAGCTAAAAACATGACATAAGTTTGATGTGCTTTATTTGTTTCGTTGTTCTCTCTTTTCTGCATCGGTGTTCATAATTTTAAAGTGACTCATCTCTAATGATATATTACTTCCTCCTACCACTAAATTCTTGCTCCTATTGGAATGTGGTGTTTTAATGGTCTAAATTCAATCTTCTGTGTGTTTTTCTTAGAATGTAAATTTCGTTATCTCTGATTTTATTTTTCAAAAGGAAAAAGGACAGAACTTTTGTTGGTCATTTGACTTCATGATTATTATTTGCATTATGATCTCTTTTACCTAATTATCATTTTCTGTGCATCTGTTTTGGTTGTTTTAATAGGTCTCTTAGGCTCGGTGTAGTTGCTGGTGCTCATGCGTCACCAGGATCCTGTCAGCCATTGGTTTATACCATCAGAAATGCTACTGTAGATATATCTAACTTTTCATGGAATGACAAGAGATCTCGGCAAGGGAGAGAGTCATCCATTCTGACTAGATCCTGTTTAAACCCTTTAACCGGATGCGGTGGTGCTCCAGGGTATGTTGGGTTAGACTTGAACCTTCTTCTCCGGATTTATTTTCCACAAAATAAACTGTCAGATTTTCTTTTTGTAGGACTCTTCTGAGAAAGTTGCACTTGTACAATATTGAAAGAATGGATAATACATCCCTTTCTGCGGCGTTAGCAGCCTGCCCTTCTCTCCTTGACCTGGAAATAGTTGGACTGTAAGTTTTTATTCGCTCTCTTGGGTACCCATTTCTTGAAGCTTTTGACCTAGATACTTTAATTATAGCTGGTTTACTATAAACTTGTTGCTCTTTTATGTTATATTCAACATGCTTTATTAAATTCAATCAGCATAATGATGGTTCCTTTGCTGGAACTAAGAGCTAATTTGTGACAACAATTTATTTTGTAATCAGCTGCTTATGAATTTTCTCAGTAAAGTTTTCTCAAGCGTCCGATTTCTGTCCTAATAATCATTTTATAAGTATTAGTATTTTCCCTCATTTTCCACTATTTTATTTCTTTTAGTAAAAAAGATTATTATAACATTATTGATAGGGAATTTTTTGCTTTTGTCTGCTAGTCATGTAGAACTGAGGCAAACATTAATGTCAGTGAGTACGAGCTGCCACTTGATTGAGCGATTGTTTTTTGAGTCTTCAAAAACAGGTATAGTATGTTTCTAGCTGTATTTTGACTTGAGGATCTCTGCATTTACGGATATATACTTATCTATTTTTTTCTTATTAGGCAGAGACGACAGTTTGAAAATGCAAACCTGCTTTCTTCTTGTTAACAGTTGTCCCCATCTAACTTCTTTGTCCCTTAGAGGGTTTAAGTTACATGATTGTAAAGTTCGCATACTGCTTAAGGTAAGTTCCCAAGAACTGTATGAAATTCCACATATTGTGTTGATATAAACGCAAATAAACTAACATGTGTACATGCTTCCAAAGCTTTTGCATTGTGGGTATGTTGGAGATTATGAGATTTTGGTTAAATATCTCAGTTTCTGGTGAATCCTAGGGAATAATTACTCCCTCTGTTTCTATTTGTAGGACATGATTATGTAAACCACTTTATGTATGTCTTAAACCTACTTCCATTTTTCTGGTTTTACCCTTATTTAATGCTCCCTTTATTTGCTAACGTTTAATGGGGAGGGCAGCATTTATAGCAAGTTATTTCATAGAGTCAATAGGGACATGTTGGGAAGAAATTTAAAATGCTCCTCAAATTTTGTAATTTTTTTTTAATAAATACAAACAAATCACACTCCAAAATTTTGTCTGCAAATAGAATGGCGGCAGTGCTCAGCAGACAGTAAAAGTACCCCACCCCCTTAAAAATATGGACATTTTATTTCGTAATTTTTTTAGTGATTATGTAAGACATCTGCCAGGTAAGAAGGGATTGGGGTAGTGTTGGGAAGGGATTGACTCTTTAAGCCAAGCTTCTTATATGCACTTAACTGGCTTTTTCATGCGCTGCTGCTCTGCTTGAACCTTGGTTAATGGCTGTTGGGGTACATTGTCAGTTTTGATAGACTGATAATTTGTCTTACATATCTATAATGATACTGAGTTCCTGAGAGTCTGCGTGCAAACTTCATTTGTCTAGATAATAATAACTTGGAAGTGGCAGAATCTGTAGACATGTATATGCTTGTGTAGAAAAATGTGTTTGCAGACTTGCCTTCTTTGCTATTGATGTGTGTTTGAAACCAGCATCTATAGCCAGACAATCTCCTATTTCACTCTCCCACCTCCTTCGACCAAGGAAAAATTGAAAAAACTTGACCAGAGTGTCTTACATTCTTCATACGAGAAAAGTCTCTTCTCCGCTATCAGGGTGACCTTGTTTTGTTGATGCTGAACCTGGGTGCTTGTACATGTGCAGGGATTTCAGAAACTGAAATATGTTGATTTTTCAACATCCTATTCAATCACTGGAAACTTTTTAAGGTCAGTTATTTATATCTGGATAAATTTTCTCAAGACCTCCTGAGATTTTATTTGCGTTATGATTATGTCTTAATATCTTCCAGAAACCTTGGAAGTAGCAATGGAGGCAATTTGCTTGAGGTATTGATTTTGAGGGACTGCATGCATCTGAGAGAGGTGTGGATTGTAATACATATTCATTTGTTCCCTTCTTCCCAACCTACTCCTCTAAAACTTTTAAAGCTCTTGCAGGTGGAAGTTGCTAGATTGTTGGCAGCAATTCTTGCAGGAGATTTCAAATGTCTTGTACATCTTGTGGGTACATAGAAATATATAGATTTTGCTTAAGTGACAATACACTGAAATTCTGCTAGAACTCTTTTTCCGCTTTTGTAGTTCTTACTATTGGCTTTAAACAGGACATATCCAATAGGGAAGGCTTAGCATCCGAGGGTGATTGGTATCACAGGTGCTGCAACTCCAGGTAATGGTTTTCTTTATTAAATGCATTAACTCTCAGGATGGCTTATGTCATGATTATCATTCAAATGTCAATTTTGTCTCTTTGCTGCAGTATCATGCCTATTAAACATGTTTTGGAAGCAAGGCCTGATTTGTGTTTGCTAGCTGAATATCCATCAGAAGGAAGGTAAGATGGCTCTCCTAATAAACCTTCATACTTCCGGGGGCATTATTTTCCTATTTCTTACTGAAATGATGCCAGCTGTGGTTTTCCGGATCATGTTGCAGTTACATTGAGACATTTGATGCTGAACTGAGTGGTGATACGAGTTTCCCGTTACAATTGAGTTGCCATACTTCAGAGGAAGTAAATTGTTTGAGTACATCTGAAAGCAGCTACAATAGTGATCAGGGCAGTGGCAATGAGGATGGTCAAGAAGCCAGCTATGTGATTTATGAGGAAAGTTCAGATGAGATAGACTTTCTGGCCCTGTAGGGGATTATCAATCTGTGGCATTAACGGAAGAGGACAATAATTTAAGGAACTAGGTACTTTCTTTCTCTCTCTCTGTGTGCGGAAAATGAAATGGTCACGAGTTGGTTTCTATTTAATAAAAGCATTTATGTGAACAGGTTTGCTTTGTTTTGTTGGTTGATTTTAGGCCACTATTAATTAGATGTTTGATGTGTACATGTGACTAATTGTGTTCGATCTCTGGATGCATCCTTCTATCATCTTAAATGAGGTTTTTGCAATTCATGTATTCTTAGGAAAATGGAGTAGTATTTTATACCATCTTATTCATCACTAATAACTGTACTACTTCGATGCCTCAAAACTCAGTGGAATTTGCAGTGTGTTTTTGTTCAGAATTCAATGCGTTTTACTTGCTTTTCCTAATGTTTCTAATCTATGTTATATATATACATGCGCACACTAGGGAAGCAGAAGAGCAAGAAGGATATGGCGTGTGCACTTCTGGGTAGTGAATTCTGGCAACTTTGCTTTTGTCCTGGCCTTCAACGAAATTGATATTCGTAGATCTGGGAATCTTCATGAAGTTTGGAGGTATCCGGTTTTGCAGTTGGACGTTGTTCCATGTGTGGAAATGTAAATTTTCTGCCACATTGGGAGCCTGGTTCTCTTCGTTTCCCGCCTCTCCAATAATCCCCCCCCCCCTTTTAAGTTCATGTTTATTGAAGAAACCTTTGAGTATGTATTTCCTGTGTCCTTCTCATGTTTTTCTTTTTTTTTGGGGGGGGGGGGTGTGGGGTTTGTGCCTTGCTCCCTTTTATGTTCTGGCAGGCGCAAAGTATGAAGAGATCTGTCCCTTGTGGAAAAATAAAATTAGAAATGGTTTTGAGACTAAACTATTTGGCTATAATTTTGTTTTATATGCATGTATCTATCTATGTTTTTGTGTGTTCCATACGCACGCACGCAGATTTACAACAATTTTCCCTTAAAAAAACAAAGAAAGAAAATTTGAAAAAACATGGATCTATCACCCCGAAACCAGCTCAAGAGAATAGAACACATTTCGACGTTCCTGTCAAGTGTTCATGTCATAAATGTGACATGCGGGCGGGAGGGCGGGCGGAAACTGCTTGGTGGAGCTTTTTGTTTAATGGTTCCGAAGCCTATAGTGTTGACGCTGACAATTTTCTGACACTTAGATTAGGGTATTATCCATATCCCTTCGGACTGCCTCTAACGTGTGATTTGGTAGTATAACTTGGTTCGACTTAGATTACAGGAATTATATTTCATCTCTTAGTGCAATTGGTATTTGAAACTTGGGAGGGCGGTGGAATAGAAGTTTACTGGATGAAAGGTCCCTTTTATCTCCCGTGGAAGGGATAGTGGACTTGGGCTCCATTACTTATAAGGCCGAAGCTAGTTGGGAGACTCATGAGATGGCGAGTGGGATGGTTGAAGTCATTACTGGGAGGGCCGCTATAGTGCTATGCGATATCTGTAGTGCGTTGATTAGGGATGACAATGGCATGGGGATTTTGGTCTTCGCAGGACACTGGGATATGATGCCAATTCTTTTTTTTTTTGGTTAAAAAAAGAACACCGGGATAGTGCACTATGCTTTGCACGTGCCGTTGCTTGTGAACGCAAGTTTCTATAAAATTTATCTCGTACAAAAAACTTTGTTTAATAAAGTCATATTCATGTGAATATGCATTATTGAATCCCAAGGGGTTGGTTTAGCGATTGAAAAGCATCATTCTCAGTTTATGAAATTAATGTCAAGAATTCTTCCACTTGCAAAATGACGGAGACGAAGTTAATAGGTATTATATGATACTACTTCTGGTCTTAATTATAAGAGCTAGTTGATTAATTTGAGGATATTAAGGAAGTAAGTTGAGTTAGTTATTTGTTCTAAATAGATATTTTTCTTAAAATATCCTTACTAATCAAATGTATTGATTAGAACTATTATTGTTAGAAGGGCTACTTTGGAAAAAAAAATATAAAAATAAGAGATAAAGTGGATTGGGGTTTGATATTTAGGACCAAAATAATTGATAAGTTCAGATAAGTTCCGACCCCACGTGAGAAAAGAGAAGATACAAATTTTTTTATTAAGAAACAAATTTATTTAAAGAATAAAACGGTACATATAGCCTGAGCTTCAATGCCTCCAACTGGCCAAAGCAAACCGAAGAAACTAGGGAAGCCGGATTTTTTTTAAAATCAAGTTTATTTGATAATTAAGTTAATTGAATTGACCTTAGTATGAGTAAGTTAATTTACACACGCACAGAGAGTAATTAAAAATATCATTAAAATTTAACAGATAACTAAATTTTTAATAATAATATAATGATTGTATGGTTGAACGGTAAAATCATGCAATTATTCACAATAAAATAATATTATAATATTATTAATATTACAATAATTCATGAAAAAAGTAGCGTAACTCTTTTTTTTTTAAAATATGTCAGCTCATATGGAATATGCAGGGCCCCTCTGGTATACGCTAGCTTTCAATAAATAAACAGGGCTATCTGGGGACTGAAGATGCAAAATTGGCAATAAAATAATTTTTGAAAACAATTTTATTGTTCTTTGTTTTTTTTTCTCAAAACAATTTTTGAAAACAAAAACAAAAGAATTTGTTTGGATAATAATTTTAAAAATCATGTTTGAAAAACAAATCATAGAAAATCACACTTGGTAGGTGATAGTTATCGCTAGTAATAATAAGTGGTGGGTAGTAAGTAAGAAAAAAAGAAGATTTCTCAAAATTTTTCAAAATAAAAAACACAAAAACAAAACAAAAAAACATGTGAAAGTTGTTTTGGTCTTTTAGTTTTTAAAAACAACTTATTGTTTTTTGTTTTTTAAAACGAGTAATTAAAAATAAATTACTAAACAAGTTTTTTTGTTTTTATATTTTTAAAAACAAAAAATTGTTTTTCAAAATAAGAAATCAAAGAGGCCCAGAGTTGCTTCGTTTTTTTTTTTTTTTTAATTTTGCCAAGAAGTGGAGTTGTGAAGTTCTTCTTGTTTTTTTATGTGAAATTAAAGTTGGGCCAAAAAAGTTGCGAAATCAAAGAAAAATGCACAGGGCGGAAGTATTTATGAAATATTTTCCTCTTACAACGCTGCGCCTGTTGGCGTGATTGAAAAAGGGGAGAGATGGCAAACAGTACAAGCAGCAGCAGTAATCAGCAATACAGACCTTACCGCCATCTCAAAACCCTAACTGCTCACCAACGCGCTGTTTCCTGTGTCAAATTCTCCAACGACGGTACCCTTTTGGCTTCTGCTTCGCTCGACCGAACCCTAATTATCTGGTCTTCCGCCACCCTCTCGCTCCTCCACCGTCTGATCGGTCACTCCGAGGGCATCTCCGACCTCGCTTGGTCTTCTGACTCTCACTACATCTGTTCTGCTTCCGACGATCGCACTCTCCGCATCTGGGATGCTCGGGCCTCCACCGGCGGTGACTGCGTGAAAACCCTCCGTGGCCACTCCGACGTCGTCTTCTGTGTCAATTTCAATCCCCAGTCTAATTACATTGTCTCTGGTTCCTTTGATGAAACGGTTCGGGTTTGGGAGGTCAAGACGGGCAAGTGTATTCATGTAATCACCGGTCATTCAATGCCTGTCACCTCTGTGCACTTCAACCGAGATGGTTCCCTCATCGTCTCCGGTAGCCACGATGGTTCTTGTAAGATTTGGGATACTAGCTCTGGCGTTTGCTTGAAGACCCTCATCGACGATAAGGTCCCTGGTGTTTCCTTCACCAAGTTCTCGCCCAATGGCAAGTTTATACTTGTTGCCACTCTTAATGACACCCTAGTAAGTTCGCCGTTTTCCTCTAATCTTGTCATTCGTCAGAATTGTCCTTTCACCTCATTAGTGGCAGTGGATCAACTCTGCCTGATAATCTTACGGGGGTTGATGTGCCATCATTGGATTGGTCGATCAATTACCCAATAGACTACTTGAGTGTTTTATCACTGATGGTGATGCAATTATCTATATGATTTATCAAGCGGGCGGGCTGTAAAACGCGCATGATCATATGATTATTCTCGATTATCTTCTTGTCTTCTCCACTTTTTAGTTTCTACTGTAGCCTTCTGACGCTCCAGTTTAGTTTCAATTAGAGTGGTCTCGTCCCAGACATAGTAGGAGATTAATTTAGAAGAAAAGTACGGAGTTTTTGGCATTGTGTTTTGCCAGTAATTGGCTGACTGGTTCGACCAATAGGGACTTTTGCAATTTATATCTAAGTGACTTTCAGAGCAGCAGAGGATATAAACGTCATGAATCCCTTGGGTTAGTACATAATAATAAATGAACAAAGGCTGCTTTTGAAGTGCCTATGTCTAAAACCTGTTAAGACGATGCAGCTTAGGATTACAATTTTTCTGTTTTTTGATATATTCGGAAAGTACATCTTTCTATGGTTATCTCTATGTCAACCTTCAGTTTGAGTATTAAAACAGACTAGTTAATGAGTAATTCTGTTGGTAATTTTGTGTTGAATATTTCAAGTTTGGGATATTGATTATGTAATGGGTTTGATGAGATAGTTCTTCTCTCTCTCGCTTTAAATGTGAGCTTGTACTTCAATGTGTTGCTGATTGTCTTTTATATTTCTTCCTGTGGAAACAAAATGTCTGTATGCAGAAACTATGGAACTACTCAACGGGGAAGTTCTTGAAAATTTATACAGGTCACGTGAACAAAGTATACTGCATAACTTCTACATTTTCTGTGACAAATGGGAAATATATAGTCAGTGGATCAGAAGATCGCTGCGTTTATTTATGGGATCTCCAGTCCAAAAATATGGTTCAGAAACTTGAAGGCCATACAGATACTGTAATATCGGTTACCTGTCACCCAACAGAGAACAAAATTGCTTCGGCTGGCCTGGACGGTGATAGGACTGTGAGGATTTGGGTACAAGACCCCTGAGTTGGACCGAAATTGTATATGGGATATTCATCTGTGCCCATCGTTATAATTTTCTTCTAATTTTCAATTCTACGCTTCCTTAATACCTGGAATGAAAGCTCTTGCTCACGCATTCAGATATGTTGTTTTGAGGGAGTTTTCTTCCTCATTTGTCATCTTGGTTTGACAATTGGCTGATTCTCTACATTTTTGGTATTTCTAAAAATTAGTTTGTCAAAGTCCACGAGTTAACAATGCACTGCTTCTGATTCATCTATTACGAACCAATAATGTTATTAACGTGTATTAGATTTTACCTCTTGCAAGAGAGAACTTGAATCAACGCAACTGAATTGTACTAGGAAGTGGTATTATTAACATGACGCGCATCGGTTTTCTTCTTTGCAACGCGGGTTGTGAGGGAGGATGACCTTGAAAGCTAAATGTGAGATTCGCGTCGGATTTGGATGAATTAAGGATGATGCCGTTACCAAGAGAGAGATTTTGAAATACTTTGGTTAACTAACCAGACTAAAATCCTAGTTTAGTTGAATGCGTTGAAAGCAAAGAATTAGCCTAACAATCTTTTAGGCATGATTTGTTTTGTCAACGATATTGTTATATCCTTTATCAATTTGTCATGTTTGGCTCCATTTGAATTTAGTTTGTGTACGACATTTAAAGGTCATTTATTCACAAAAATTGCAAGTAGTTTTGGAGCATTGCGTGTTGTGCCATACTAGTGTGAACTAAAATGTACCTCTTTTGTCTTTTTTGAACTCAATTTTATTCCCTGCGTTGCACCTAGAGGTGGAGATCTCAGTACAGTGCAACTTGGTTCACTCGTGCTTTTTGATATTGAGTTTGATGTTATGGTTACTTGAAAAGATAGAATGTGAGATTTGGACCCGTTAATTCCGTGGCTTCAGCAGTTAAAGAGTTGGACACTCTCATCAAAAAGAGAGGGTTCAATTCCTAAGATCGTTGCGGCACTTGAGAAGGTATATTTAAAGCCAAGATTTGTCACCTTAAATTAATTGGCTGATCAAATAATTCATTAGGTGTACATTCAGAGATGGATAAAAAAAATTTTTTACTCCTATTTTTATGTAAAGGATCTAATGGGTTGGGTGGTTTTTGCTATCTTTTTTTGCTACGGCACTTGATGATGGGGTTAATATTTAGTTTTCCGGCTTTCAGATTGTAGGTGAGCCCAACCTTCTTCATAAATTTCTTTTTTAAAAAAAAAGGAATGTGAGATTTGGACAAATTTAAGCTCCGCTTAGTGAGAAACTGAAGATTTGAAAAATTTCTAGTCAAGGGACTAGATTAAAATAAAATCATAGTTGAATTGAAGAGAGCAGAACAAATTTTTAGTTATTTGAACCATTGAAATTTTTACAGATATAGCTCAAACTTATGATGTAAGTATTATGGAGTTGATTTGATATCACCTGAACCAAAGACTCTTGCCGGACAAAGTATTTGACAACAATTTATTAGGCATGATTTTCTTTTTTGCTCAGTTGTTTTTTCACACTTCAAAATTAGCTCAAATGAAAGTGACGGGTTTAAGCATTAGTTTAAAGTTCAAATCTTTTTGGTGTATTAAAAAAATCATATGCTATGCTTTCATTGAATTTTGGATGAAATTAATAGTCAGTGACCCTATCAATTATCAAATACCTGGTTTAGACTAAATTTTTCAAATATCCTATGAAATCTTTAAATCTTAATTTGCAATTGATATTAAATTAAAGTCCCTCTAATTAAAACTCACTATACATCAAGTAAGATGCATTTTTTTTTCTCATATGTTATATTTGGCTCCATTTGAAATCAATTTAATTTGTACAACAAATTTCAAAGTCACTCCTCGAAATACATGAAAACTGTCTTGAAAGTTTTAAAGCATCGTGTATATCGGGCAATGACATGTATGGCAAATGATTCATAACTTTAGACAACAAAAATGTCAGACAATAATAAACTTAATTTTATTTTTTTAAAAAAAATTTACATCAAATAATGCTATTGTCAACATTATGTACTTTGGCCTCTCTCTCTTTTCAATGGCGTTGATGGTGCGGTGGCTTTGAAAGCTAGGATGTGAGATTTGGATGAGTTATTAGGGCTTCAACTAAAGAGAGATATAGAGATTTGAAACTATACCTTAGTTGATGAGGAACTGATCGAATTTAAATATTATCTAAACTCAAAAGATTTTTTTTTTTGGTTGACAAATATCTAAACAGATTAAAACAAAGTTTTTGCCTTTGAATTCATGAGGCTCAGTTCGTTTGCTTTGTTGACAATTTTGTTGTATATTTCGTTCGATTTAAATCTCAGGCAGTATTGACATTTAACTCTCTCTCTCTCACGCACACACGCATATATACTTTTCGGTTAAACTGTAACTCACATATGTTTAAATTATTGAATGAATAACATGTAAAAATAATTTCGTAACAGTAATTATAAAAAGGGAAAATAGCAAAAAAAAAAGGCTGTTGAAATTAAAAAATTACATATAAGGACCTGTTTATAAAAATTATTGTCAAAACCTATACTATTGTTGTCAAAACCCATACTAATGTTATAACAGGTCTTGATTTGTAATTTTTCTATTTCGACAGCCTTTTTCTGTAATTTTCCCTTATAAAAACGATTTTTTAACATTTATATTTTTTATCACCACAAAATACTTTCACGTAATAAGGGAATAAAAATCTCTTTAAATTATTTGATAATGGTCATCATTTGGAAAATGGAAAAATAAAACGAAGAAGGGAAAAAATGTTGGTGCACGCATGCGAGTTGCTGCTTAATCCGCCGTATGGCTCCAAACGTGACCTTTGTCTGTGTCTGAGTTATATGAATGAAGAAATGAAATAGAAAACAAACGTCAGCAGTAGCTCATACTCATTTCTCATGTCCAAGCAATCTGCAGAGAACATATTCTACTGCCCAGAAACTGATTCTCGATGACTTCAATCACAAGTCCAACTCAGAAGGAAGATCACACTCTAAAACGGCAAACAAAGTAATCCACAGTAAAATTAATCAAATGAAGACGCAAGTTTGTACAGCTAGATTCGAAAAGACGAAGAACAAAACAACGAGTACATAAAATTCAATGTAAACTAATGACAATTTCCCCCAAAAGATGACGACATTGTTGAAACATGAAGTCTAATTAATTAGAAGTTTGGGTTTTTCAGTCACAATAATGAGATTACAAAACCCCCAATCGACTATTCAATCTTGCAAGCATACAGAATGAGGGAGAAGTCACGACCTTGCATCGGGTAGCTATGTTCCCTGAGTTGCTGAGTATAAGCCCTTGTTACTGCAGGAGAATCCTCATCAGATTGATATGAGCGCATCTTCTGCAACGAGAAGTGAGTTTGGAACAAGAAAACTGCACTGTCTGTATCATCCCCAAAGAGCCAACCATGAACATCCCAGATCACTTCCACAGGAAAGCCATTCACCCACATGGTTTGGTTACCTCTGAAATTCCAGTCCAGTCGCTGCACCTCCATAGCCACCTTTTTGTCAACCAGAATCTCAAGACAAGGCGCTCTAACAACTGTGTCAAAGCCAAACTCAATTGTCACATCATGTATTTGCCCCTTATCACGAAATTGAGTCTTTGCATTGTAATATCGCTTCCCATATATGTGTTCTCTCCTGGAAATTAAAACCACTTCTTCACAGTGAGGAAGGTCGTCATTATCTATCTTCTTCAAGGCCTCCCTTTTCAGATCACCCAGGAGTAGGACCAGTTCTTGGTTGAGTATAACAGCTAAATAAAACCCCTCCAATGGCTCTGGTCCGTGAGCCAATCTAGCACCGGTTAAGTCCCAAAACAGGTCGACTTTAGTGGTGTCGAACAGTAAAGTTTGGGAGCCTTTTCTTTTTGAGAATAACCACGGCTGTATTTCGATTTCATAGAGCCGTTGATCGCCTGAGTCATCCATTGTAACAGTCAGGTCTTCCCCCATGAGATTTTTGGTCCACGACACAGTGATCAAGCAGGAATGACCTTGTGATTCACATTCATAGACACAAATAGCCACATTTTGCAATGCTCTTGTGGTTGAGATAGACGATTCAGCAACCTGAACGTCATTTTCCCCAAAGCAAGGGGGAAATTCCTTCATGGCCCCGTTACTATAGAGAACTTAATATGAACTTTTCTGATCTTCTCTGAGTTCCTTTTGGCCTCTATCGCAAGTGATATGCGATGAGCACAAAAGGAGCAGCTATAACTAATAAGCTTCAAGATTGGCTTTAAAATGCTTCATTGTGTGGTGGGTCTGTATTTTCTGAGAATGGGATGCAAGAGGAGGGAGGAGAGAAGGCAGAAAAAACAGATGAAGATGAAGAGACTCTTGGCCATAACTTAATTACTCCTTCCCTTTTTTTTAGGGCAAATTATATTACAATTTTGGTTATATTTATTCCTAGCTTGATTCATTATAACTTAGAAACAATTATATGTTATATTCCGGATCTCAAAGTCATAACTCTCTCGAAACACTCGAGAATTGTCAAGACGGTTTTTTTGTTAAATCTGTCAGAACAGTTTTAAAGTATTGTGTATCGTGCAATTGCATGTGCACGAAACGGTGATTCTAATCTTAAAAATGACAAAATAGCCGAATAAGAACAAATTAGACTTTATCATCTTCTGTGACCCAAAAAAAAAAAAAAGAAAAAGAAAAAATTCTGATCCTTATTACTAGCTTGCACTAGGTGTGATGGTATGGTGATGGTGTCAATGTTGATTTTGATGGCAAGGTGGCTTGAAATATTATGGCTTCGACTACAGAGACACTGAGATTCTGATATACTTTGATTAAGGAACCAAAAATAAAAGTTTTTGTCTATATTTCTCAAGCACAATTATACCTTTGCTAACAATTTTATCATATAAATCTTCTGTTTCCACAAAGCATTAGATAAAATTAACGTCTTGATAATAAGTATTTAATTATTTAATTAACAAATCTTTATATGTAATGAAATCTCTAATCTTAAATGGCACTTAAGACACCATAATTTCTTCCCTAATATGTCATATGTATGTTTGGTTGCATTGGAAGTAAGTTTGACCTCCACACATCTCCAGCCTGTCCCTTGAAACTAAGTAAGTGTTATCAAAAGCTAAGATGTGAGATCTTGATGAATTAGGACTACATATAGTTATTGAGAGTCCTGGAGATTTAAAATATTCTAGTCATGGAACTAGATTCAGATACTAGCTAAGTAATTAGCCAGTAATCCTGCATTACCTTTGATAACAATTTTATCGTGTCTTTATTTTCCATCAAATATAAAAAGGAATTAACATGTGACTTACATTTACTTTTTTTTCTTTCCCCAACGTGACTTACATTTATTTATTTATTAATAAATACTCAACTTAGAGTCTAAATTTTTCAAGTGTGCTCTGAAATCCTTAATTTGAACGGACATTAATCAGGAGTACAATTCCTCCTACGCTGCAAATTAAAAATAACTTGCTTTGTTGGATTTGTATCCATGGTTTTTCTTAACCGTCACTGAAGAACTGCCTCCATAGCCTGCTCCTTTTTTTTTTTTTTTTGTCGGTGCTAAACTCATCATAGACGAAGCAGCTGAGGAATCAATGTTTTTGACTCCATCAAAAGGAAGTTTTAATATTTGATGCATTCCAAGTTATTATCAGAAACACACAAGGATTGTTAGTTAAAAACAACATGTATAATTGCATCGTGACATATAGCAACCAACGATTCTCAGTTACTGAAAACAAAAGAATGTTAAAGTGGATCAAATTTCAGCTAACCCATGTTCTTATATGCCAATATTGAATCGCACTGCATAGTATACAGGGATGTTGTTAACGTATGAAGACGTTGTTTTTTTTCCTTCTCCCTTTCAGCGTTGATATGAATTTGATTAAATTTCAATCATTGGGTGACGTTAAAATTTTGAAGTTGTTTTCATTAAAAATTTTCGTTTTGCTTATTACTGGCCAACTGGGCGCAACCAATAAACTTCACTCTCACACGGCGTTCCTCTTCAAAAGCTACCACCATACCCTTTGTTTTTCATTAAATTTTGATGGAATCATAAAGTGAATGACAACATAGATGTTGTTTTCAACAAATATTTAGTTTAGAGTTTCTATTTTCAAAGACTGAATTTTTTTTTTTTTAAACTCACTGTGGATGAAACAAGTAGAGATTTTTCTTCTTCCAGGTTGCTATTAATGTTAAAAAGCGTCACATTCACCATCCATTTTCGTTACACTTCATTTATGAATTCAATTTTGTTCGTCTATCACGTTCACATCATTTGTTTTAGCAACAATAATAATAAGTTATTGCTAAAATAATAATCCTGTCCTTGCCAGTGCCGTGATCAAACACTGACATGGCCTCTGCAAAGATTTTCCATTTTCTCTGTGGCTTTCCATGAAAATGGATTCGGCTGCCCAGCGATCACAATTTCTTAATTACCGTTGGCCTCCGACCATTATCCCGTACTAAAAAATTAATAAATTCATAACGGCAACCAAGAGCCCATAATATAAATGCAGATAATAGGTTTTAGGGGTGGGGGTCACACTAGATCAAACAGTTGCCAGCTCCTCACTGATGGGCTAGAGCGTGGCATGTGACCCAGGCCCATTAAAAAAGGTGGTGGATTTAGGCCCATAGAAATTTGATTTTTTTTTTTCTTAAATTGATGTGAGCGCATATATATTATAAAGAGGCAGAAAAAGAACAGAAAAGTCATGACTCATGATACGCTTAACTGGGTCGCTTTTGTAACCCGAGAAAAGTATCAGTTGGATTGTGAAGTCTATCCATCATGATAAATCCGCAACACAGGAAAGCGAAAACCTTGAACAATAGAAAAGGGGAAAGAAAGGAATGGGAAAAAGGTGACGAAGGGGAAATCCCGCGAGCATAACGAGAAAAATCCAAATACTGTCTAATACGTGCGTGTGTGTGTGTCTATATATAATGAAACGGAAAAAACAAAACCAAACAGGAGGCAACCTCTCACTGTCGCTGTTGCCTTCCCACTAAAATATTCAAGTCAGGCTCCTTCGCACCCATATCATAAGGGTTTGTTGTCATTCCTTCTGTTACTGTGACTTCTCTTTCCTGCTCCCTCTCCATAACTTCTCTACGCCCACGCCTCGCCACGGGATCGTCTTTTGCGCTTCTCATCGTACGTTGTCGAAGAATTTCCTGCCTTTCCTACATTGGTAAGCTTCCTACTTCCCATCTTGCCACATTCTCTTGCATTACCCTCCTCGTCCTCTGCGCCTTTCACCTGCTTCTAATACTTGCCCTTTTCTTATTTTTTAAACTTCAATTTCACTGCCCTACTTTCCTTTCTTTCTCGTTGAAACTTCCCTCGTACCCTCCCAACAGGGCCATCTGCACTGGACCTGTGCAACCCTTCCGTTAGAGTTTGATGGACGTCTTACGAGTGTGGCTCTCAGCGTGCGTCAACGGAAAGTCAGTGATTGGGGCTAGGGATTTGGAGCTAGGGTTTTGTAACCAATGAGAGGGACGCTCAGAAATTGGAAGCGATTGGGGAAGCAGTAGATAGGCAAGCTTTGCGGGAGGAAAAAAAAACTGTTCCAGGAGAAATGGCATGACCTAAGAATGGAGGTTCCTGTTTTGAAGGGTGAGGGTTTGGCGCATGAAACAGAGGCATTAAACTCGACAAATCAGGACAATCAGGTGAAGCCTGTTATACAGCACCAAAGGGTCTTCGATTGGGATTCTAATAAAAATGAAAATATCAGGTTAGCCGAAAATGGGAGCAAGAGGAGTAGTTTAAGCTGTGATGATAACGTTGGAGGAGTTGACATTGGAATGGGGTTGAAGAGAAAAGATTATTTGAATGATCAGGTGCAGATTGGTGGTCGAGTATTGTCCTTAGTGTCCGAAGGAGCTGACAACAAGATATCTGATGATGCAGAGGCACTAAACTTGACAGTTGAGAATGAGGATGCGGAGCCAAATGTGCAACAAGAATGTGACTTAGATTGGGATATGATTAAAGGTGGAAGTGTGGGGTTTGTTGATGACGGGAGTAAAATCAGTACTTTAAGCTATGATAATAACATTGGAGGGGTTGACATTGAGGCGGAGGTGATGAGGAAAGTTTATTTAAATGATAAAGTGCAGATTGGTGGTCCACTATTGCACTCAGTGTCAAAGAGAGAAGTCAGTAAAACATCTGATGGAGAGACAACTGAGAATGGGGAAGTGAAGCCGGTCAATCAACAACCACGTGACTTAGATTGGGATGTGAGCAAGAGTGAAAATGTTGAATTGACTAAGGCTAGGATTAAAAGGAATACTTTAGGGTCTGATCATATCTTTGAAGGACTTGATATTGAGATGGATTTGAAGAAGAAAAGTAATTCAATTGATAAAGTGAAGACTAGTGGTCGAGTATTGCGCTCAATGTCAAAGAGAGTAGACAGTAAGATATCTCATGGTGGAGAAGCTGATGTGGTGTTGATTGCAAAAAATGGAGAGAATGACCATGTTTGGTTTGAGAAAAATAAGGTTAAGGTAGAAAAGGAAGAAGGGGGTGATTTTGTTATTAGCAGTTATAATGAGAAGGAAGTTGTTGATGTGAAAATGGATGGCAATAAAAGAAGGAAGTTGAAACGGAAGCGTGGCAGGCCCCCTAAACTGAAGATGGAAGAGCAAGATCAATCAGTTGGTAATATGCAACAGAAATGTGGCAGTCCTCCCAAATTGAAGATGGAAGAGCAAGATCAATTTGTTGGTAACAAGCGACGGAAGCGCGGAAGGCCTCCCAAAGTGAAGATAGAAGAGCAAGATCAACTAGTTGGTAAGATGCAACGGAAGCGTGGAAGGCCCTTCAAAGTGAAAGATCAACTAGTTGGTAATATGCAACGGAAGCGTGGAAGGCCCTTCAAAGTGAAAGATCAACTAGTTGGTAATATACAACGGAAGCGTGGAAGGCCCCCCCAGATGAAGATGGAAGAGCAAGATCAACTAGTTGGCAATATGCAACGGAAGCGTGGACGGCCCCCCAAAATTAAGATGGAGGAGCAAGATCAACTTCCTGGCCAAAAAATGCCATGGAAGCGTGGAAGGCCCCCCAAAAATGGGCAGAAAATTAATCATCTGGAAATAGCACGAAACAGAAAAGGAAAGGCAGGCTTTCAAAAAGGCAAGAAAGGTGTAACTGTGAGAAACGGTACAAATATGAATGCAACTGATGATATGTGCTTGGAAAGGGGATCTTGTGTAAAAGAATCAAAAAAGAGATTTTCTCCTGTTAAGAAAAAAGAATGTGGGAGTCTTTTGAAAACCAAAAATAGTGCATTGACTTCACCATTAATAACATATTCTGCAAATCCTCTCATTAAGAAGAAAGAAGGAATGATTAAAGAGAAGCAGGTGGTGAGGCAACGCATTTTGGAGCTGCTCTTGGCTGCAGGCTGGATTATTGATTACAGACCTAGGAATGGCAAAGAGTATAATGATGCAGTGTATGTTAGTCCCGATGGAAGGACTCACTGGTCTGTTACCTTGGCCTACAAAAGGCTTCGGAAGCATTCTGAAGCTGGTGATGGTGAAGGTAAGGTATACATTCCAGGTTTCAAATTTGTGCCCATACCATTGGAGAAATTCAATATCCTAACTAAGCTTGTTAAAAAGAGAAGGAAAGATAAAGGTAAATTGAAGCAAACAGGAGTAAAAGTGAAGAGAAAAATGTCACTTGTTGAGGAGGACAATTTAGACAATACATCACATAAGAGGTTTCCAGTTCTTGTCAAGGATCGTAAACGGCAGAAAACGCACAATAAGAAGCAAAGTGTCTTTATGGTTCGCAATGCTGAGGAGATAGATTCGGAAACTAATGGATATGTACTTTATGCTGGAAAGCGAACGTTGATTGCTTGGATGATTGATCTGGGGACAGTCCTGCAAAATGAGAAGGTTCACTATGTGAATGACAGAATAAAAGGTGGAAAACTGGAGGGCAGGATCACAAGAGATGGAATTCATTGTGACTGCTGCAATGAAGTCGTAACAATGTCAGAATTTGAAGCCCATGCGGTAAGCAGTTTCGCTGATCCACTCAAAAATATACATATAGAGAGAGGAATTTCCCTTCTGCAATGCCTGCTAGACTCATGGAATAAGCAGAATGAACATGAAAGAAAAGGCTTCCATTTTATTGACACTACAAGTGAAGACCCTAATGATGAAGCATGTGGTGTCTGTGGAGATGGTGGAGACTTGATCTGTTGTGATAAGTGCCCATCAACATTCCATCAAAGCTGCCTAAATATTAAAGTATGTATATTCTTAGCATGAATATGTGGATTTTTTCAATTAACTTTTTGATAATAGTTTATGTTGGGCTAGGATCAGTTTGTTTTGACAACTGTATATTTCATCACCAATGCCTGGCCAATGGCCATCCATTGTTATTCTGCCTTGCAATTTTTTTTGTTGTAGGTTTGTAGGTTTGATTGCTCACTACCCAAAAAATACCCCTTGTTATTTGCTGATACGAAGTCATTATTGTTTAAAACTTCTTATGGATGTGCTCTCTGAGCTTTCAGCACATTGTTTGAGAGAATTAACAAAAACAAGTCATTGTTACATCTATAATATCCAGATGTATCTATGACAAAGCTGCATTTGGATAAGGAACATCTATTTTTCCTTGCAGGAGTTCCCACCTGGCAACTGGCGCTGCATTTATTGTTGTTGCAAATTTTGTGAGCTGGTTGATGGAAGTACAAATGAAAGAACTGGCCATGATGACTTTACTACATCTGCTTTGCTTAGATGCCGTTTATGCGATCAAAAATGTATTTGTTGGCTTGCACTTGTGTTTATATTAATTAAATACTCATATCTGAGTATGGATATCTTTTTTTACTGAAAATGAAGTAAACTTTTATCGTATGCAGATCATAGATCTTGTGTCGAGGTAAATGGTATCCAAGCTGATGACTCTAATTTTGCATTCTATTGTGGATACAGATGTGAGGAGGTATAACTTATTCATGTTCGTCTGCTTGTAAATTTTAGTTAGTCAGGGCTGCAAGGCAACTTGACTACAAGTTGTTTTGTAGTAATTGTGGTAACTTAGATTGTGGTAACCTTTCTATTTGCAACCATCACTTCACGTTTCTAGAGCAGAAAAACTGTTATGCAATAGAGCATATCATCAATTTGCTTGTTACTGGTGGTTGTATTTGATTATTATCAAACACGTGATAAAATGAAAATACGTGACTGAGTTAGGGTACTAAGTATTTATTCCCTTGCCAGGGTAATGTTCTTTTCCTTTATGACTCAAAAAGACTCCAGTTTTTCTAGATTTTTTGCCCACATTTGAGGGACTTAGATCTCTAGTTTTCTCATACTGCAGACTACTTCTGGTCATTATGGTGAAACTGATGTATATTGCTTATTTTGTTTTTCCAGTTATCCAAGGGACTTGAAATGCTTCTTGGGGTCAAACATGACATTGAAGATGGACTTTCTTGGACTTTCATTCGCCGGTCAGATGTTGGCTATGATGCTTCACAGATTGAATCCCAGATGGTTGAATGCAATTCCAAGCTGGCTGTTGCATTATCTGTAATGGATGAGTGCTTCATGCCATATATTGATCATAGAACTGGGATTAATCTCATCCACAGTATTCTTTATAATTGTGGGTAAGTTCACGTGGCCTTTATTGCTTATGTCATTTTAACCACACTTCCAGGCTGACTGCATGATAGAATTTTAATTTTTTCCTATTATTTCTCTTGAAACGTGGAGTTTTGCATTCTTTTCCTTGACCCCCTCGGGCATTTTCCTTTGTGTTTCAATGATATACTCATCAGGAGCCTCTTGTGAGGTTTGTAGTTAGGCCACAGTACTCAAGGGTATGCTGAGTTCCTCATATGTTCTTTGTCATTAGTACCGAGAAACTTTTATCTGAAATTATGTCTACAATTATATTTGTCCATACAGTAGAACATCCAGATTTTTTTAATGTTCTCCAAATAAATCGCATTTACCAATCTCTATATGCCTTTTTTCAATTTGATTATAACGATATTTTCCGATTGAATTTAGCATTTTTACCCGTGGTCGTTTAAATGCTTCGTCTAGTCCAGTTCTGTTAGAAATTTCCCTATTTGTTGCCTCGTTCATGGTCACTTGGACGTATGTTGTCCTTTCTCTATCTCACAAACACATCGGTCAGTTAATGTAAAATTGAAGTCAAGATATTTTTCAAATGATTTGCATAGTTTTTGCACTCACATCTAAGCCTTGAATTGTTTTCATAGATCAGTATTATATTTTGTATCACATGTTATGATTTATATTTAAGTGTCCTTTACAGTTCAAACTTCAATCGCCTGAGCTATACTGGTTTTATTACTGCTATCTTGGAGAGAGGCGATGAGATCATTGGTGCAGCATCTATTAGGTAAGCAGCTTATTAACTTCCAGATCAGTGGTTTAGTTACTGGGCAGTTAAGTATGGAATTCACTTTTAATCATGAACATTTCATGGGGTTAAAAGAATTTTCTGGTTTATATCCATGTCTACTATTTCAATACCTTCTTTGCGTGGTACAAAGATTGCAAAGCTGGCCTGCTTTTGCAATGACTGAAAAGTTACCTGTCCTGTTACACATTTGATAACTGACAGTTTCAAATTTTAACAATGTTTCATCTAAAAAAAAAAACGCAACTTCTACTTATATGTATGGCCTGGCTTGAAAGCTTTTGGCTGTATGTTTTTCAGAAGCCCATGTAGAGCTTAGAACATTGCGGGTGTTGTCAAATGAGGTTTAGTATGTTTTAATTTTTTTGAATATTCACACTTATAACTTAATTTGTCTTTCCTATTAAAGTGCAAAACTTCCTTGCATATGTTCACTTTCGAATTATCTATGTGCTGAGACTTAGATATGTAAACATATGTTTGATTTGTTTGCTTTCTCAATTATAATTGTTATTAAAATTTATGAGTGGTTTAGGGCTAGGTTATTTGTGAATACCCACTGGATTGATGAATTGTCCGTTCTCTCCTATTACTTAAAAAATTAATCTAAATTAAAATTGTGCATTTACAGTTACAGTTACATGATTATTAAAATTAAAGAATAGACAGTTATGAAATACTATTTTTAGGGGGAAAAAATCACTCAAAACAGATATTCTGAGTCCTGATTGGTATGGACCTAATGGCAGTGACAATTTTAGAGACGAGAAGAACTAGAGAACAAAAGGAAAAAAAATAATAAGCATATCTTACTTTCTTTACATAAATGATCCTTTTAACTTTGTTACTATTGTTAGAATTGAGATGCAGCCATTCGATTAGAGTACAATAATCATCCAATGCTGCTCTTTTATTTACCGTCGAGGTAACATATTTGAGCATTTTGCAAACCATTGGAAGTTTACCTGGTTACCTATTTTCTACTATTGCTGCTGCAAAGTTGCCTTTATTCAACTCCATCTAGATGTCATTTTAATTAACTTTTTTCATTCGATTTCTTCCCTGTCACCAAGAATCAAGTAAGTAATTTGAATGTGATGGCGTATCATATACTCTCAACTCTCAGATCAGCCTCTTTTGTACTGCTTTATTGAATATGTATTTTATGCCACTACTCCCCTCCTTGTCAGGCTGCCATTTATAAAAATCATGTTCTGTGAACTTTGCTGTTTGGGCTTGTGGAAAAAGGTAACAAGTTCATACTGATGGTTCTGTCAATAAAATGGTCAAACAGGTTTCGAGGGAACCAACTAGCAGAAATGCCATTCATTGGGACCCGCTATATGTATAGGCGTCAAGGAATGTGCCGTCGGCTTCTGGGTGCCATTGAATCGGTAAGTAAAGAATCAGAGCAGATATCTACTGATCTTTGGCATCAGGTTGAGGGTGGACTTCTGATTTGGCTACCTTTAGAAACACTAGCTTTTGCATAACTACTTATGCTTATGCTGCAAGTGTTTCCTTGACATGATGTGGGCTGGTATAGTATTTGCAAGTTTGATCCTTACCATATCATTGTTTAAATTAGAACTTTTCTGCTTATAGCTGCCTTACTTATGTAGTTTTCTTCATTTAATCTGTTTCTAATAGACAAAAGTACTCATGGTTATGACATTACTTTTTGCTGATTTCGAACTCTGTTTCTCTGCAACCATGGTCAGGCACTTGGCTCTTTGAATGTTGAGTTATTGATCATACCAGCAGTCTCAGAAGTCAGAGATACTTGGACTTCTGTTTTTGGGTTTGAGCCGCTTGAAGTGACCAGGAAACAAATGATAAAGAATTTCAGTCTGTTGGTATTCCCTCATGTAGATATGTTAATGAAAGAGATAAAGAAGCCTAAAGTTGCTGATGAAAATCTGATTCCTATAGAAGGTACGTGTTGGCATATAGGTCCTTTCATATGGTTAAGAATGCCTGGACGTCCATAAACACCTTTAGGTCCTGTTTGGTACGGATAGGGATTGTGATTAGAGTTGAAAAAATCTATTAAAAAAAAGTTTAACATGAGAAATTGCTTGTTACATGGGATTAGACAAACCCATGTATGTGAATTGGGGAATCCCATGTAACAAACAATTATTCATGTTAAAGACTTTTTAATGATTTTCTCAATTACAACCTTGGTTCTTATTTCTCATTTTAAATGTTTCATACCAAACAGGACCTTATATCCTTTGTTTAGTGTTTACGTCACTGAAAATAGAGCTTGTTTCCGTAATAATGCAATTTGGTGCAGTTTCGAATCCCGAAATTCAGAAGAATCAAAGTGCATTGGAGGAAGCAACTGCCTGTGATGAGCCAAGTTCATCTGGGTCTGATTTGATCATTTCTGCTGGGAGTGGGATCCCTGCGTTGGATATATGCCCAGTGAATGATAGACATGTGTCAGTCGTATCTGGTTCTCCTCATGGCTTATTGGATAACCCACATCACATTACTAGTGAGTCTGTAAATCCTGATCCGAGTCCACAAGATGTAAAATGTGAAGTTGGATGCCCTGCTGTCGGTGATAGTTTGACAGTGGAAGGCATGACTGCTTTAAAGGCACATGATTATGTTAGTGCTGCTCATGTACAAGCTGAAGAGATAATCAATCGTGACTGCGTTCAATCGGATCCCCTAGAATCGAAAGAAATAAATTCTGAATCTATCAATGGCTGCGTGTCTCAGCAGAGACCCGGTGGTTATTGTGCCGTGATGAAGTGAACCTCGAGACCACTAAAGCTGATAAATCAGGCGTGCGTGTTGCAAAAGCAACCAATCTCCATAGTTTCGTACATTCTGGAGATTGCCAATCAGTACGGATAGCTTCAGGTTCCTTCGAGGATATCGCAAACGGTGTAAATGAGAGGAGTGAAGCGGCCATTACAGCCGACGGGAGCTCAGATCTTAAAGATAAGCCTGGTATAAATCGATCTTCAGTGCTACCTGAGCTTGATTTACAGGTCAATCAAACTGGACAGCGTGACGCTCCATCGTTGTGTGGCAGCTCAAGCAGTGGTTCCGGCATGGTTCTTCACTGTGCATCAGCTGGTGGTACTTCGTGTGGTAATACTGAAGTTATAGTTGTGTCCAACGAAGCCAGTTGAAATCTCTGGTCTTTTTTTGTTTGCGGGGAAGGGCACATTGATCGAAGTCCCTCGCTGATAACCAATTTGAGGAACTGAGTTTTGTCTTTGTATCTAATATTATTCTGTAAGAAAGGAGATGGGAATATTGCTGTTAGTATGTAGGGCGGCCTTAGCTATAAACACAGGTCAGGAGGTTAGCTCCAATTTTGTTGGGGGAGTGATAAAGGGGACGCAATTAGGTTTGTGTAATTTGTTACTCCACATGGTTTTTGGCAAATGTAAATGGAGTTAAGAAATGATGTCCCGAAACTTGCTTCTATTTTTCGCATTGTAGTAGTAGTTTGTACAAAATATTAAAATTCCTGGTACCAATGAATTTCGTCTTCGTTGACCCAGACGTTCAAATATCGAGTCTTGTTTTGCGAGTACTGGTTTTTTTAATTCAACTTTGTGGATGGCACAAGAAGCTCAATGGAAGCTAGCTAGTCATGACAAGATCGGGAGGAGGGGAAAGTGCCCGGCCGACCGACCACGATGGAATATATATATATATATATATATATATATATATAAAAGTCTTTTAACTTTGGTTCCGTTACATATAACCTCCCTCATCTTTAAACATCTAAAAATCACACCCTCAATTTTTATGGTTTGACATTTAACCTCCTCCTACAGTTATAATGATCGTTAAATCTAACAGTGTAGATGTTGCATCAGACTATTTTAAATTATGTGGGAGATGACATGTAATTTTCATTATTTTTATTTATTTATTCCGACTAAAAATCATAATTACACTAGAGGATATTTTTGCCATTCTGCCTATTATAATCTCTGGTTCCTTTTCATGATATTGTCTTCCTCTTCTCTTCTAATCCCTCAGCAAGTCGCGAGTGCTCCCCCTTTTCAACATTTTTTTCATCCTCTTCATTCAAAAAGTCATGCTCATCACATTCTTCCTTTAAATCTGAACCTTAAAGTTGTTTTCAAAGTCGGTCATCATCTAAATCATGAAAGCTTCCCAACTCATTATACATTCATCATAGTCAAAATGTATATCTCCATGATCCACGAGTTCCCTCTAATCATTTATGGCATTATTTTTGCAGGTGGTTCGCTTTACTCTGCAACTTCTATATTTTCGAAGAAACAAATCTGGTTTTGGTCAGCGTCACTACTAGGAAATTCAAAGCCAATCATATCAACTTTAATGTCAGACTCTTCATCAACCCTTTGATCTTCTTGCGTTTCACCCATCTTCTCTTCTCAATTCATTTGTTCCTCGTGTCGGGAAAATATTCATATTTGCGGAATTGCTACGTTTGTTTGAAAATCTTGGGATTCTGCAGATTATGAGACAGTTGTTTTGGGGATGATTGGGCAAAATAACAAGATTCTGAAATTAGAAGCATAAAAAATTGGTATTGCTGGGAATTTAAGAAAATCAGAGGGCTGGGATGCACAGGGATAAATTTTTGAATGAAGATCATAGCAAGAAGATGAAGCAAGTGGATGTATAAGGGAGACTTGCGCGGGTGAGAGACGGAGAGCAAAAGGAGGGGAATTGGTGATTGCTATTGTTAGAATTTTGAATTACAATGCTGCCCTTCAGTTTTAAGCCAGCATAAATAAATAAAGTAATAAAAATTGCATGTCATCTGCCACATAATTTAAAATAGTCTACCATGGCATCTACACTGTTAAATTTACTGGTCATTTTGACAGTAAGGGATTAAATGTCAAATTATGAAAGTAGATGGTGTGATTTTTAAACTTTTAAATATAAGGGAGGTTATATGCCATAGGGTCAAAGTTAAGAAGGGTTTTCTGTATTTTGGCCACATATATATTTATTTATATATAGGCTTTGAAAGAAAGGGCATGTTTTACTCCTGCAACTAGTCCTATAAATAAATTAAATTAAGTGCACATTTCTACGCCTTAAACTACATGGAATTATCATCAATTTTGGGCGAGGCTTACAATAACTGGACATGTAAAGCCATCACAGTTTTTTAACTATTATAAAAATAGGAAGCCTCGGTCTTCTACTCTTCTCTTACCACTTCAGTACAGAGGCCTCATTTTTGTTCTTTTTCCTTCCTTTTTTTTTTTTTTAATTTTCCAACCCGACTTCAATAACGGAGACTGAATCTTTGAATAGGGTTAAAAAAATCGCTGGCTGGAATTTATGAGGGTGTTGGGACATCCAGTTAAAAGGGGGGAAAAATTGGGATTCCCTGACTCTGCCCTTCTGGTAGTACTTACTGAATTGACTATTAAGCTGCATTGGCCTCTTGCTGGATATTTGTCTGGATGCAACCAGTCTGCGAAATTAAAAACTAATTAAGCGGTGACCTCTCAGTTGTTTATTCATGTGAAGTTGTCGCAATATTCACTGTCCGACATATGGTTAATCTGTGGGGTTTGATGATTGCAAATCGTCACCACAGTTTAGCTCGACTGTTTGAAAGATTTCGGATGCAACTTCTATATTTCCGAATTCATATAGGTTCCAATTTTCTCTTTGATTAACGATTCCGCTTGCTAGTGAACTCTCTACAATCTGCAGCCTTCTTTTTTCCCAAAAGAGAAAAGAAAGAAAGAAACCGTAAAAGGAGCCTTTTGATTTAGAAGCCAGAGTTCATCGTTAATGTTAAAAATGCACTTGCAGAGCCAGTATTAATTATTTCTTCATGGCACTCATCTTACTCATGAAAAAACAAAGCAAGAAATCGTCATGCTGAATTTTGCAAGGAAAAGTGTAGCAAAATGATGAGATGACATTACTGATGAGGAAAAGGAGCTAAACAGAGCTATGAAGTTAGTAAGATTAAAGCCCAGGAGGGTAGTGTTGAAGTCAGAAAAGTACCCTCATGACATTCTGTCAAGTGTCAACCAAAGAAATAAAAATAAAAGACCCCAAAAAAGGAAATTAAGAAAAGAAAGAGAGAAATATAATAGCCAGTTTTATAGATTCGAAGAAAACAACGAATGAGGGGTTATCACCTTTTAATTTCTCCAGGTTCGGGTAATTTCCCACAAGGATAAGTCCATCTTAATCACGAACTGACTAAAAAACTGTGGATTAGGTGGCACCCACGCCGGCGGCGATGCTACCCGAGGGAGGAGGCGGGGATGGCATGAGGTTGACGAGAAGATCGGCGAAAGCACCCACAATGTACTTGTGGGTGTGTTTGGGATTCAGAGCAAGATAACAGAGAAGAAGCTCATGCAAGATTTCCCAGTTGGAGTTCACATCCCTCAGCTCCGGACGCGCCTCCACCATCTCCTGCATGGATCGTCGGAAGTCCAAATAAGGGTCCGGCGAGAAGGTGGGGACGGCCACGCTATTGTCGAAGACCTTCTTTTTCTGACCGGCGGCGGCGGAGGATTCCACGATGGAGTTAGAGCGGCCGGGTGAGGAGAAGAAGAAGCGTCGGGAGGCGAAGGCGGTGGCCAAGTCTGGGTCATTGCCGGCGTTGATGGAATGATCCGAGGTCGGGTCATAAGTGAGTTGAAGTTTTTTATGAATACAGAAGAAGACGGGGTGGCGGGCGAAATAGGGTTGTCTTGAAGAGTGCTGATGGAAGAAGCAGACGAAGCTTCAGGTGATATTAATGGCCGCATAAGCCTGGAGAAGCACTGGTTCAGACTTCTTCCTAGTGTGCTAAGCATACTCTTCTCTACTCCTTAATCTGCTCCTTCGACCCACATGTGCAGGTGCCATGGAAAGGTTACATATTTATATGTATATTATTATAATATAATGGGAAACTGGGAACGTACGCTTGAAGCTGCATGTGGGTGGCTTGTTTTCGGGATTCTTAATGCCCAGTCGCTGACGAATACAATAATTAACTAAGTTGGAAGATATATGCAGTAATAAGCTGCGGATTAAGGCATGGTTGTTTGAGATAGAAGGCAGGTGCACATGGTGGGAAGCTGTAATAATAAAACAAATGAAGGAGAAGGAGACACGGAAGTCAGAAGAAGTGGCAATTTTATAATAAATAGAGTATCAGAGTACATGGATAGCTGCTCATAGTTGGTCCACTTCATGCACTGATCACAAATGGGAAAGGGATGGATCATGCGTGCTGCATATATTTATTTGGTAACCCAATAGACAAATATGACAAGGGGGACGGGGGACCTGGCCTGAGCCGGGTCCCACCCCATGTCCAGCTTTAAACGTAAATTAGATCATAGCCTGATGATAGAGGCAAATAGAGAGAGGGGAAGGGAGAAAGAAGTGAAATTGGAGGAAGCAGGGCTGTGCAATTGCAATGGACAAAGGATGAAAAGAACGATTCGTGGCTTCTGATTCTGAATAAAACGAATGGACGTGTCCAAACTGAAGTCAATAAAAATGGGACGTTGGTGTAAATTTTGAAGCCAGGGATGGTCCAATCGTGGCAGCAAACCACGTGGTCGGGTGGAGCCTGGCCTGCTTTAACTTTAATATATACACCCACACTTTTTATTATCAATAATAATAATAATATGGAGTTGGTTTTGCATAGAAACCAGTTTCCGTGTTGATGAGGGAGGATGTGTGCGATGGATGTCTATGGGTCTCTTTCGAGTACTAGCTAGGATGGGGAAAATCTAAAAATAAAAACTTATAAAGTGTATGAAAAATTAAATTTGTTTAATATATACTCCTCCAATCCTTAATATAAGACCCATTTAACTAATTTCATTAGATTAAGGAAGTTAGGTAAGTTAGTTAATTATAAAAAAAGTGACACATTTTTCTTAAAACACCATAATCATCTTTCTTAATACCCCTCCCTCTTCTACTTGATTATAGTTGAGGGAGTATCTATAGGGATAATTTAGAGAAAATTGATAAATATGAAAAATGGATCTTATATTTAGGACTAAAACCAACTCAGGAATTGGTCCTATATTAAGGACTGGAAAGTACATTTTTTATTCTGCGTATGTATGGGGAACATATGGCTCATGGCCATGGCAGAAGAGAGAGAAGGCAGTGATGAGAAGAGTGAGCCAAGAGGGGTGGGACGAATATTAATATAAGTCGCAGAAGTGCATACATAAGTTCCAGTAATTTTCTCTTCTGCGCCTCTGTCTTTCACCAGTCCCTCCTTTTTTTGCACTTTCCCAAATATTCACTCACTTTTCAGTTCTCACACTCCATGGTCCCTATACCTCACCCAACAAATACTTTGTACCTTCACCGTGTTCTCTTTTCAAAAAATCCGTACGTTTCATGTTTAAGTACAACTGGAACTTGGGTTAAGTCCAATTAGCTTGGGCTTAGTTTTCCTATACCAGAAAAAATGTCAGTGTCTAGAAAATGCCACCACATCAATCTTTAATTCAGTAACTATAATAATAATAATCAATTAATCATTTTTTTTCCTTTTCGGTACGTCCGTGAATTATGATAATTGCATTACGGTTTGGTCGCAGGTGTTCAAACTGCTACTTGCCTCTTAATTATTCATTATTGCATTCGATAAGACAAGCGTCTTGCCCACCTTCCTGCCCTGCTGATCAATTACCACAATTTCAGAGTCATCCTCAGAATTATGGATATCTCTTTTTGTTTTCGGTTTATTTCGTCAACCACCATAGTAGTAATTACACTAGAAATGAGCTGGAGCACACGTGCAAACCAACAATATTGTTATCCCTCGTAGTACTTGCTAAATGATATGATGGCCATGATCTCCAATCTGAAACTAAATCATTCCCATATGCACACCCCATTCCCATGTGTCTTCTGCATGGTTTTGATCACTGGCGTTGAATTGAATTCTCACAGAAGTTGGTGTCTGTCTCCAACATGACAACCTGAATTTGCCATATTTTAATGCAAAATCATTATAAATATTAAATCTAGAGTAGTTCTAAGAAGTCTGATTTTTGCTTTTAAAAAAAAGTTTCACAACTTTAATTAACTTAAAAATAATGCAAAAACATTATTTAATTTATGAATATACACGTTTAACGTGCAGACACGAATTCTTTTAATAATTTGTGTTCATTTATTATTATTATTTTCACTTACAAACTATGAGTAATTCATATGTTAATATTTCTTTTCCAGCTTTGCGTCCATTCTTCATTATTGAACTCTCCAATAGGAAGCCTCGCTTAGATGGATAAATGAAAAAGAATCATTGGGCTCTTACTAAAGAACTACGAAGCCTGTTGGGCTTCGGCCCTTTTATTTTGGATCACCGGTGTGGTTGAGTTGTCGTTGATGGCCAACGAGTCGTCAGGACGTACTAGTCAAGTAAAATAAACAAACTGAAACTTAAGATCGACTCCTATTCCTAATTCGCTCGCATTCGTTTAAACCAGAGCAGTGCAACTAATGACTCAGGGCCTCATTTATTCTTTGTAAGCCTCTGATCTGCGGTGGCCATGGAAGCTCCCATGCCGCCAGGTATTCCACTTATCACATTCTCCTGCATGCCGTCCACCCAACCAACATCAAAATGATTAGCCACTACCTTCACAATTAACTTCACATTTCACATCAGTTAACACTGCCTATGTATAAAATCGTAACGTTAGGTTGCATATATATGATGAAAGGAAGCTAGCCAAGTGAATGATGGGTTGACGGCGAACTGGGATACTTACGGATGGAACAAAATTATTGTCACCAGCCCTGCGCACCAACCGAGGATTAAGAGTTGCATCCCCCTGTTCACTTATGAAATCATCGTCTATACTTGCTCTAAATCCTGGAGGTTGCCTCCATTCTGCTGCAGCATCAGCATCATCTCCTGATTCATTCACTGGATTATTACTCTTGTTTGCCTCAATATTCTCAGCAGCTTGCATGTACTTCCCCACCACCTGTTTCAACAAGTTAAATGAATACTCGCTATGAGTAAAATAGATGTAGATGTGGAAGGAGACGGCATAAAATAGGTGAGGTTATTTCTTTTGGACCTGCCCACCCACTGTCTCGGTGACGACGTGGCCACGGCCTTCATTTGTTGCAGATATGGTGACACCTTCGTTTCTGGCAAGATTAGTGACGGCGTCGTGAGAGATGAGACCGGCTCGCTGGTTGGTTGCGGCGGCTGATTCCATGCGAGCCGCGGGGCCACCTTTCTGGGTTCCACCCAACACCTGGGCTTCTGCTGACTGCATCATGGCTGCGTCTCTGGGTGCTATGGGCTTCGATGCTAATTCTCCCTTCACGTTCACGAACACTTCTCCATATTTAATGGGCTCCTGCTTATCTTCGTCAGCACTTCTTCTTGGCTGTTCTTGGCTCATGCTGATACAAGATCAAACAATTCGACTTGTCTTGTTAATACAAGTTTGTGTTTGTGTTGTTATATATATGCGCAACACAAAAAGAAAAAAACACACACGCGCACACTGGCCGGAGCACTAGGAACGGTTGAAACTTGACACCGCGACAGAAATACTAACACGTGGTGGAAGAATATGATGTAAAGGGGTGATGAAACATTATAAGCAGTGGCAGGTGGCGAGTGCTGAAGCCGGCCGAGAGCATGTGTCTTCCACCGTTAAGCGGCCGCAAGCAGATATTTTGACAGCTTGGACCTAGCTGGCTACTCCTAAATTCATCAATCATACTCATATTCTGATTCAGTTTCTTACTTTCGTCAGATAAAGATGGCTATTTGAGATGCCGAGCATGCTCGACTCAGAGAGATCGGTGCCATCTTCACCCTCTTGGAGACACGTGAAGGACCCTTTAATTTACCTGATTGGGTCCGTACGTAATTAAGGCGGTAATTTAAATTATTCAGTCGCGGATAAACTCTTAATAAATTCGAAAATGTGAGTCTGACGGATCCTTATATTAGTTGGTTGGTTGAGTTGTATATACGTTGTTCATGAATTTTATCTCTTTTAACAGCATATTTTAGGCTATGCGAAAATTAATTAAGCATCAAAATAGTGAGCTCTGTAACAGTATAATTAACTTTCGAAGCCACCATGATAACCAGTCTTAGAAATATAAACACTAACTTTTTAGGATTTATTGGGTCAACTGTTTAAACGTTTTTATTTTTTTTACAAAAAATCTACATATATAATAATAGCATTTGACGACACCGATGGAGTACAAATTTTAGCAAGGTTGATTTTTAAAAAATTAGAAAAGTAAGATTATAAAATTTCGTAAAAATATATATAATAAAAGAATAAGAAAGATTAATTAAAAAATTGATTCAATATTTATCCTAGATTTGCAATGGCACAGGCTTCAGCTGTTGTGAAACTAGTTAAATTGTGTAAAAAGTTCATAAATAACATAATAGTATAGATTATGTATAAATTCTAATTCTAATGCTTTCAATACAAATAAATCATTATGGTCGATTTCACTTAACAGGGGACGAATAAAAGCTTTTACTGTTATAGGACATAACTTTTGTTGTATTAATTCGACCAGGTTAATATAATTTTATCAAAAGTAGATTTAACGAAAAAGCGTATGCGGAGTTACTGTGTTTAATCACCGTTGGTGGATTTACATTAAAAAGCACTCCAGACATTCCGACAACTAATAAAACAGTACATCAATCACCATCCCATGCCATGAATTAATCCATGATCAAACTGAAATTTTAGCGTATCTGGCCAGTTGGGCATATGAGATTCTAAATCATTAACAAGGACACATTCCTTGACTGCTTTTGTACTTTTCAACGCTCACGCCTATAACATAGCTTAACATCCTCCGGATGATCCGACGGCGTCACTTGATGTGATATATATATATATATTACTTCCGGTCCTTAATATAAGACTCCATTTGACTTTTTGTTTGGTCCTAATTATAAGATTCCAATCTATTTTATCTCTCATATTTATGCATTTTTTTCCAAGATAGTCCTTCTAATAATGATAGTTCTAGCCAATACACTTAATTAGCAAGGATATTTTAGAAATGACAAAACTTATTTATTACAAATAACTAACTTAACTTACTTCCTTAATCTCCTCAAATAAGTCAACTGGGTCTTATAATTAGGACCGGAGGTAGTATTATTGAAGTGTAAAGATAAAGCAAGAAAATTTATACTAACTCTGCTCTTTAATATAAAAGTTAAATAATTAATTTGGAAAGATAAAAATTTTTAAAATAGTTATTTGTAATAAATATTTATTATTATTTTTAAATTAATCTTATTCAATTAGAATCACTATATTTAGGTGAAAATATTTTACAATTAATAATTAATAAAAATATTTTTTTAGAATATATTATAAATTTGAGAGATAAAGTAACTTAACGAGGGAAGGTAGTATTTACTATAAAAGGTTGATATGTCCCAAAATATATAGGAAGACAAGCACAGAAGTGGAAAATAGTAAATAGCTAGATCGCCACATATCATATATGATACATTTTTTAGCAAGATGTGTACAAAAACAGTCATCAACCTCAAAAAGCTCAAATATTCATATAAAGATAGAACCATGAAATCTTCAACGTATATACTAATGCATAAGCTGTCTGATCATTTGTTTTGATTAAGGGTCGCCGCCGCAGCGACGGAAGCTGCGACGCCACTGGGAGTGGTTTTCATGTCCGGTTTGTTTCTAATCTCAGCGCCAATCACTCCCTCTGCATCTTCTCGTGTCACCTGCTTATCTGCGGGCAGCTTCTGCTTCGCATCCTGCAAGCACATACGCAAAACATTTCAAGTTAAGCAAGAAGGTTCAGAGGAAATTGAACGCAAATATGATGAGTTTCATATATATTTACAGTTAAAACATCAGACAAAGTTGTTCTCTGCTCGTATGGCACAGTGCGAGCGTTGCGGGTGGCAGCAGACTGGGCAGTGGCGGCCACACCTCCCGGCGTTATCTTGTTTCTTCCGGTGGCTCTCATTTCAGCAGCTTGTATTGCTGCGGCGTCGCTCTGATCCACAGGCTTATCACCAGCCGCGCTTAATGCCGATGCCTCAAGCGCCTCCCCCATGGTTATAGCATCTGGGTATAGAGCCAACCCAGGATCTCTCATGGGCACGTCGGGCTCCACAAACTGTCCCACCACCTCTCGCCCCACCGTCTCGGTGATAACACGAGTCGCACCCACTTTTGTTTCGGAGACGCTCAAGCCTTGGTTGCGAACTACGTCTGAGACGTCGTCTGAGCTCACCAGGCCGGCTCTCGTGTTCACTGCAGCTGCTGATTGCATCACGGACGCTGGTCCTCCTCTCTGGGTCTGACCCAATGCTTGGTTCTCTGTTGCTTGCATCAAAGCCGCGTCTCTCGGCGTGATGACATTGGAAGCCACTTCACCGGAGACGTTGAAAACATCTCCGTATTTGATGGGCTGCGGCTGCTGCTCCTGCCCGGCTTCAGATCTACGTGCCTGCTCCTGGCTCATGGTTGTACCGTGCACTAGAGCTTCAACGAGTTTATAAGCAAAGATCACCAAATGTGGTTGAAATGCCGTCACCTCATTGTGAATGTGTTTTTATATACACAGACAGAGATACGATGAGAAGATGAGGGAGGGTTATCGGGTGGGAGGGTTTTACAGGTGGTGTCTAGTTTCGTATGACGCGTGGCATTTCATCTGACTAATGTTGTCCAATGCTCGTTAAATTTCACCACCTGGCACGTATCTCTGCCGGTTTGGCTCACGCGCGCGTCACGTGCATGAAGAATCATAGACAATTAAAATCCAAAACAAAAACAAATTTAAAAACAGTAATAAATTAAAAGATACTTATCATTGTGCTTTTATATAGTTATGTATTGATTACTGTTAAAAAAAGGCTAAATTATGCAAAACTTCTCTAAACTATAGGCCAGTCACATATAACCTCCCTGATGTTTAAAAGTTTAAATTCAATCTTCCCGATCTTTTATGTTTTTAACACCTTGCCGCTAACTCACCGTTATCTTTCTAATAAAATTTGCCATGTCAGATCAATATAAAACACCTTGCATCTTATGTGGTATCTTACATGGCATCCCATCTAAGTTAATTTTATAAAACACCCCTGAACTTTAAACTAGTTGCACATAACCGCCTAACATTTTAATACTAAATTTCCATTACTTTTTTTTCCTATTTAATGCTCATCAAAACCTACTCATCATTACTTTCATTGCAACATTTTTACAATGTTATAATTTTATTTTATGATCTTAATAAATTATATTTATTAAGATTTTGACAATCTTTTATTAATTAAAATAGCAATTTTTGTGCGATAAAAATAAAATAAAAATTTTATTTAAAACATTATGTTGACAAAAAATATAAGAATAAAGGCTCAACTTCTAATTGAAAAAAAAAGGGTAATAAAAGATAAATATTGGCAAAAGTGAAATACTGAACAAGGCTAGAAGTTTCATTTTGACGTTGTGAGGGTCTCATGAATTGAAAGATAAAAGTTGCATTTCATCGAAAAGATTTAATAAGAGATTTTTTTAAATATAAAATGACATTTTAATCCTCATATAAAAATAATATAATTATAATAAAATGATTATATTAGATAAGATGCCAGGTAAGATGCCACGTAGGATTTAAGGTGTCTTGTTTTGATATGATATGGCAAATTTTGTTAAAAAGATAACGGTTAGTTAATGACAAGGTGCTTATAATAAAGAAAATGAAAGATCAAGGGGGTTGAATTTAAAATTTTAAATATGAGGGAGTTTATATGTAACTGGTCCATAATTCATGGAGGTTTTGTATAATTTAGCCATAAAAAAACTATAAAAGTTAGAAACAACACACTCAAAATACTGGGCAATTTTATTTTACTATAATTTACAAACGATATGATCCAGACTGCTGATTTGAATATTTTCATTCAGCAACATGCGCATACATATATCTAAAATTCTTTAGTTTGCATTTTCAAAAATAAAAAGTAAGTTTACATATACTAATTGACCGTCCCTCTGACCTGCCATATAGTTAACAGCTGCTTTAATTTTACTCCTTAGGATTTACGTACCTAAATCCCAAAATGAACAAAGCGAAAAACACAACCTTAAAAACATCCCAGATGAAATTAAAGTACCTTTACTCCATTCACTTTCTTTTCACTCCATTCGCTACATGTTGGTTAGGTTTTTGTTGCTTTGTTTGTTGTATGGACAAGTTTTGCCTTGGGAGATGGAAAAAGTCCCTCAAACTCTTCAAAGCACAGGTGTCTACATGTTTCAACTTGCATGGCTTTAACTAGTTAAAAGTACTACTTATCTCTAATCTTTAATGTGAGCACTAGTTTGATTTTTAAATTATTTTAAATATAAAACCTTAATTTTCTTTGTTTTTAATATTTTTTCATTCTTTTCAAAATAACTCTTGTAATAGGTGCACATGTTAAGGATTCCATCAAATAGTAATTAGAGCATACACGTGATTAGTAAGAGTATTCTAATAAAGATAATACCTATTTATTACAAATAACTAACTCAATAAACTTTTTTAATCTACTCAAATTAGTTAACTAGTTCTTATATTAAGGACCAGAAGTTGTATTAAACAAATGGCACTTGAAAATTCATTGACATCACTGTTAACTATTAATTGTCTTCATAGACGTATGTGCATGCATGCACATATAATAATTACTTTATTTGATCTTAGATATAAAGTCTTTTTTAACTAATTGATAAAAACGTACAAAAATTGTTCAGGTGATTATTTATAATTAGTATATAAAGAATTTATGATAAATTTTTTCAAAAAATACTCTAACCATTTAATGATTAGAATTTAAAGCATAGAGATCACGAATATTCCAATAAATATGGATCTTATGGAAAAGAAATAATTAATATAAGGGACGAGGTAAAAGTAAACCTTATATTTAACACTAAATTAACGAAGTTAAAATTCTCAAATAAATCTAGGAGAAGAGTATACAGTTTTTTTTTGGGGGGGGGGGTTACAAGAGTATAGAGTTTCTCGAGGTTATTGGAAATTCAACGGTCGGGCCGGGTAACGGATATTGAATATGGGCATCTTTACACGTGGAAGCTTGGCTTGTTTGGAGATGGACCGCCGGGCGTCCCATCTCGTCAAAGCTTCAATATGCATGGCTCCACTCAAAAGCTCGAGATAAATGATACTTTAATCAATATACAATAATATCCTCATTTATCATATTGTAATATTCTGTTAATCCCCCTCATAAAAAAATATATCACGAAAGTAATAAGGCAAAGTCGGGAGAATAACAGGATCTATACCCACTCTGATTTCTGGTTCATATAGAAAAGAGACGCCGATGAGCATTTGTGAGAGATTCCCATGAAACGAACAAAGAATAAAAAAATCCAAGGGATTTTGACAGGGCAAGATTTGTGATTTGTGAACATGGAAATCAGAAAAGAATAACGTAACCTCATTATCACATCATCCTCCAATGTGGTCCATATATGTGTGTGTGTATATATACACACACACATATCATATGGAGTTTTCAAGTCAAAGGTGAATTTAGATAGTGGCGGGCCTTGCACCGGCCACACAATTAGTCAAACAAATAACTCAGGCTCATTCCACTAGCAGGGAAACAGGATCTTTCATCTATGAGCCTCCACCAAAGTCTGATTGCTCTGCCTATTATTATTCTAACGCCTCATCAATCAATCGTTTGCTTCATTCCTGTTATACTTACTGACCTAGTAGCCTGTAACCTCCCTCCCTTCAAAAATTCCGAACAAAATTAATGCATCATTATTTTAGTATGCGACGTTATATGAAAGTGATGCTTAGCGTGCATCATTGGAGGTGTCTGATGACATTCTAAAATGGATGGACCAAATTTTATGATGATGTAGTAATTTTGCGAGAGAGTTATGGGATTATTAAATGAGGGTCATTTGTCGTTCCGATTTATACCCTTCACATCAATCAAAAGTTTCAAGGCGGAAAGATGATCGTGTGGGAAAGCAGCGTAGTGAGATTTTGGAACTTAAAACAGGGGAGGGAATAATGTATTCAGAGGAGCCAGAAATCCAATGAAATAAGAATGAAACAGGCCATGTTAGATTAAAGAGCGACACGGAAGTTGTTTTATTGGAGTGAACGAGAACAATCTGTATATACAAGCACGTCCCACTCTCTTTTTTCATGATGTTTCATCATCGTCTTCAATTTCACTTCCCTGCGGTGGTTTTGGGCACCGTCACGACCAGTTTTCCACCAGAGCAAACGGCGGTGGCCGTGGCGGGCCTGGTCCAAGCTGGCAATCGGAACCTCCAAAGATCAAGACCAAGACGAAGCTGACCGGCAACCAATTCGCCGCCGTCCATTCCTTTTACCACGATTCTGGTCATACCGGGCAAGATTTCGATGGCGTGGGCGCGCACACCGTTGGGTATGCCATTGGCGGCGGCTACAAAACGATAAGAAGTGGGGGTCTCCTCGACGGACACGTCGGCGTCTGAGCGGAGAGGGAGCTCGAGAACGTTGGCGAACACGTGAGGCAGTCTCCAGAGCTTCTTGGCGTTGGAGGAGGCGGAGGATGAAACCACAGAGGACTGCGGACACAAGGTGTTTCGCTTCTTCGAGGAAGGATGGAACTTCATCGCAAACATGTTCTGCTAGACTCTGGGGATCCTCTTCAATCTCCCTTTGTGGATGCAGAGCGCAGTGACCGAATTTTCCGGAAGGATGAAGATAATTAGTAGATGTTGTAATGGACCCCCTGTGTGTATATTTATATGTATATATGGCTGTAAATTGACAGAAGTGCCCTTCAACTTGCAGTGGGAGGAAGGACATAGCTTTCTTTGTCCGCAGGAATCTGAAAAGAAGGGACGTATGGCCTGGTGATAAAGTGGGGATAGATAGGGTAAGGTGGTGAATACATTTTGTATTGGGAGGGGTGGGGGTTTAGTTTCAGAACCTACGTGGAGGCGTGCGTGGTAGGGGATTTAGTTGTTCTGGTAATTGACAAGATAAAAAGATTCGGACCAAGTCACTCTCCACTTGGGGCTCATCAGCCATTACAAAGGTTATATTCCCTGGTCACATACGGTCTGATTAAAGTTCAAGCGTATGTAATACAAAAACGAACATTGAATCAATTGTTAAGCAGATGAGAGCAGAAGTCGAATGCGATTTGAAGAAGACCGGTTGGAGTAAATGAATGGGAGTGGGTGTGGTCCCTATATATGGAGGAGGGGGAAGCGTTTGGGGAAGGACAAAATTGGAAGATAGAAGAAGGTCCAAAGTTGCAGGGGGACAAATGAAAGGCGCCATGTTGGGACCAGAAAATGGAGGCTGTTGAAGAGGACCCTCGCCATTCCCTTCAATTATGTAATATGCATGATGCCCTGTCTCTCCCACTTAATTTGGCCTCCACATCCCTATAATCTTCTCCTGTACTCTGTCTTTATTTGCTTCTTTTGTCCTCTGCATTCACTAAGCATCTAACCTGTCCTATTCCTTATCCTCGTTTGTAACTCCACATTCCAAATGCATGTCATATCTAATATGCATTTTTGTATTATTATGTCCTTTATATATATATATGTCTATTCATTCATTTTGCATATCAGCATTTATATCTAGTTATTGATACTCAGAGAATATGCCCTGATCTCCTAACTTCGAGTTCCTAAACACATGCAAGTAGGATCACCGAGATTAAACTTATGCCACATAGTAGACCACTACCAGAGAGAGAGAGAGAGAGAGAGAGGTTTTCCAGAGCAAGTCAATCTGATGATGCGGTGTGAGTCAGGGAGGCATATATTCATGTATGGATGGTTACTTTTTCAGAGAATAACCATTCCCTCCCTTTCCTCAACTGCTTATTACCTGAAGTTAAAATAATAAATTCCAATTGAATTAATTAATAAAGTCTATTTTGTTCTTGGGCTTTAATCCACCCAAATCCATCAAGGGCGGATCTTTCATACAACCCAATACATTCCGTACAGGGACAAGGAGGGAGAAAAGTTATACTTTTAATTTTGAGCTTCAAAAAAGAACTTAGTCTTTTTGTTTAGTCGGACCCGGCCAGCGGGGCAAGGATAAAAAAGTGAAGAGAACTGAATTTATTGCAAAAAATATAACAGTGGAATGGAGGGAATGGGATGGTTTCTGAGTTTGTGGGAGTGACAGTTTAGAAGAGAGGATAGGTTGGGCTTACTATTAGCTGAAATTAAATGTGATTTAGAATGATGTGGACATGCAGGGGCCTCCTGATGAATATTAGGTGGTCATACACATGGGTCATTATAAACAGTTAAGTCTCAGCTTCCTGGATGTTATGCTGTTGAGGAGTATCTTTCTTAACTTGTCCCTACCAGGCCTAGCTTCATTCAGCCCCTTCATTATCTTCTCTAACCAATTAGGGTGTCTTCACCCTCTCCTGCTGTGTCTGCTTCAATGTCTACACTTAGCTCCTAGTTTTCTTTCCCCAAGTTTGTTACGGCTATTATGAGAAAACTTCACCAAACATGGTCATCTTTTCCCCCACAAATTGACCATTTTGACACTGATCGTACAAAGCATTCTCCACTGTTTATTGAAATGGCCTGCGCAGAGTGTTGCACTAGTAAGATGCGAAAGGACTGGCTAACTTTCTTGAATACTTCATTTGGGCATCTTAGCATGTTATCATGTTCACTTCAATTTTTTAGCGCTTTGCCTTCTCTGTAGTTTACTGTTCTCTACTTATTGCAATCTTTGTTTGGACTATGAAGGCGACAAAAACAGAGGAGGGAAACTGGAAAGAAATGTTGCTTTTACACAATGTTCTCGTCAATCTAAAGCTGTTGTTACCAGCATTCCGATGATCAAATCAATCATTTCCACCAGATCGGTTCCCTTTTTCTTTTCGGATTCTTTTTCAGCATTATATTTGGTGTGAGCGTCGTCAAGGGCGAGAAACAGTAATTTGATAATTAGTGTGGAACAAATCTTGGCCTTACTTTAAGATTGAAAGTGAGGGATTTTCTTTAGCCTGATATGATATTCGGATTTTCTTTTGATAATGAAAACCAACAGAAACGAATACGAAGTGAGAACAGACAACATATAATGATATAAACTCTAGTGAAGGAGCTACTCTTTATGAGAATACCATGTAGTTACTTGTCCTCCAATAATCTGCATCACCATGATCATCAGCAACAACACAAAAGGAAAAGAAGAAAACCAGAGTTTCGGTCACGCATCGTTATCAATCATCATCATCCATCCTGAATCCAAAACAATGTGGGGGAAAACCATAAGCAATTCAAACACGAACACTTATTGTCTCTATATGCAGGGGAGAAGAGGTAAAGAAAAATGAAAACAAGACTCGGAAAATTTCAAACAAACAAAAGTAAGACAACATAAGCATTGCCTCCACGACAAAAACTCTCGAACTCCAGAATCATAATAAAAAATGGAAGAGGCAAAACTTCTGACTTGCTGATCAAATTCTGAATCAGGAGGGATGATAAATCTCAGATTTCGAATTTTCTTCTATGTCCACCATCATCACTTGGCACCGGCATTCATGACTGCAGAAGGCTGTCTCACCTCTGCACAAACATGAACCGACAGATCACTCGAAGAAATGAACTTAAACAAGGACGAAAGCACTCATCTTCTTCCGATCAATTTGTTTTTAAAATCTCTCTTTAGAGGTAGCTACATGTATTTGATTTAAATGAAACTTACCTGTAAATAAAGATGTCGTTTGTGGGCTCAAGATGCTTCTTGCAAGTGTAACAGAAGCTGAGGAAACTCCCCGGAGCAGACTGGGGCCTTCCAGGCAAAGAACAATGGCTCTTGACAACGCAATTATCAAATATATGAGTGGTTCTTGGATTAGGACCATGGGATATTACACGAGTATACTCTTCAGAAAGCTCCATTTCACTCAAAGACAGAACACCTGTGGATACTGCCCTTGAAGAATCCTCTGTATAAATTTCTGAACTTTGAGACCCAGTTGGCGATACAAGCGAGTTTTGGGTTTCAATTCCCACACCAGTCGAACTTGTTTGAGATTCAAACGGAGAAAATGTAAAAGGTGATAAAGGAGGGATTTTTACTCTCAGTTGTGTTCCAAACAGAACATTTCCATTGCTGGGTTTATCAGAATTTTCTTCAGCTCCCTCATCTTTAAGTGCATCAACGAGAGCGAGCCCAATGCCTCTCGAATCTATCTTGTTCCATGAGCTTTTCTTTTCGGAGGAAATTCTGGGGGAGAATGTCCCGAAAGGAGGCAATAACATAGAGTCAAAGATTGAAGTAGGGATTCTTAAAGCCTCGGCCCTTGAGAGACACTTGGTGGTAAGGTCTTTAAATTTGGGTGAACCGAAGAGGGATTGAATAACTCTATCATACTTATGCTTAGGAGATGATTGGTGACAGCTCTGGTCAGCCATTAAAGCTGGTTTTGTCACTGCTCTTGATCTTTTCATCATCAGCATATACAAGCTCTTGTTCTGTGATCCAAACACTTCAACTGCAAAACTGAAACCCAAACGAAATGGACTCAGAATTAGTGGAAATGAACAAGTAAATGCCATAAACGGTGCAAGAATACATGAGATGGATCATTGAGAAGTGAGAACTCACCGGGATAGGAAAGAGCGATACCACTCAAAAACCACTTGCTATTGCAGAGCAAGAATTTTTGTGCATCTGACAGAAAAAGCCAAGCAATGAAGATAGTCTGAAACTGTCAGAATCCCTGAAACGCCTTCACAAATTCTGAGGCCTCCATGACTTTAAACTGAAACTGTAACGAAAGCTGGGTTTTTCACGTTTTCCCTAATAAAGCTTTCTCAATAACAAGACATCTATTACTATTCCCATCATAACCTCTCGTAGCTCCGCCATTAACAGCAGAGACAGGAAGAAATCACATAAATCGTTTGAGAGCAAGCATGATGAAAAGAAAGAAAGAACAAGTTATATTCTCTTTCTGCTAAACTCGATTTTTGTCAGTGTAACTTCGTCACTGCTATCAATTTTCAAGATGTGTCCTTCTCTTCTTTGAGTTTCAATTCTGTAAATTCTTCAGCTTTATGGAGAGCAAATGATAAGGGGTGAGGAAAAGAAGGAAACTTTGGACTTATACAAAAAGGTGATGGTGTCTGGATATGCCTTTAAAAATACAGATTTTTTTATTCTTCATTATCATCTTTCAATTTTTTCTCCTAAATTTTATTCCTCTTCCTCCATCCACCTTGACTTCAATAAAAAAACCTTCTCCATTTTTCTTCGCTACGTTCGTATGGAGGAGTACACAACCATTTCCACATCTGCCATTTGTGTCGTACAAGTTTGAACAACTTGATCAAGTACAAGCTTTAACTTCATGTTTTGAGAAAGTTTATTCTTCTAGTTGAATAATCAATAATGTCGCGGTTTTTCTTGAGAAAACTGATATTTTGCATTCACAGATGTGTGTAAACAATTTTTTTTAAACAAATTATCGCATTGAAGTTTAACGTCTAAGCGGAAGAAAAATCATATTATAAATTTATAATAGAATTATCATGGTCGCTGAAATAATGTTATTTTTCCGGCAATCCAATTTTTGTTTGGCCTGAAAGTCAAATATTTTTAGTGCGGCATTATCAAATTCGCACCACTTTTACGTCAATATAGAATATTTTCATATTTCGTTAAAAAAATAATCTTATTATTTAATCCTTACATTATCACTTTCTTTTTAATTTAATCTTTTGTTTGTTAACGTAGTTTTTAATTTTTTTCAAATATATATATTCAGAGTTTTTTATAAAAAAAAAAGAATTAAATGTTCTGACTTAAAGATCAAATATTAGTCACATGTTAAACGTAAAAAGTGGGGAAAATTAGGGAAGTAAATAAGAAGGAGAAAAGTGAATTCGCTTCAAATATTACGAGTTTAGAATGCTTATAATATAATTTTTAAATTTTGAAAAAATCAACTACATAAACAATATTTTAACTATTAAAAACTACACTTTGGTATAGAGTTTTTGATTTTATTTATTAATGTTAAAGTAAAAGAATCGATTTATGACTGAGTGCCTTAATTTAATTTGTTTTTGTTTTTGATAATTTTTGTTCGGGTTGATATTTCTAGGGTTAATAATTTCCTTAACATAGAATATCCCTCACATGAAACGGCAGCCAAACCAAAAAATAGTACTCCTACGGTTTTTAATATGAAACCTAATTAATTAATTTGAATATATTAAGGATATTAGATAAATTAGTTAATATCATATGTTTCTTTCTAAAACACTATAACCATCTTCTTTAATTTTTCCCCTCTCCCCTACTTGATTATTGTTGAAAAAAATATCAATATGGTTAATTTGGAAAAAATTAATAAGCATATGAAATATGTCTTACCTGTAAGATTAATATCAACTATCTAATTAAATCTTACATTAAGGACCGGAGGAGTATCACAGAAAGCAGAAAAAATGTACATTTATGGTAAATAGAGTAATTAATGGTGGCTGGATCTAATGAAAGGATTTAGTCGTTTATAATATAACGAAGCAAAGTCTTCTATATTTAGCTCTCAATAGTGTTTGTCTTTAATAAGAGAATACCTGCAGTGAACATGAAAAAAAGTTCACAAAATAGTTTTTTTATAAAATTTTAATAATATGTGATAAAACATTTTCCGCGCATCATATGGAGTTTTGAAATGAATAATAGTATTCATAATTTATTCATAATACAAGTAAATACAAGTCGTATACCTATAATATTGACGATTGAGGTGACCCAAATCTTTGAATTTGTGGTTGCATGAATTGTAATTCTGGCAGTTGAATTGAAGACGTACACTTGTTTCGGCCTAAAAAGGGGAAGAAGACGTACACTTGTATCGTCCAAGAATGGGCTGGGAGTGGGCCCTACCCAATGAGGTTGCGTCTCTTTCTCTTCATCAGTATTGCTCAGTGTTTGTACCAAAAAAAAAAAGTATTGCTCAGTGTGGGCCCACTTCCTCCCTTACTGGGCCGTCGACCACATTTCACACCTTTCTTTGTTTGCATCACTTTACGTGCGTTTGCTTCTCATGCTTTTTCCTTTCCTTCTCATCTCAGAACGCCACACAAAAATCCCACCAATCTAGCAGAAGGGACTAATTCCTCACAACATGACGAATTAATATTCAAATTCCTGCTGAGAAATTTGCCTAGATTTAGTGTCCGATAGTGTCTCAAATAGGATTATCTCAAATAAAAAGATACCAATGATTTAGCCCCAAAAAAAAATCCCCCCCCAAAACAATTAATTTATAAATCCTTATAGTTTCATCTGATTTCTAATCATATCTTTATTTTTTATCAGGTTTCTATGAATTTTTTTTTCTTTTAACAGGTCCTTAAAGTATCTGAGTTTTAATGAAATATTTGTGATTTCAAATTAAAATTTAAGCAAAACTACAAGGACTTGTAGGTTCGGGGTTGGTTTTTTTTTTTTTTTAATCATAAAAGTCGAGTCCAAATCAAAACGGAGATAGATAGCAGTAGAAGTAGAATGCACAGTCCGTACTCAATGGATAAATAAGTTGATGAAACAGTACTATAAAAACAAATCAATGGACTATAAACAGTCAATATGTATACGCAGGAGATGACCCGTTTTAATGCGATTCGACTCTAGAGATTGACGTTTTAAACTAAACAGATAAAGCCTGAGGCCAAAGCGAAATCATGGACAAACTCTTTCATTTACGGTGCTCCAACTTTTTAATCGAAACATCATTCTTAAGTGTGTGTGTTTGTGTCGAAACCATCCTTTTTCCCATTATCTCACAGCCTTTGTTTATTAGGTAAAAGCCATTCAATTCAGTGATTTCGCTATCAACATAGCCATCAAACCTACCTGAACAAATATATATATATTGTTGTATAATCAAACAAAATCATTATATCGGAACGAGTTGGGTGGTCCAGGTGTCCTTTACTGCCACCGGGTGACATTTTATTGGGATTAAATTATTGGGACCCATCCAACTTGGGATGCTTACTGTGAATTGCATTCCGAGACTGGTGTCACACAAGGTTGCACTCACACATCACTTTCTGCTGACTCCAAATTCTGTCGTGTTGCTCTAAGCATCATGTTTTGATTGGTGATTTGTGCAGAGTTTCATGTTGGAATTCTGGTCCCCTTCTATTCTTCTTGGAAAGAACATTGATAATTGAAAGAAAAGGCCAAGCGAAATATGCGTACTACACATTCTTCAATGCAACGCGCCAGATGGAGTCTTAATTCATTAGACTAAACAAAACTTGATCACAAACACAACTTTTAAAGAGGCTGGAGATTGGAAGTTTGGAACAAACTTGGCAGGGCTGCCAAGCATATCCGTGTAACAAGGAGAAAGTACCATAAGCCTAGGTTAACTACGCTGGGTTTTTAATTTTCTATCATTTCTGGTCCTCTTCCTAGATTCTCTATTCTCTGTAGAGTATTGCTTTTTAATCATTAGATTGCACATTGCGGTCTTGACGGCTTCAGCAGCTGCCAAGAAAGCATTCTCATCAAACGATGTGCTCCCCTGCAATGTTTCCAGCAACGTCTCGCCCCCAGGGATCTTTTCATCTTCAACAACGGCTGGGTCTTGTCCAACATCGAAACCAGAAATTACCCGAACACGAGCCAATGCGGGATGGCTAAAACCCGGTAGGCTAGATACACCCGTTACCATCCACAATATCCCAGTACATGAGCTGGTTCCCAAGCTGGTAGGGACAAACGCCTCTTCTGCAATAGATATAACCTGCAGAGGATACATCCAGTGTTAGGCCAAATATGACTACTTATCTTTGAGGACAGCACCATGGAAGTAGCTTAGATCTGTATCTGTGCCAAGGTTTCAGACGTAAAGAAACAGGACCTTTATTTGAATACCCTCAGTTAGCCAGTTTTTTGGAAATTCTGTTCCCGATAATTGAACGTCATTATAGCATTTAACATATATTTCTCTATTCCAATCCTTTAATTCTTCTGACCTACTCCCTCCGTTCTTATTATAAGAGACATTTGATGCTTATGGCATGTTCCCATATATAAGAAACACTTAAAGTTGTCTCTATTTTTTTGTATTGATTTCCTATTTTACCCCTATTTATTTTGTCTCCAACTCATACTCTCCCCCCCTCCTACTTCACTTTTTTTAATAATTTAATTGTTTTTTCTCATACTCTCTCTCCTTATTAATGGGAGCATTGTTGGAAAAAACATACTTTTTACATATTAATTGTCCTTAACTAATTTTAACTGTTTTTTTTATCAACGTAATTTGGTTATTTGTCTCTTATAATAAGGAATAGAGGGAATAATTTCATAAATGTAATAAATGAAAGGCCATGGAAGTAGCTTAGATCTGTACTGTGCCAAGGTTTCAGACGTAAAGAAACAGGACCTTTATTTGAATACCCTCAGTTAGCCAGTTTTTTGGAAATTCTGTTCCCGATAATTGAACGTCATTATAGCATTTAACATATATTTCTCTATTCCAATCCTTTAAATCTTCTGACCTACTCCCTCCGTTTCTTATTATAAGAGACATTTGATGCTTATGGCATGTTCCCATATATAAGAAACACTTAAAAGTTGTCTCTATTTTTTTGTATTGATTTCCTATTTTACCCCTATTTATTTTGTCTCCAACTCATACTCTCCCCCCCCTCCTACTTCACTTTTTTTTAATAATTTAATTGTTTTTCTCTCATACTCTCTCTCCTTATTAATGGGAGCATTTTCTCTCATACTCTCTCTCCTTATTAATGGGACAGCATTGTTGGGCAAAAACATACTTTTTACATATTAATTGTCCTTAACTAATTTTAACTGTTTTTTTTATATCAACGTAATTTGGTTATTTGTCTCTTATAATAAGGAAACAGGGGAATAATTTCATAAATGTAATAAATGAAAGGCAGTGGAATAATGCACTTGAAATAGTTAATGGCAATCTCAACTGTTGGAACAAATGCGAGTAACTCACCTTGGCGACAGAAAGCGTTCGAGCAGAAAGGTTGCACCTCAGCAATATTATTCCTTGCAAGCTACAGGTTAGTACATCACGGCAGCAGTCAGTAACCCACTCCAGCACTACAATAAGCGAGATACAAAACAATGCAGTAAGAGAGTGAGGCTTGCCTCTGAAGGGCCACTGCAACAAGCGACCCATCCATGACAGTGCATAAGTCAGTCACAGGATAGGCATGCTCCTCTGATTCATCATTAGACTCTATAACTCCTGCCTTCAGAAAGTGGAAGAATATAAATTAAAATCAAGAGTAACACCGAGAAGATATAGAACCAGTTCCTTGTTAAACTCACAGCAACTATCATATCACGTTAATAGCTAGCGGCCTTATTATAAAAGCAGCCACCCAGAAAGAGAACAATGATTTTACCCCATAACTTTCAGGACCAGACAAGAATAAGATGTACTATTTTTCAAGGCACGCAACTTGGAATGAATAAAACAGAAAATAGAATAGTTGCACTCTGGGACACACACACCCACCTTAGCTGCAACCTCACAGGTATCCAGGAGTGCTCCAGATGAAGTGTCCCACAAACGGACCTGCAGAAAACAATATAATTTTTTATTTTAAGAGAACCCTGAAATAAAACAATGGGAACCGTCTGAATCATGCGAAGTTGTCCTAATTACTCACCGTTGAATCACCACTACCAGAAATGAGAAGGCCTCGAGGCCAATCCTGATCATGAACAAAGGCAATGCAGGAAAACAAACCTGCAAAATAGATAAGCATCAATATCTAATAGCTGAGCGGAAACATCAGTTTCCCTCATAAATCAGAGGAAAGGCAAAAAAAAAAAAAAAAAAAGAAGAAGAAAAGAAGAAGAAGAAGACAGTTCTTATTATCACATATTAAGTTTTTTGAGATGATAGTCATTGGAAAATAATCACACTAAAGGACACAAACAGTAAATATCTGCAAATCATGAAATTGGCTATCATTATCATCAACAATACTGAAAGGTATGTGATAGTCGTAAGCTTTTTCTTACTCTGAATGACCAAGACAGAAGCTCTGTATCTCATGAGCTCCACTTAAAGGTTCGCTGGGAAAAATAGTGCACCTGCAAACAAGGAATCAATAGCAACGCCCCTAAATAGGCAATTATCATTGTAAGGGCAAAACAAATAGCTTACACGGATCTTGAAATCCCGATCAGCACTAACAATGAATCGACCATCAGGTGAAAAAATTCTGAGGAAGACGCATTTACAGTAAGGTCGTGAGTCCGTAACGTGTGAAGAAATATATGAAGAGGTAGGTCATAAGTAAAGCAGAAAAAGAAGAACTAGAAAGCTGGACAGAATAAACCAAAAAGAATTTTCTATATTTGGGCATCTAAAATGCAGCAAACGATTAAAGTCATAGACAGGACTCATGCTTAAATGAATAAATAAGCAGGAATCAAACAATAATCATCATCATTCTGGTAACCTGAAAATAGGGAGGATTCCTTTTCAGGATTTTTTTTTTCCAGCTTAAGAACAATTGACTCTCTGTCATATCTTACCAAATTAGTGAGGATTACTACAATAATGAGAAAGAAGTGGGGTTGCTTTCTTATCAACTAATGGTTGATCGCCATCATATCCAGATCCATCCACAAGACAACACCAAATTTGTCAGCGAACACACATATGAACCATCATTGCTTATAGCGACTGCACTAACTCTCTTTCTGAGGACCTATTTCAATGGTAACATATGTTAAGTAAAAGAAATGGAAGAAATTATGAATGCATGTCACAAATGTTAGCCACAGCCAAATAAAAATACAATGCTTCCTATGGAATAATATATCTATATATTCACGTGATGACCGGAAATTTGGAACTTCATCGACACCAACCATGCTCATAGATTCCTGACAGTGGCCTACAGAGAAACCATGTGAACCGGAAACCTTACCCAGTACAAAAATGCAGCGCCAATTTTCAGTTGACCATATCATTTGACAGTTTTGTCATCTCCCGCGGATACAAAGAGCCTCCCTTTTGAACCAAATCGAATAGCTCTTATAAATCTTTATGGAAGGGGACACCGGAGTCGTCAATCAATGAAGCCGCAGAACCCGCACTACATCACCAAGTTCAATCGTCAGCGGAGTTAACATTCTCACCTCCCAGAAAAAAAGTTAGAAGAAAATAACAGAAATGGCCTTCTCATTGGCAAACATTCTCGTTTTCATTTACGCCGGAACCGCATAAACATAAGCGAGGATTCCAGTAAATTCAAAATGCATAATTTAAAGTCACTCAGATTTCAATCTTCATATCATGAAATATCAAAGCAATAAAATTTGAAAAACAAAATCTAAAAAACGTACTGAAGGTCGAATACACGGAAGCTTGGTCCAACGGCAACGGCAACAAATTTCTGGGATGGGTGAACTGAAATCAGTGCTGGAGCGACTTCGATTTCTTTGTTGGCTTCCCCCTCTTCCATTGTACGATACTGGTTAGGGTTTAGCGGTTTCAGCAGCCAAATTCAAAGTTCCAAGGTATCTCTTGTTTTTTTCGTTCCTGCCGTCTGATTTTTTTTTTTTTTTTGGGGGACTAATTTCTTAGGCTGAATTTGAATCTACCGTTTTGCTCAATTAAATGGGTGTTTGGACCAAACCATTGTTTCTATGATTTATGAAGTAAATATATAGATGAATTTACCTGTTTTATAAAAAGTGCTTTTAAAACTATAGTTTGAAGGTTGCCAAACACGCTTTAAATTCAGTTTATGCCGTTAGAAGTGATTACATTTAGTGTTTCACAATGTTTCGAATAGAATTGTTTCTGATACTTAGCAGAAAAAAAAATTCAGTTTATCCATTTTATGGGCTAAAAGTTGACAGCCTATTACCTTATTGGGCTACACAACAAATAAAGGCTTGAGAACAACAATTAGGCAGGGGCCGCACCAGAGCAAGCCCTACTACAACAAAACTTAGGAGGGCCGAACTCTTCAGACGCAGTTAAGTGGATTTTAAATGAAAAAGTACTTTTTTACCCCCAAAAAATGAAATAAACAAGTTCCCGCGTGGTTTTGGTAGTGGAGCAATTCAAACTCATTAGGAAAAAAACATAATTCTGCAGTGTAATGTATCATCGAAGCCCTCGGAATGAGTTCCTTGTTGTCAACATTCCGAGGAACAACACAACCTATCCGACCAGTTTTCATGTCGGCGAGCATTTTGATATATTTGCGGAACGCAACGCCTCCGAGCTATCTACCATAATAGTCCACGAGTAAGGCAATATTTCATCCATGGAACAATAATCAATTTGATGGCTCTTTTCTACTGGGCTCATTTATAGTATCGTTTTCAGTTCAAAGAGACCAGCCGCTTGAGATTAAACAACAACAAAACAGATAAACCTTGGAAACAACTAATTCTTTCTCTAGTCGTAGGGATCCAGATACCTCTGCAGGCTACAATCACAAGAGTCTAATAGATGATGGCTTAAATTCTCAGCAACGTACAACCAAGGATAGTACCACGACACCATGACATGAGACGGCCCGGCGCCAGGTTGTTCTGTCACTCCCAAAGTGAGACTGAGAATATCAACACTGGCCGAAGGCTTAATGTCCCGGTTCCAAGCGTCAGGACCAATGACGCCTCCAATTACATATAGATCATCACCAACCCCAATCATTCCAAACCCGATTCTCCTATGAATCTCATGTGCCAAAGCCACTACCTTTCTCACTCCTTTGACGTGCTTGATAATAGATCCATGGCTCATCACATAAAGGGCACCTTTAAACAACCGCCATTGGACCTTGAAGCCACCCGCTTTCCTGAACACGTCCATTCAGGAGGCCCTCCATTGTCTAAAATTGCACCGTTGACAACCCTTTATGCAATATGTGTACCTTTCCTCCACAACTACTCCTGAACAAGCTGAATTATGGCTGCAATGAAGATTAGGCATTTGAATCCACACATCTTTTTCAGGGTCATACATTTCTGCTTGAGATATTGATTTTCTGTAGCTAGTGAAGCCCCCAGCCACAATTATTTTTCCATTCAAAACACAGCATGCAAACATAGCACGTGGGACAAGCATTGGAGCCCGTGGGGCCCACTGCCGACCTACAGGGTCATATGACCAGACTTCATTTGTTGCAAAGCTCCCATCTTGATCACCAGTCAACGGATCTACAGCATCACTTCCGCCTCCAATCACAAACAACTTTCCAGCAGTGGAGACAGCACCAAAATGGGAAAGATGTCTAACTTTTGAGGGAAGAACAGGAAGTGTAATCCAAAGATCCCTTAGAGGGTCATACAACTGCCATAGGTTCTCTGGATCGAAGGCACATACACATAACAGATCCTCAGATGAACCAACCTCCTGTCGCACCTTAAATAGTTCGGGGCTATGAATGGCTGCTCGCCAAGAGCGAGAGACAAGCTCTAGCTTTGGGTAGAGGCAAAAGGGAACCCTTGCAAGGCAGCTTATTGCAACTGCATCAGGAAGTCCTTCAATCAATCCAGACATGATAATCACTATTTCATCATCCGTGTCCGTCAATCCTCTAGCACAGGACTTGTGCTTAAAAAGAAAAAGCACCTGCAATATCCACATATATCAACCTATCGCATACTGATACAATACTAGAGAAATTCATATTCAAATAGACTAACGCTCAAGAACGGTTTTCTCAGATCCAGTGTGCTAAAAGGATTTACATCATCTGGACACATATATACACATGGCTGAATAATATACCACACAGCGTGGAACATGTCACAGCCTTTGTAGCCCCATATTCAGCGCGTCTAGTGAATCAATTTCTCATAAGAATGAAATTTTTTATAGTTATAAACCGACAATAAAATCTCCAAAACTTTAGAGTGCCTACAAAAGAAAGTTTCAAGATTGCAGAAAATTTTCAATCGGAACAAATCCTAACATATTATTGAATAATGAATAATTCCAAAATTGTCACGAACAGATAATTACTAAGTCATATGAAATTAAAAGAAAACAGTTTCTGCAAACATAACCACTCATATAGAAGCTATTATAAAGCAGGAAGCATTCTTAGGCACCTGACTTTCACTCCCTCACCTAGCCATTGGCTTGTTGTCTTCAAGCATCATTTCCTCTCCCCCTTTTCTATCTCTCCAAGAAATAAAAAAGTTTTTTACATTAAATTTTTCATTGTTCTTTCATAAAGCATAATACATGCTATGGTGGTTAATCATCCAGTCGCAACTAATTTATATTGCAAACCAAAAGACGGCTTTAGACTCATTTAAGTTTCCTTTTCCCTTCGGTGGAAAGGAGGGAAAACTACTTGAAGGGCTGATGCAGTAGGCAAGAGCCAAAGATCCTCGTCATTTCACACCTCTGGGTCTAATGCTTCTAGTACTAGAAAACAATTATTCCTTACGGATTACAAAATAATTAGTTTAACGTGAAAATTTCACGCCAAAAGTCTAGGGCCACCTCCAAGAATCACAGAGAAACTAAAAAATAATCCTTAGGCAAGGAGCTGTCAATGTCACAGATGTTTTAGTAGCTGAATTTGTAAAGTGACCATGACGACACACATTTAGACATTTTTAACTTGCAAGCACAAACTTCAGCAAAATATTTCCTCATCATTCAAGAAAACCAAGTTTGTAATGTGAACGGCTTAAATTGAACCTCAAAATGTCATAGCATATAGGCTTGAGTCATACACCCAATGCTCTGAAGCAAAAGCAAAGTTAAAATGCATTTTGGTTTACAAAGGGACATATGAATCTCATTGGAACTTGGAAGTTTATGCCACAGAAAATAAACGACTAAGCTTTACTAGCCTCTTGGACCTGCCAGGAAAAAGTTCAAAGTGAAATAGAAAGGAAAGGAGGAGAAAACTGAGTACATGTTGTTTGAATAAAATCGGGGGAGTTGTATTCTATGAGTGGGTTGTGCATGGATTCAGCCATAGAATTGAAGCACTAGATACATCCAAAGGAAAAGAAGAGAAATTAACAGAATAACAATCAGATCCCAGCCTTGATTCTTGCTCCCAACCAGTGATCCAGGTTTCCTAAAAATGTCTGAATTACGGAAACGAAAAGTCCAGTGCAGTGGCATTCTACTCATATTACACACGCACTTCAAAAAATATTTAAGATAAAGAGACCCGAGTGCCAGAAACCGACGGAAAACCCAGAATTTCAGTTCTTGACCTTGCCTCGCGTTCCCCTTCACTTCATGCCCGACTAACGGCATAGCACTTAAATTAAAGTTGGAATTCCGACGCTAAATTTGAGGACTACATAACGGCAGCCTAACAAGAAAAGGACAAGTACTCGGACTTGAAGCCGAAACGAAAAGAAACTCAGTTCAAACATCACATACACAATGAGCATCCGATTATCTCCAAATAAGAAAAGAAAAATCCAAGGAAATAAAGCCCTATCAAGTAGTTATGAGATTCGAATTACAGAGGAGCAAATTGCACAGAACAAAGAACAGAAGTAGTATACCAGAACCAACAATAAGATTAATAAACAATGACTCGTTGAAGTGAGAGGGGTAGGAGGAGGAGGAAGACGACGACGAGAGAGAGTGGCGCAGGGAAGGGAATTGGGTGGAGGTGGACTTCCACGAAACGTAGTTACAAAAAATAATGCCGTGTTTTGTGACTTGAGCAAATCAAAAGGTAAACTTTCTCTGTTTTCTGTGAGCGTTATCGTACCAGAGACGCTCCTTTGATCCCATTTCCATTAACCTTCCGGCCGGTGGCGTAGGGCATATTCTATTCTTCATTCATTTTATTCTTTGTTCTTTCTTTTTTTTTTTTGGCGGCTTTCGAAACTGATGAATGAATAATGGGCAGCTCGATCTTAGCCGCCTGATGGCGATTATCCGATTAGTTATCGACTCTGTATTTTAAAACGAAAAGCAAAAACCAATTTTAGGAGCATAAATATATTTAAAAAATTAGTTAAATTAATTATTTGTAATAAATATATATTATTTTTAAAAAATAATATTGTTAATTATATGTATTAGGTGAAACATTTATCGTGTGCAACTACTATAAAAATTATTTTGGAAATAATAATCTAAAGATAAAATGAATTGAGATTATTTTAAGATCGAATAAAAGTCAAACTAATTCTTATAATATAAAAATTAGGGTAATACTCCTCCGATCCTTAATATATGACCCAATTCTTGAGTTAGTTTTAGTCCTAATATAAGACCAATTCTCATATTTATTAATTTAATAACATCAATATTAATATTCGTGGCTCAAAACTTCATCCAGAGTAAAACATGTAGAGTTAGAATATTTAAAAATAATGCTAACATATTTTGATAAGCTTTTTTTAGTTAGCCAAAAAGAAAATTGACAAGGTTATTGCAGGATTTGGATCGGATATGAGCCAACTTGGAATACTGTTAGGTGTCATAACAGAGACCTTTCGAACAATATTTTCTCCATTCACACCACCTATAAGGATCAAACTTAGAAAATGATACTTAAAATATCCAAGTCCCTTCTATTTGGACAAACGCTTATTAATAACTCATTTAGCTTTTAAAACAAAGTGAGTGAGTTGAACTATTAAGAATATGCCTATTTTGAAATGGGGCTAATTTGGACTCATCTCATTTTACTTATCCATTAAGAAACCCAACTAGTTTTCAAATTTTTAAAGATATACTATTTCGATTCTAAATATAAAACCCATTTTATACTATAAAGTGGATTTTATATTTAGAACCGGAAGAATATTAAAACAAAACCCAAGACCCTTCTCGGATGTCCCTCAATCCATACCCTAAGTTCAGGCCCAAAAAAAATCCTTAACCTAAGTTGTTAATTTTTTTTTTTAAATCTTCACCACTGCCCTCGTAATCAATCCCCCTTCCTCCGTATTTTATCGTGAAATATGAGTTTGTGAATTTTTGTGGAGAATTAGAGATGATGTTTTAGATATCATGAATCAATACTGTGTTTGTGAATTGTTACTATTTAAAGGAAAAATTACAATGAGGTTTCAAGTAAGAAAAACAATTAAAAAACAAGTCTCAGAGGTTGTCATTCTCATGATAAGACTTGTCATTATAGGCTGTTAAGGTTGTTATTGAGACTTTTTGTTAATTATTTTTTTTCTGTGGGACTTGATTGTAATTCCTCGTTATTTAAAACTCAGTACTTTTAAAATTTATTTTTTCAAATTGTGAATTGTGATTGTGGATATAAAAAAATTCAATTTTCTAAGAAGAAAATATAATTGATTTATTTTTTATAAATATAAATGTGGCCCGACAGTTTTTGTCACTAGAATGTCCATAGTGAATTAGGCCAAGAAAATTCTAACTCACATAATAAAAGTATAATGGAAAATTTTAACAACTATTAAATAATTGGCAAAAAAGCTATTAAGTAACTAATGCCAATGATTACATTAAATTGGAGATGCAGTGTCCTTCTCTTTCTTTCCCATCATATATTGTCAGTTAATTTTGAGAGGGTACATCCGTACATTTCTTATGAGAGGTTAGAAAAAATGACAGAAGCAATTTCAAATAAACCCAATAACAATTTACAAGCACAAAAGGGAATGAGACTGTAGCGATATAATAAGCAGCTGTAAGAAGCAAGAAAAGTAAACTGAGAAACCCGTCATATACTTGACTATTTATAGATTATACAGAAGTAAACCCCAGATGACAACATCAATCTAAAGAAGCCCGCCGAGATCGCTCACTTCCAAGTTAATGCAAAACACAGACATGTCACAAAGGTGAAGAAGCCCAGCAGAGAAGATGGCTGTTTAACGGAATTCCCAAGAGACGAGCTTCTGCCATTCCCACTGGTTGATGAGAAAGTACTATACCCATTTCCTGTACCACCAAACCGCATATTAACATGCTATTCTTCTCTTTGAAATAATTTTAGCTATCAATTACAATCTCAAACGTCAGTACCTGAAGGGAAACTTGTCGTTACAGCAGGAGAATCACTTGTAGGAGAAGAAGCTGCCACCCCAAACAGCACGAGAGACTTTCAGTTCAATTGGTTTACTTCTGTTTATAGTGGAAAGGGGATAATATAACAACCTTAGCTCTTACCTTCGCAAATGCTAAGAGGAGGTGTCTGGACTCCGCAGGCAGTAGGGAGTGTCAAAGCCCGAGTCTGATTGATGTTGATACCCACCGATGAGGCGGCGCCATTGACGACCTCGCAAAGGCACTGTGGCTGTGAACTCACCACAGAGCCAAGCTGGGAGCAACAAGCAGAGGAAGGAAGAGGGGCGTTTCCTGTTACGTAGTCTAGGCAAGGAGACAGACTTATGAGCACGTTGTTGCAGCTAGAATCATTCTGAGCCGCTGTAAGTCCCCAGAGAGCCACCACAAGGGACACTGTTAGCACCATCTGGACTCTTCTTGGTGCCATTGGATGGGTTACTTTGGCAGTGTTGGAGGGCTGACGGGACAAAAGGGTATAGTGTTTATAAAGAGAAAGTAAAGAATTGTGAACTAAAGAAGTGCAGCTGGATGCATGTTGCCTTAAGGAAGTGACCTACTTTACTGCTTTATTATTGCAGATTCTTTAGCAAACATCTAATTGAAACTGGCTCTTTACAAATTTGATTTAATAAAGTTGTCTAGTACGTCTTCCGCTTTTTTTAATTTCTGCAGAGAAAGAAGCCGCAAGACTTTCCATGTGTCGTCTTTTTATGATTGCTTGACTTTTGAGCTTAAATTCATTAACAAATTGATTTTCACCGATGCATTTCTTAGAGAGCAAGGAAGATAAAAGGAGAAGCTAGGTTATTGAGGCAGCTAGTGGGCATGTCCTATAGAACTAGATATCACTTTCCTTTTCTCCCAACTAGCGTGTCATTTTTTTGTCCTTAAATTTTACACAGATCTTGCCCAGTAATGCAAGGATCGGATAAGAAGAGCGAGTTATTAAAATTGGCTCTCTGGATAAGCAGACTAAAAGGATAAATATTCATTACTATTCATTTCTTTTTTACAGTAGTGCCACATACCTGGACTTGTCAAAAAGTTGACTGAGTAAATGATAAGATCACACTCGGTAGAAACTCAGCTAGTATGCCTCACATGTTGATGAACAAGCAAGAAACTAGAAAAATAAATAGCACCAGGTTCAAGTTCAACTTAGCCAATTTGAAATATATACAAAAAGTTCCAAATAGCGTGTGCCTTTACACTGGCTGGTTGGTGGGCCTTCGATATAACAAGTATCTGGGAATGATGCAGCTAGAGTCTGCTTAATACTTAAGCCCAAGATTGGACCAGCTTCGCTAAATGCTGCAGGGCTGAGGCACTGTTGTGACCAAATCACACTGAGAAGCTGAGTGCACCAAGAAGAGGATGGGGTTGTAGAATTTCCGGTGCCATGGCTTAGACATGGAGGTAGACAAAAAGGGTGTCCCTGCGCAACTTGATTGAATTTGAGTCCCATGATAAAGCAGAGTAACTGGGGCCATGAGTAAGCCCAACTTAAACCCTTTTGGACCAATTTTTCTCGTCTCTCGGGGGGGCAGTGTGAAAAGAAATAGCAGTGAGTAAACAAGGAGGTGGAATTTATACCAGATTGTTGCTTATGAGAGACATACGGATGGGTTCCAAACAGATGACCAACTTTTTACCAACAATGAGTTGTTTGGTAAATCGATGTTAGGACCTTAAACTCATTGCCTGTGTCAGCATATACATGAAGAGAAATCGTCTGATGCTGCTCAGGTGATCTTTCAAGGGAAATATTGGTTGAGAAGTTATGACTATCATGGGTAAGCGAGTAAAAGACGTGGATGTTGACTACCAAGATAGGCAAGTTCATTCTCTCGAGCTTGGAACGTTCTGTATTAACATTGTCTGAGATTTAGGCTCTGATCAGTTTAATGGTTTGGTAACTGGAGATGGAATTATTTAAGGAATCTTTTACCACGTTTTGTCTGATATAGTATTTCATGCCTTTCCATCCTAAGAATATATAAGGAATACGACATAGCTATAAGTAAAGAAAAGGGGCATATATGTCTTTCAGCGTATTATGAAAGTGAAAAATAAATTGTGAAAATTGGCCTTAACAAGTTAACATGACATCTATTGTGCATATTTATTAGTAGAAAGTTAAATTGTCTTTTCCCCTCTTATAGAAGTAAATGGGATATTTTTATCTTTATTACTCTTGCGTACTATTTTCAGTTTCGTACTATTTTTATGCTACCAAACAAACTATTAAAAAAGCATTCCTTTTCATTTTGAATCATAGCAGATATAGTTCTTCTTATACTCTTTCATTCATTATTTTTTACCATTTCCATAGCCTTTGATGCCGGAAACTAAACAGGGTCTTAGTTCATGTGTCAGGCGTATTTTATCACAAGTATTCCCTTAGTGATCTGTGCTTGTCAATGGTTAAATATCACGCTTAGTACACATATAATATGAGTCATATCATTCTTCAATTGAATACTACAAATACACAACCAAACTCATTATTACAACCAAACATCAATCTCCTATGCCAACAAACAATAGACTTTAAAACAGCAGCACGCAAATAGTAAAATCTCTGGAGACCGATAAATCTCAATGAACGAGACCGGAGACGAAGGACGCAATAAGAAGGAGCGAGAGGATTGAGTGGAAGGAAATTTTCACGTTGCTTCCATCTGAAAAGCCACCTTCTACTGTAGGTACTGTCTTAGAGCCAGTGCCTGAATTAGGAACGTCTGAGGCCGAAGGTACGATGGAGCCTTCAGGAGAACCAACTGGAGAGCCCGCTGGAGAATTTGAAGGACTGGTCGGTGCATTACCAGCTGCGTTCATAGTTCCATAACATCAGAACAGAGTCTCATAAATAAGCCGCATTGTTCATTACTCATAAATAGTGTGGCTTATTAGAACGTCTATATTATATACAGATGTATAGCTTATTCTTGATGTAAAAGAAGGGAGATTGTAAATTGCAATCATTACCTGCTTTGCATTGACTGACGGGTGGAGTTTGGACTTTGCAAGCACCAGGTAGAGACAGAGCAAGAGTTTGATTAATGGTGAGTCCCAAAGAGGAACCGCCGCCATTAAGGACAGAGCAGAGGCACTGAGGTGAGGATTGAACCACACTGGAGAGCTGCGAGCAACATGTAGACGATGGGGTTGATGAACTTCCCGTTATGTAGTTAAGGCAGGGGCTCATGCTTGTGAGTGCACTAGTGCAGCCTGATTGTGCAGCAGTTTGAGTCCATAGAGCACTGGCCACGACAACCACAGCCAGACCCAGCATCATCACTTTGAACGCCATTGTTGATCTTGGGAGGATTTCACAGGTGAAGATTTCTCAAGAACTATGTAGGGAGGGCTTGTTTCAGGTTCTGAATTTGAATTGAATGCTTGATGGCTGAGTGAGGATGGAAGGAGTCGGAGATGGGTTATATAGGAAAAACGCAAGAATGAACAAGTAAATATAGGTCGCCAACTTTTTCTAATTAATGGCCCACTATTTGAACTTAAAAGATTAAGTGGCTAACCTTCTCCTTATAAAATTTACTTGCTTTTCCACAACTCACAGATTGCTGATTTGTTTATTTATTTATTTATTTAAATATGTTTGACTCCTATCATTCCTAATATGGGGAGCAGATCAACTAAGTTATGTCGATTGCTTTTAAGTTTTAACATTCTCTATTTAATTAGGCTATCTATTCCTTGCAAGGAAGTGTCGTTAAGTAGTTGAACTTCAGCGACATAATTTTTTTGGTCAATGCCGTCAAGACCTTACATTTAATTTATTTAATTAAAACCCCGCGAGGTCTTGGGACGTGCCCTAAGAAAAATACCTAGATTAAGTTTCTTATGCTGTCAAATTTTATATTTCATTTATTTTTACATAAATCTATAATTAAATAATAAAATTAAAAAATAGAAATAATGTGTGAATTGAGAACTTAACATGATGATTATAAAAAACTTAATTAAGTATTAATATTGTGCTATTGCTAAATACTAACACCTCAAACGAGGGGGAGATGAGGAACAGTCAGGTCATTCTCAGTTAATTTTTTCCTGGACAGTTAACTTTTGTCACTAGAGGAAGCATGCGGTACGGGTTTATTGAGGCCTTTTTAGTTAACTTTTTGTTACAAGAGGCAGCTTGTTTTTTTTATTTTTTTGTCCTCATCAATTAGTTAAGTATTCTCACAGAATTATATTGATGCTAATTTTTGTATTCTTGATCACACTCCTCTTCTTAATCTTAAGGCAGACGGTCATCGTGAAGAAAGATAAGGCTTGTTTAGCTTGGTACTTTTGTTTTGATTTTGAATTTTAGTTATCATTCAAATGAAAAAAGGACGAGGCTGTCAGAATAGTTCGACCATGTTCTGTTTGTTATATTATATGTCAAAACAGTTTTGTTTCTTTGAATAAGTTTTATAGAATTCCCTTTTTTTAACTTTTCTTTTATGTCTTTTTGCAAGAGCTACTGGTTTGTTTGGCTCTTCCTGATATTCGAATTGACTCTTTTCCTAATCGATCTCTTCTAGATGGTTTAAATATTGGCTTAGCTTGTCTAATGATCTGCATGTACAACTATGGGCGTTATTTTTACATTACCTATTTGCTTTTTACTTTCTGTTGTGATATAAATGGGTGTGTCAAAAGTAAAAGTCTCATATTGTTGTTTATGAGGAAAAAAATTCTTTTACACTTTATAGTTGTCTGTCTAGAAAAACAATTTTTATCAAGCAGTTAATAAACATATTTTAATACTCACTGATTTAAAAACGGAAAAGTGGTTCATTTGTTTGGAAAAAATAAAAATAAAAATTAGAAAACAAGAAAAATAAAAAAAAAGTCAAGGTTAATTTAACAACATTAAATATTTTGTTGTGTAATTTATTTTTTGAATTATTTCCTAAAAATAATTTTTTTAAAAATATGTTTTATGAGAAATTTTCAACCTGGCCATTAATTTCCTAAAAGTATGTTATGGGAAGTACATCTGTTAGTCTAAATTTTTTTGGCAGTACATTAACGGCTTAAAATAATTTTGTGGTTTATAATTTTTACGCTCTTGTGTGTCAGTGCAGGTATTTTACGGCCCGTTTGTTTGACGCATTGCAGGGGCTGTCTTGTTTTGTCTCTTTTGATGTAATTGTCTTGGTAATTTGATACCATGTTTTATGCCATTACATATCAAAAATCATCTGATGGGATATGAACAGTCCTATATTTTAATGTTTATGATTCTTTTGTTTTAACGACTAGGACTGAGTAATGGGCAGCTAGACTAGTCCAAGGGTTAGCCCATAGCCCGCCCATTTTATGAATAAACGGGCATGGGCTACTCATAACCCGTAGCAGCCCGTTTTACCCGACGGGTTCCCGGGTTATGGGTATCCTTTATTTTTTCTTTCTGCTTTTTTTTTTTATACAAATTTTCATTATAGTGTAATCTAATGAAGCTGTCAACAAATTTTGCATAGCAAATAGCAAATCAAATATATAAATAACATCACATAATACCAGCTATATTTCACACACAACTTCACTAGAGTCACCATCATAAAGTATCAGTCGAAGTCGAAGTCTTAAAGATGGCAAACGCAGCGGCAGCGCCTTCTTACAAGAGTTCAGATGATCAGTGGAGCTCCAATGTCGAAGTTGAAGACTTGAAGTTGCAGCAAAACCCAGCCATCCAGCATCCATGCTCGCAGTTACAGTCTTGAAGACGCAGAGATGCAGAGTCACATCATCACTCTCTCGACTCTCGCGGTTGCAGACAGCCAGAGAAATTGACGATCACAGTTCATAGATCGCTGGAGCTCAAAGCAAACCGGGCAACTACAGGCTCAAAGTTGAACCTGAATCTTAGAGACGCTAGACAGAGAGCACTAGCAGGCGGCAACAGCAAAGGAAGTTCCTAGTTCATAGTCGGCTGGCTAGTCCTACTCGTTCGGTCGAAAGAGAGCAAGATAGAGACAGAGTTGAAACCTGAAAGCTTGAAACCGAAAGTCTGAAAGAAATGGATAAATGGATAATTGCCTAATTGGATATGAAACTCAATCCTGAAACTTGGTACCAACCCATGACTCCACGAGCCCACTTGCTGATGGCTTAAAAAAATATTTAAAAAAAACACTTAAATGGGCGGGTATGGGCAGCCCGATGCCTTGGCCATAGCCCGTCCCGTTTAATGGGCTGCCCCACCCATTTAACCCAACCCGTTTAGTATCTGCTATATGGGCTAATTGGGCGGGCTTAAATGGGCAAAAAATTATTGGGTTATGAGCGGACCAGCGGGTTATGGGTTTCTTGCTCGCCCCTATAATCGACGTGGTTTATATGGTCTCAACTTCGAGCTTTGAGTGGTGAATATATGAGTCCCAAACACCTCTAATTTAGGGAAGAAAAGAAAAGAAAGTAACATGATTAAGCTTCTATTTTCCTCAATAAGTTTTTCTCAAGAAATGAGAGTATTCAGAAGTTTTTGAAACACAGTATGATCTTGAAATTATTTCATCTAGTCCTATTTATAAGTTTTAAATTTAAAAAGGGTTGTAATCTATTTTAGTACTCCCCTTCCTATTTTTTTATAAGAAATAATTTCTTTCATAATGGTGTTTCTAAACATAAAAAACAAAACTTCTTTATCTAAAATTATGAATTAGTCTTTTATACTTTTATCTTTATTAAATACTACCTCCGGTCCTAATTAAAGAGCCAGTTAACTAATTTGAGTAGATTAAAGAAGTAAGTTGAGTTAGTTATTTGTCCTAAATAGGTGTTGTCCTTCCTAAAATATCATTGCCAATCAAGTGTATTAACTAGAACTATCATTGTTAGAAGTGTTACTTTAAAATATATATGTATATATATGAGAGAGAAAGTAGACTGGAGTCTTATATTTAGAACCAAAATAAAATTTAAATAGCATCTTATATTAAGAATTGAAAATAGTATATATTATTTCTTCTGATTTATAAGATGTAGTGTATTCTAAATCTTCCTCTTCTTCTGAGCCGAAACAAACATGACCACTGCCGCATTTTCTAAGGAGCAACCCAGTAGTCTACCCGTGTCGATCTGCTGATAACCCACGTTACCAGGTAACATTGGACCAACATACCCCACAAACCAATCAAGCGGGCACCTAGAGATGATATTATTAGTTAATCCCTAGCATTAGCATAAAATGGAAAGAGTGAATCAAGATTTAGATGGATTCCTATCTTTATCTCTATTCATGGAGATAGCTATCAATATGTTTATACAATAAAATGAGTTTCGTATTTAGAATCAAAGGAGTAGTTATTATCTTTCTGTAATAAATTTTTACTTATTATTTTTCATGCACTCTTTTTACAAAAAATAATATAATTAGAAAGAAAATATGTATATATTTTATACATCTATTTTTAAACTAAATTTAACTAATATTATTAAATTGTATTTCTTTACAAATGAAATATTAAATAAGCTTTAATTTGAGTCTGTGAATTACGCTGGCAATTGGATAAGAGATGGAGTCAGAACTTGACGGGAAAAGACAAAAATTGTTTTCTTTTTAGAAAAATTGTGATAAGGTCTCACTTAAGAAAATGAAATACAAAAAGGTCTATTAAAATTATCAAATTATTTTTGAAGTCCCAAGAGACTTCATTGTAAGAGATTTTATTTGTTTAATTATCAAATTACTCTTATCTTTTTTTTAAAAAAAGTGTCCATTGACAACTTAAAGTATGACAATTCATACATTACATTGTTATGATGTGCTGAGAAAATGTGTTGTTAGTACTTGTCGTGATAGTTGTTAATTATTACACTTTAAATTATTAATGATTATTCCTTCAGTTGTTAATGATGATTAGAAAAATAAAGATAATTTGGAAATTAAACAAATAAAATCTCTTATAATAAAAGTCCATTGGGCTTCAAAATAATTTGATAATTTTTTTAAAAAATTTTATTTAATTATTTTATATAGGAGCTTATTACAATTTTTCTTTTATTTTTTTCCCCTACTCGTAAATCTGAGATGGTAGGAGGCGAGGGCAAGCGGCATATAGAGTGCCATGTGACACAGGTCTTGTGGGATTAACAGTGTAATTTATCCTTGGACTGAGAAAATTAAGAAGGAGAAAAAATAAGGTAGCCTTATTTTCTTTCAAATTTCTTTCTGTGTATCCTCGTATCTCTCTCTCTTATATTTATTTTATTTTGTTTAAAAAAATATTTATTTTTTATTTTTATCTTAAAACAATATTCTTATTAAATGAGTTGGTTTTAAAAAAATATAATAATATATAAAAAAATATAAACTAAATAACTTGATAAAAATATTTTACTCTCTTTTTTTTTCTTCCAACACTTTTTCCGTCCAATGAGAGGATTTATCTTGACTAACGGCAACAGCCTATCGACAGTGTTATACCCGAAACCAAAACCCTCCAAATCATTCGCGGGTGAGCCCGCCGGGCAGTGATTCTGATTCTCCACTCAACCGAAAACCGATTGCTACTTCTCGGCGTCACTACGGCTCCTGCCTGTCCAAGCTTAGCTCTCCGGTATGTACCATTTTAAACTACCCGTTGCTGACTTGGGGGGAATACTATGAAATCAGTTCGTTGCTCCACAAAGTGCATGCAGTTTTGCTTTCGTTAGCTAACTGTTGTGCACAAACTGAGAATTGAGCAAGCAAATAAAAAGAAAGCAAATTAAAGCACAAAGATGGGCGTCTGAGATTGCCCGCTGACTGTGATTGTGAATATAGCTGTCTGGTTTTTTCTTTCCCTGCAAAATGGTTGTGCTTAGATGGTTTGCAACTCCTCTTTATTTTGCTTTATATTCAAATCCTTGAGCAATTGGCTTTTCAGGCTCAACTTTTTCCTCTTTTTTTTTTTCTGGTGATTTAGGGGGCTGGCCTGATATGAGTTGGAAAGCGGCTGAGAAACTAATTAGGCACTGGAAGATTCTCAGAGGGGACAATGTAGGAAACTCTTGCTTTTTTTAAAAAGTATTTCAGCGTTGCTTTGACTTTTTTTCCTCTAAATTTTGTTATCTTTCCTCACCGTTGTGAGCATTGTTGTTGTCATTTGTCTCAGGTAATGATTATAAGGGGCAAGGATAGAGGCAATATAGGAATTATTAAGCGCATGATTCACTCTCGGAATCGTGTAACTGCTGAGGCCAAAAATCTGGTAACACTTATTCTCAGCTCTATCTTTTCGATTTAGAATTCTTGTGAAGAGAATATGTGAAATTGGTTTGTTATTTCTTTCTTTCCTTTTTTTTAAATGTTGGTCTGGTGATTGATATGAAGAAGAATTGATTTTCTGATATTAATGAAGTTATTTTGTGGAAAAAAAAAAAGACCCCACTGTTCTTTATTGCCCCATGAGGTCTATGCCAAGTTTGGTTGAAGATAGGTAAAGTGGTCATGTACTTGCCTGTCAGTCTAGGAAGATTTTGAGAACTCAGGCTCAAAATCTATATTGTCTATTAGTGGTGGTATTTCTCATAGTTGAGTTTCCCATATTGTATGCAAATGTAGAATGGTTATGCCATGCATTATATCTCCGACCCAAAAAGAAAAAGAAAAATGGTACAGCTACTATAGCTGCCTAATTTGTTCATATTACAAGGGTTTATTATGATAAAATCTGCAAATTTAACTTTTATAAAATGTAATCATCTTATTATAGGCTAACAAAACCGGTATAGTTTAAATTTTCTAGATGGATTATCAAATGAATTGACTGGTTGCCTCACTTACATGGGAAGGCACGGGTCTTTCTGATTACATTTTCGCTGACAAAGTCACGAGTTTGTTCAGTTTACTAGCCTTTTTCAGTCTTCTCAAGTTCACAAGCATTTTTGCTGAAATCACAGAATGAATTCAACCACCGAAGTCTACATTTCTCAAGTATGGCTGAAACAATCTTGGTCCAGGCTCGAGACCCTGGTAAACTGAATATGGAAATAGAAAAAGCTATCAATGAGAATAAATTAGATGATACATGGAAGCTATTTGAGCAGCATATGCAAATAGATGGTTTTCCTAGAAAATTTATTGTCAACAAACTTCTAACCACTTTTGTGGAAAGCCTTGATGTGCAGTGGCTAGAAAAAGCTTATGGGTTGGTAGAAAAGTCTATTGAGGAAGGTAAACAGAACTTGTTAGAGAAGGAAGTACTTATTTATCTCTGCTTTGGTCTTGCCAAAGCTGGACTGCCAGTTCCTGCATCAACTGTCTTAAGAAAGATGATAAATATGGAGCAATTTCCCCCAGTCACTGCATGGTCTGCGGTTTTGGCCCACATGTCACAAACAGCAGATGGAAGTTATCTTGCTGCTGAGTTGATTCTTGAAATAAGTTATTTGTTCCAGAACAATAGAGTGGATCCTCGCAAAAAGAGCAATTCACCTTTGGTAGCTATGAAGCCTGATACTACTGCTTTTAACATTGCTTTGGCAGGGTGTCTCCTATTTGAGACTACTAGAAAAGCAGAGCAGCTTCTAGATGTGATGTCTCAAATTGGTGTCAAGGCTGATGCAAATTTACTAATAATAATGGCTCATGTATATGAGAAGAATGGGCGAAGAGAAGAACTTAAGAAGCTGCAAAGGCACATAGAGGAAGCACCCAATCTTACTGATATTCAGTTCCGCCAATTCTTTAATTGTTTACTCTCATGCCATTTGAAATTTGGGGATCTAGATTCAACATCAAACATGGTTTTGGAAATGCTAAGGAAATCAAAGGAGGCAAAAAATTCTCTTGCAGCTGCTAAATTTATAAGTGACGCAACTGAAGTTAGTCATAAATATTCTACTGGACTTGCTTCTATGCCAAGCTTGAGTGGCAGAAAGGATTCAGACTGTTTAGAATATGACAAACCAATGAGACAAAACATGGTATACTCCAACCAACTGAATCAATTTATGTGAAATTGGTTAAAGGATTTCTAGAAGTTGGCAAGACCAAGGATTTGGCAGAGTTTCTAATCAAGGCAGAAAGAGAAGATTCCCCGCTTTCCAATGACAGTTCAGTATTGGTTCATGTCATTAATTCATGTATTTCACTCGGATGGTTGGATCAAGCACATGACCTTCTTGATGAGATGCGGCTAGCTGGAATTAGAACTGGCTCTTCTGTGTATGCATCTCTCTTGAAAGCCTATTGTCAAGCAAATAAGGCTGCTGAAGTCACTTCACTTTTAAGAGATGCAAGGAGGGATGGTATCCAGCTGGACTTTAGTTCTTATGAGGTGATGATCCAATCCAGGGTGATTCAGGAGGATACAAAGGGAGCGCTCCGTTTATTCAAAGAGATGAAAGCGACTAAGATTCAACAAAGAGTTGAGACAGCATGACAGCTACTGTCATGCAAGCTAAAAGTCATGTACAAAGATGAATCTGGGTTGATGATGAATCTTTTGCAGGAAATCAAAGAAGGACAGAAAGTGAATTATGGGGTTCATGACTGGAATAATGTAATCCATTTTTTCTGCAAGAAGAGACTGATGAAAGATGCTGAAAAGGCTCTGAAGAAGATGAGGAGCCTAGGCTACACACCAAATGCACAAACTTTCCATTCTATGGTCACTGGGTATGCTGCTGTAGGAGGGAACTATCTGGAGGTAACAGAGCTCTGGGGTGAGATGAAATCTCTTGCTTCTTCAGTCTCGATGAAGTTTGATCAGGAGCTTCTTGATTCAGTGCTGTATACATTTGTGAGGGGTGGATTCTTCAGTCGAGCCAATGAAGTTGTGGCAGTGATGGAAAAAGCTAACATGTTTATTGACAAATATAAGTATCGGATGCTTTTCTTGAAGTATCATAAAACATTATATAAAGGCAAAGCTCCAAAGTTTCAGACAGTAACCCAGTTAAACAAGAGGGAAGCAGCCCTGGCTTTTAAAAAATGGGTTGGCTTGAGTTGAAGTCTTGATCAAGTATTCACTCTTTGAATCTGTCGTCTTTACTCTAGGCTGTTAAAATTTGGTAAGATTTGTTCTCAGTTTTGCTTTTGTATTAGAGTTTCCGTTAGTGAATATGTGAAGTTGTAGTTATGGTTATTTTTCCACAATCCAGTCATTGTTTGAAGGCATGACAGGTTATAATGAAATTTCAGATATTAATGAACTGGTTTTTCTGAAAGCTATGATCGTATGCCTGCAAGAATAAGGAACTTTTATGGGATTGTATTCAAAATCGGGTACCTGCTAGCTCTGGTGTTCTATCTTAATGATCTTAATAATATCTATCTCATTGTATTCCCCATAAATGTAAAATTTTGCTATGTGGTGTAATGATCTTCTCTCTGACCAAAGAAAAAATTATGGATAGAACTATTCTAGCTGTATTAATTCCATATTCATGTCTGCTTAGTTCTAGGTTCAGCACTTATTAGTTGTAGTTTTTCTTCCTTAATACTATGTTTGCTCTAAGTAAGTGATTTTCTACTAGCTCGTGGTGGTGACCTGACGTCTCTTGTAGTGACTTGGGATATGTGAATTGGTGATAATATGTCCTATCTCTGACCAAATAGAGAAGGGACACAACTGATCTAGCTGCCCACCTTGTTTTACATGCATTTACCTTGGTTTCTAGTTTCTTGGGAAATTGAACTTTTGTACAATATGGCAATTGTTTTATATTGATTAGATAAGACATCAGCCACGTAAAATGTTTTTGGAGGAATCTTGATTATTGCGTCTTCTTGAAGCCTTGTACACTGATGATCCCATCAGGGCAGTGACCCTATGGTGTACTCCTGTGCTGTTTTGTAGAATTCTTGGAGACTCCAATACTTAGATACTCTTGTAATGTTAAATAAATGTGCTAGACAGACAGATCATTATTTTTGTTGGTTGATGAGGGTGTGTATTTGTTCTTCCATTATCAGGATGTTTGGTGTTAAGATTTCAATTAAGTGGAGCCTTTTGCTTTGCCCTCTTTTGTTAGGTATTACAGAAAGCGACAAGGTCAGGAGCAGGGGATCTTTTCAGTTGAAGCCTCGATTCATGCCTCAAATATGCTGATTCCTGATCCATTGACGGTATCGCATGCATTCATACACAAAACTCTAATGTGTCTGCCTGCAGGATAACTAGATAGTAGCCTACTTGTCTCGGTAATGCAGGAAGCCTTGCTAGGTTGGAAATCAGATATATTTGAAGAAGGTCCATACTCCAAAATCCGTCCGTCCCAAGATCTTGAAGATGAGAACCATCTCAATCCATTCAGTCCATGCATATCTTGACGTGACATCCAACAGTAGTCAATGCACTTGGAATGCAATCGTGAATGCTTTTGCCAGCCTCGACGCCTAGACTCACTCTCTTGTTTGAACCTTGAATGGCATCTATTTATTAACCTGTGTCGCTCATGAACTATCGAAGATCCATCTCCACAGATTTCCCAATGAAGGACAAAGCGGACTATCCAGCTAGAGCATCTAACCAATTTGTATTTTGTTGTTGCGGCTGGCCGCTGATACCCTGCGATGATCTAGAGAAGACTTGGGTGCTAAAATAGGGAAGGGCGTGCCCGACCATCGAAACGATTATGTGCTTTATTTCATTTACGTTGATATCCTACTAGGATAAACAGGATATGACCTAAGGCTCTTGCCCTTTTCACCGCCGCTGTTTATTCAAGTGAATGATTATACTCCTCCGGTCCTTATTATAAGACCCAATTTGACTTTTTATTTGGTCCTAATTATAAGACCCAATCCATTTTGTCTCTTATATTTATGCATTTTTTTCCAACATAATCCTTATAATAATGATAGTTTTAGCCAATATACTTAATTAGCAAGGATATTTTAGGAATGACAACACTTTTATTATAATAACCAATTTAACTTACTTCTTTAATCTCCTCAAATAAGTCAATTGGGTCTTATAATTAGGACCGGAGGAGTATCTCTTTTAAGTGTAATGGGGCATTTCGTAATCGTTTCCCTTCAGGAACATCTGATAATATTTCATTTTATAGGGGCTAATTATTAGCAAATCCAAATACTGAATGTAAATAATTCCGGACTAGCACATGCGAAATGTTGTTACCGTTGTTATGCAAGAAGTGATTGAAGGCAATTTGTCTCGCGTTTTCCTTTATACGGATATGAACGCCTATGCATGAAAAAAGCAGAGGGCAACTACAAGTTAAATCAAAGTCAAGGTTAACGCAAGGGTTGCCCCTTAACAAGACACGAACGAACCCAAAACAATCACCAACGCCCGTTTATCCACGGTCTCACTCTCAGAACGTCGAACTGAATATTCATATTTGTGGACCAAAAAAAAAAAAGAAAAAAGAAAATCAGTGTCTTAGATTTGGATTGGATTTGGATTCCCCGCGCGGCTGAAGTCCATGCACGCTATGCGAGGTGGCCACACGACTCCATTTTGCTCCCCCGCATTTTAGAAAATTTACCCATAAATTTAGGTATTCATGTTTAGAAATTTAAGATACTTTATTCCAATCTACAGAACAGGCAAATTCTTTTAATATATTGCTTATTTTATAATTAACTCTTATAATTAACATCATTAAGTTGGCTTTAAATTAAAAATTCACCTTTTGGAGATACATGCATTAAATACCCATGCAAACGCCTCGTCGATATTGTCCAGATCAATCGAGACCGTGGCATCCATTGGAGATAGACTTTATATTACACGTCAATTGAATATATTAGGACACGTTACCTGACACTTGTCCTCGTGCATGTCATCCTTTCCATCATCCTCGTACCATTTCTCTCCCTATAAATCCCACGCGATCATTATCATGCAACAAATCCTGTGCTCAGAACTTTGTTGTTGTTCTTCTTCAACAAAATGACCATGAATACCAAGCTCCCTCTAATTCTCTTGTTGTTCTTCCTGGTAGCCTTATCTGCATGTTTGGCACTGCCCACACATGAAACAGAGGTAGACCCTGAGCTCAAAACATGCAAACACCAGTGCAGACAGCAGCTGCAATATAGCGAGAGTGACGAGCGCAGATGTTTGGAAAGATGTGAGAGGTATGATAGGATGAAGAAGGAGCGAGAGAGGGAAATAGAAGAGCAAGTCCGGAGAAGGAAAGAGCATGAGATGGAAGAAAAGGGAGGAGGAGGAGAAGAAGAAGGGTATGAGGAGGAGGAGGAGGAGGAGGAGCAAGAGGGAAATCAGTTTGTTTTCGGCGATGAACAATTTGAGACGAGGGTCGAGACAGAGGATGGCACAGTTCGGGTTCTCCAGAAGTTTACGGATAAACTTCGGGGCATTAAGAATTTTCGTTTGGCTGTTTTAGAGGCTCGACAACATAGTTTTGTATCCCCACATCACTTCGATTCTGAGCTCATTATCTTCACCGTCGAAGGTACAGAATAAGTTGCCCAATTCTTTCGGCTTGGCTTTCATTGACGGTGTTTGTTGTTCACCTCGTATAATTTGTATACGAATTATTCTGATTGATTAATGTAAATTTTTGATGTTGGGTTTACAGGGCGAGCTACCATCGGGTTGGTGAAGAGAGACAAAACAGGAGATTCAACCTTCAACCAGGAGACTTCATGAGGATACCATCGGGTACCCCTTTTTACATTGTCAACAGAGATGAGAATGAGAAGCTCCTTCTTGCCCAGCTCCATATTACTGTCTCCATCCCAGGACATTTTGAGGTTAATTATTTTCATTTCCCTTCTCAAGTTTCCACGAGTAATTAGATGGTGGGTCCCGAGTTTCATCTGAGGCTTGTTAATTGTTCAAGACATGCGGCTTCATTTTATATAATAATAACGACATGGACGCAAAACAATATACACAAGTAAAGGGTGGTTAGATCAGAGGGAATCGACATGCATTCATGAATATTGAACTGTCATTGATGATGTTGTGTAGTTTCTAACAAGGTATACAAAAATATACGAGCTATCATATTGATCCTAAAGCAACGATGTGTATGTAGGCATTTTACGGGCCTGGTGGGCGAGACCCAGAATCAGTTCTGGGAGCATTCAGCTGGGACATACTTGAAGCCGCATTGAAGGTATAAATTACAAATCTGGTTTTTGTTTCTTCAGCACACAAAAGTTTTGGCATGAATCATAGTAACGGTTTCTCTTTTGTTGCTTTCTTTGGAAATTAATCAGGGGCACAAGGGGAGGCTGAAGAATCTCTTTGAAAGACAAAGGAAGGGAAGCATTTTCAGAATATCCAGAGATCAAGTGAAGTCACTGAGCAAGGGCTGGGAAGGTCCTAGCCTGTGGCCCTTCGGAGGGCAAGGGAGGGGTCCCTTTAGTCTCTTCCGGAACAGACCCTCTGTTTCCAACGACTACGGTCGTCTTTATCAAGCAGGTCCTGAAGACCAGAGCGACCTTGAAAACCTCAATCTCATGATCACCTTCGCTAACATCACCAACGTATATCCACAACTAACCTTAAAATTCTCGCCTCAAAAGCCACAATACATAAAAGCAACTACTTTCTTGTCGGTCATAACATGTTTTTCTCGAATTGTGTTGAAATTTGCAGGGATCTATGTCAGCTCCTATGTACAACTCAAAAGCAATCAAGATAGGCATGGTAACTAAAGGAAATGGAGAATTTCAGATGGTGACTCCACATATTTCGCGAGGACACCGGAAGAGGAAGAGCAGCCAAACATACCAGAGGGTGAGTAGTGAGTTGAGGCCAGGAGTGGTGTTCGTTGTGCCTGCGGGCCATCCCTGGGTGACCATCGCTGCCAGGGAAAGCAATCTTGAAATACTCTGCTTTGAGGTTAATGCACGAGGGAACATGAGGCTCGCTTTTGCAGGTATATTATATATAGACATCATTAACTACTGTTATATATGCTATTGTTTTTAGTTATGATCACGGTGAAAGTTATGAGTGGGGTGTGGATGGATTAATAATGAAACAGGGAAGAGGAACATAGTGAAAGCGATGGACAGGCAGGCGAAAGAGCTGGCGTTTAACTGGTCAGCGGAGAAGGTGGACGCCATATTTAGCAGGCACGAGGAATTCTTTTTCCCTGGGCCTCAGAATTTCGAGGAGGAGGCTGAGGACATTCCTCGTCGTGCTGACGCCTAAGATGAGAAGACAGGAGAGTAGCAAGCAACAAGCAGAGCACGGTTGAGAACGCTTTTGTTTTATCCAAGTGGTGTTTTTGTGTTTGTGCATGCAAAAATGGGGCTCTATCCTAATGTGTATAGGAAATGAAATAAAAAGAGATCCCCACTAGCCAAAGCGAGTGTCGTGTAGACCAACTAAATAAATGATCTACGGGACGAGTTTTCCTGCTATCGAACCATTTCCGGAGCACGTAACTATTTCCAAGTGACAATTACTTCGGTTCTTAGTATATTGATCCGTAGATCATAGCCATCGCTCTTTACAAGTTCGAGCAATTCCATAATATATTGATAATCAATTAGAAGATATAGAAAGGAAGAAAGGAAGAAATTGTCTTCGTTTACGTGAACTACGGATTTGAGTACTCCGATCCTTCTGAAGTCTCTTCTTTGAATTTTTTTTTTCTTTTCCTACGATTTTCATAATTTTAAATGTCACAATAAGCACACATGGTTAAAGATAAAATGCTTGATTAGGGCTCTTTTTATCTGGTATATATTTTTGTTTTTGCTACCAGTCACGTGCTTAAATTTTTTGATATGAACGTAAAGCTTGAATCTTGACAGGTGGAGAATTATTTGCTTTTTACAAAAAGAGAAAACTAATATACTGGTCCTTGTAGTTTTGTCCTATTTTGAATTAGGTCTTCAAAATTATTTCTTTTTTATCAAATCCTTAATGTTTTAATTGTTACAGCTATAGATCTTTTTGTTTAAATGACTTTATATTTAGGTAAACACTGTTAAAGATGGCCACTAGCATTGATGCCTGAAAAAATCACCGTCACAAGCAGACCCAAATCCCTACCTGAATCTTGTGCTTTATACCCAAAATACTTATATCTTTGTTTCAAACCAAAAACAGAGACATGCATTCATACATCACTATAAGGTTTCGACCCAGGTTTTCACATTATTATTCTTCCAATGAACGTTGCTTCATTTAGTTTGGCCTAAAAATCAAGATGTACATCTTGATGCTAGAGGATGATGGTTAGGGAGGAGCGGATCTAGCTGTCAAGTAAGAATGTCTAATTACTTGAAGGGCTCACGAATCACGATATAGCAGTAATCTATCACAATCAAATGCTCCAGTACCCCATTGGTGGATTCCCTTCGAGTAAAAGCTCACATCCACCAACACAACGGATCCATCTTCAGTGCAATCCTCGAATGGGATTGATCTACTGCCATGGCAGACTTAAGCCTTATCAGACCCAATGAATCTGTCAAAGCCGTGCTCGCACTCCGAGGAACACTCTCTAAAATTCCCACCATGTGTCGAGACATCGAAGATAATCTCTGATTTCTCGCCTAGGAAGACCTCAAAAGATCCATGAGGTTTAGCTCAACCAAGGAGGCACCATGGTGGGACTTGTGCCTCAAACTTGCCAAATACAGGCGACCTTATAGGAAGAAGGTTCTTGGAGATCAATGGCAGTGGTCTTTTTTAACGGTGTTTAGCCCCATCTTAAACAGAAGGGTGAATGGCTATAACGGTTAAAACATTAAGGATTTTATTTTTAAAAAAAAACTTTAAAGACCTGATTCAAAATAAGACAAAACTATAAAGACCCGTGTGTTAGTTTTTCCTTATAAAGAAGAGGAAACGCATTTATCCTATTTTCGATGCATTTCTCATTGCTTTTATAGAGAACATTTTTCATAACATGCCGAAGCCGAACATCGCATAATGGTACCTATCATCCTTTGAAATTTGAATGCTTACAAACAATATTATTTGTTATGAGTTGGGAATGTGGGCCACCTTGACCTACACGGGCTGAACCCCTGAGGGCCGTTAAGTGGGCCTAGCTGGGCCATCTAATTTTCTTGGGCGGGTTGGGATTTTCTCAAGATTTCATGTCTGACCCATTATTATATAAATTCATGAAGACAAAATTTTATGTCCAGTCTCGATTTTTCAAACATAGCATAAAACAATTTGAAAAAAGAAATGACATTTGAGAAACAAATCCACAGACCACAATCACAAGGCCAATGTCTTTCGTTCATCTTCATAGTCTATAACACACGATTGTAATTGTTTATTCAATATGGTTAGTTTGAGAAGGTAAGTAGTCTAGTCTCACAAGGAGAATAATACAGGTTTGATACATAAGAAACGTATTTGTTCGGAGAGTTTTAATTTTAAGGTTGCATTTGGTATGAGGAAAGGGGAGGGACGAGAAAGGATTTTAATTATTTTTTTTTGTTTGGCGACACATCCCCTCCCCTCCAAATTTGGAAAGATTTGGAGGGAAATGGTAATATTTTGTCATGTTGTGACTATTATACCTATATTTACTTTTAATATCCCTGTATTACTCTAAATTTTTTTCTTCTTGTCTTCAAACACTACTCTCTCCTTTGCATGTGAATGTCAAATTTGAAAAAAATAAAATAGACAATTCAATAAACAAAGTTTTGAGGATTTAAATTTTGACATATATAAATTAAATATGTCAAACTTTAAATCCTCGGAGCTTTGTAGCCATAAAGATAAAAATAGATGAAAACGAGGTCCCACGTTTAATGAGTTTATCTGTTTGACTAAATATTTCATTCAAAGATGAAATACAATACAAGTTGTGGCTGAACATTATTTCAGTCTTTTTTTCAATAATACTTCACACTCTAGAGTATATTAGAATTTTAGTTTAAGTATTGCTTAATATATTAAATGTTATTTACAATTCTATTTTATTAAACATTCTATAAAATTTGAAAAAAAATAATCTTAAATAAAATAAGGGTAAAATTGTCCATGTCAAAATATTTTTCCCTTCCCTCCTCTTATAAACCAAACAAGGTAATATTAAAACTCCTCCCGTCCTCTCCCTTTTTATAAATCCAAACAAGGTAATATTAAAATTCTTTCACTCTCCTTTCCTCCCCTTCCTTCCATTAAAATTCCTCCCCTCTTCTTCCTCTCATTGAGCCAAATAGACCCTAATGCTCCCAACCAGATAAATATTGTTTTCAAATCGAAAGTAATTTGAGAAAAATCTGAGTTATACCAAAAAAATATGATACACTAGAAGGAGCAACCAATTTCTTGAATATTTTTCACAATTCAGCCGCATTTAGCACTTGAACATCAGAATATACTAGTGTGGATGTTTTGAATATTCACGTGTTGAGATTCATAAGAAAGCATGTTACATATTGCCAAAAACAATAATCCAGCAGTGGGAGTTTGCACTCATGGTAAAAAAATAGTAAGAGTTTGCGCCAATATAGGTTTTAAATAGGAAAAACGCTAAGTGAGACCTACAAGCAATTTGAAGCCATACTAACTAAATCACAGGTCGTAATAATTTCAGGAATTATTCAAAATTTGAATGTCAAAATATAAATTATAGTGGTTATTTCTCATATTTTAAAACCAGCTATTTTTTTTTTTTTTAAAAGCTAACCCACTGTGTTTTTAGCGTTTGGCTGCAATAACACTAAAATTTTTCCGTTTTAAAATCCCACAATTTATTGGGAGTATAAATGAGCCAAAACCGAGCAAGGAGACAACTGAGTAGGAGAGAAGGAAGGGGGGAGTAATATTTTGACTAAAGTACTACTCTAAACCACTGTGACATAACTCAAACCCGAAGCCTTGTGATTCTGATGTCAGCTGTTATCCACTGACACCTTCTTCTTGTTTAACAAGCAACAAAAACCAGCACAGGTTTCACTGATTTGGGCAGTGACCTGCTTGAATGTGACATAAATGATAAAACCTTGCATTAAATATGGTTAATCCCACAATTCATTTCACCCCAACTCTTCATTTTCCCATTAATGGCAATTATACCTGACGACTGACGTCCTACATGGCTATACATATATATGTTACTGTCTCGCTTATACTTGCTTAAAACACTGCGTGCTGAACATTATGATCAATAGTCTCAGGTCAGAAAAAAGAAAGGCCATGTTCAACATGTACTGAAATCCCAACAAAGGAATCTGCAAATGGGGCATGAGAAAAAGGAGCTGTGGGGATATACATGAAGGAAAGTGATGACTACTTATGATGCTGCTTTTGTTGTCTCAGTCTCAGGAGGGATGATTGAATGCTCAGAGCTTTGACGCCTCTCAAGGCCTTCCTGCCCATTTGGACCTTTCACCATCATCACTCCTTTGTGCTACTTTCATGCATGCGTGCGTCAATATTGTCAGATCCCTCTCTGCATAATGCATCTGTCTCCCTGTGCCATGCTTAACAATCACCATCAATTCGTCTCATTGATCATCACCATATTCCTTCTATCTGCTTTCAATTACTCCCTCCCTGCATTATTATCAAACGCCATCATCATACTTCATAATGGCATTCCATTTTCCAGCATCTTTTGATAGTAACATATTAGAGATGATATCATTTAATTTATCAGTGTCAGAATTGTTCACTCTTCTGATATATATATTCATGTGTACGTAGCATTATGGTTGGAATAATGATGGTGGTGTGTTAAGTTTGTTATTCCTATAACGATTTCGGTGCCCCACTTCGTCACATAGCTTTCAACTCATACACACAAAGGCAAATTCAAATTGAATATAACTGGAAAGAGAGTGCTTTTCTATTTGGTTATGCGATAAAGTGGCCCATTCCAATTAATGCACATGCTCGAAGTATTCTTGGATTGAGCATTTTAGCAAGTGTTTTTTCCATGCAATGCACCTAATTTGAATTTAAGTAAAAGACAAGTTAGAAAAGGTGAAAATAAGGATGGATTATATTGCACTAAACAGTAAATCTACAAAGTCAGAGATCCTATTTTATTCAAATAGGTTGACATATTGATGATGATTGAGATTCCCGGAGTCCATCTCTTCCTCCCCATGACTTCACGTGCGTTCACGTGCTGCAAAATGGACGGTGACTACCACGTTGAAGAAGTTGCCGTGCTATAAGCAATCGAGCTGAATGGGAATGGAATATTATCAGCGTCTCGATCTCAGTCCAAGTATATTTTACTTAAGGTGGAAGAATGAGTCCAAGTCCATCTGAGATTTACTAAATTGTTCGTCGGATGTCATTGACTTCAAGCTAGCCTATACCTAAGAATTTAATAAAGAGCATTTTTTTTCAATTAAAGTCATTGTTCTTATTTGTCTATAATTTTTATAATCCTCTAGTTCTATTTATAAGTCACTTCCAACATATTTCATATAAACCAAGAAAAACTTTAAACTTCATTAACTCTTATTTAAAATCTAACAACTTTCCAACTTTATTCTTATTTAATATGCATTACACCTCATATAAACAAAGTCAAACAATAATAAATGAAAGGTAAAATTATACATTTATGCAAAAAATTTCTCTTAGTGCCCTATAAATAGGACTAAAAAATGTCTTCTCTCTCTGCCTTATAAATAAAACCAGAGGAGTAGACTCAATCAATTGTTATTAATTACAAGTATCAGTGATTGGCAGGTGGCCAGGTCGCCACTTTGGTGTCTGAATCTTAAAGAGGTCTTGGGATACCCGGCCAATACTGCTACAGCACATCTGCAAAAGATGGGATACCCCATTACTGCAACAGAATCACGAGCAAGGTGAAAGGTGCCAAAAGAAAATTTAAAACTACAATAAGAATAATGTTCCCTCTCAACTTGAACCAGGAAAAAGAAAAAGGAAAGAAGGCAGTTGTGTAATGGAACAGAAGATGATGATAGAGGAGAAGGGATAGTAAGCTTTTGGATGGGCAGGTCAGGTGGTCCAATGGAAACTAGCATTAGTGTGAGATGATGGATCAAAGGAGGGAATAACATTGGAGAATATATCAGAACACAGAGAACTCACATGGCAGTAGCTTAAGGAATAGTTTGCATATTTAATTAGTTCTTGTGTTTGATGCCTTGCGTATGAATATTACTATGAACTGCTTCTGCTGGTGTACCCTTCTTGGCAGGAGCAGGAATACATAAGGTATAAAAGTAAGAGAACAAAAGGGCTGAATTAATCCATTCATCTATTTTGCTCTTTAAATCTGTGGGAAAGCGAGCCTTCCACACCCACTCTGCGTCTCTTTTCTTTTCTTTTCTTTTTTCCTCTTCCTTTTGGCTTATTCTTTCATATTTCTGCTTAATCTCCTGTTTCTGTCCTTTAAAAGTACCTTGTTTCTTCCACTAAACAAATCTGTTCTCGCCCTTTTGCCATGCATAACTCTACTGTTACATTCAATGCCAAAACCACTATTTTCTTTTCCTTTCAAAAAATGGAACAAGATGGAAAAAGAGATTAGGTCGGCAATAATTGCACTTTCAAAGTTCAAAATTTAGGAAGGTCAAAGTTCTGAGACTTGAAATTTTATCCTTTTCGCTTATTCAATGTGTTGATTGGCCCTCCACGGCTTTTGCCCGTTTCTTTTAACAAAGTTTTTGGGAGAATCGATAAGCTGAACCAATCTGTAGGATGAGGTGCCACACAAGGCATTAATACTTGTAGTTCTGTGAAAACAACTTTTAAAATCTGTCAAAAGTATTATGCGCATTGAGAAATCACGAGTTCAACACTACTTTACTCACTTGATTAGAAGCTGAACTCAAGATCCGGCTTATAATGATAATTATTATTATTATTTTGATTCTGCACTGCAAATCATTGAACTCAACCCCTATGTCCTGGGCTTGATGTCAACACCGGCCTTTTAATCATTCTTAATGAGCACCAAACTGATGCTTTGTTCCCTGAAAAGCAGCAAACTGACACCCTCCATTATGTATTCATATATGCCTCACATGGGCCACCCACATCATTTGCTTCATCTTCACCACAATCCACCCATCAATTTTCTCCATCCAATTCAACTCCAAATAAACTATACATACACACTCCACATTACAACACTCATCAATGTGAAAACCAAACATCCAAGGATGATTAGCCGGGTGCGTTTTTCTGTTAGTTTAACTTGCATTCTATGGGAAACAATGGGATTGGAATTAGTAAAAGGATTTAGTCCTAATATAACGAAATAGTGTTTGAATTTTTACTAAGAAAAGTATTTGCATTTAGCACTACCAGTGCCTCTAACAAGACATAGATGTAGAAAAAAAAATCTGAATCTATTGGGTTTTTGTTTGCTTGTTTGGTGTGACAGTTTTGGAGTGCCAACACAAAATTTAACGTCCAACAGTGACTAAGGACAGACCGTGTTGTTTTATTTCATCAATTTAATAGTAATGAAAATTTTGGTCAGTGAATAAAAGGGAAGTCTGTTCCCTCTTTTGGTGGACTAAGAAAGTGGAAACAAAAAAGAAAATCGCCGCAGAGAATCTCTTCAAAGTTTGTCATTTTTTATTATTATTTCAATTCAATGTCATCCAGCAGGCCAACCCCCCCCCCCCAATCACTTTCCCTAGTTATTTTAAAAACAAAATATTAAAAAAATTTAAATCAATCTCACCCTTTCTTCAAATGCACTCCTCCTGTTTAATTTGTCTGAACTGCAGTGTAACTCACTGATTTTTTTTTGGGGTCCGGGGTTTTTTTTGGGGGGGGGTGTTTACTTATGTATATAAATATAAATTCTTCTTTTTTTTCAAGCTAAAATTTTCAAGTATTAATTAATACAGTAAAATGTAGAATCTGAATCCGTCATAATTTTCAAGCGTTGTAACTAAATTCCAAGGCGGGGCAAGGGTCCCTAGGTTCAAAGAGGGAAACCCCCACGCCATCCTCAATGCATGTGGAGAGTATGGTTCACGCGCGATAATATGGAGTTGGAGAATCGCGGGGATGAATCAAGAGGGGAAGGGTAGGCACGGACTACCATTAAACCACTGACACGCCTCACTGCCTCCCTCTCCCCAAACCAATACCCTTCCTACCCACATGCCACGTCACCACCCTCTCCGACTATTTATATTTTAAAACTAATTAACAGCACATCATTTCATACAAAAATGATTTATAAAATACACTTCTCCGAGATATAATTTTTTCACGGATTGAAAGGAAATATATATTACAATAATTTTTCCCCGAAAATACACAGGGGTATGTGCATTTCTGTGAGTATACATTAGTATTAAAGGACACATGGACAACTGTAAAGGGTTTGCACATTGAAATTTAACATGGCACCTGCTGGTCCTTGTATGAATCAGAGGGGCTGAATTTAATTCATTAGTACTCATTTCGTCCTTTAAATATATACCAAATATTTGCGGTCTGATAGAGTGAGAGGAATTGCTTGCATCCAACGTGTTTGTGCTATTCCGGTGCTAATATATGATATTTTCTAGAATATAGTATTCTTGATCCATATTATAAGATGTACTGTAAGTAATAATCTACCTTTTTCACCTCTGACAATTACTCTTCTAATTGTCTTGGAACCATGTTTTGAGTGGCTGGGTTCATTGTCTTTCATATTATGAAGCTTACATTCTTAAGCTCTTTTTTCTTTTCCAACAAATTTTGCAAAACTTGAAAAGGAGATTGATGAGGGAGGGCCATGATGCGTGGTAAGTGGGAACTTTAAAGTGAATCAGAGCTGGTCAATGAATGGATTGGGGAATGGAACGTCCTTTTCTGGTGTGGTGTACGCTAAAACAATAATTGGCTTCTTTATTAATCCTCAAACTTTTGTCCAGATCTCACATCTTGGACCTTCCCTTCCCATCATTCCTTCCATCCTTAAATGCTGTGATCATAACTAACTACACTCAAGCACCCCCCCCCCACCCAAATCCTACGCCCAACATTGACTCTGGAAAAGGCACATTCATTCGTGAGAATCAAAGCAAAACAAAGAGAATATCAGCATTTGAAATTCTCTACAAAAAATAATGATTAAAAGCCCGTTCGGGCTGTTTATGATTTTTCTCTTTCCCTTGCACATAACTCCCTTCTCATTCAGTGGGAAAAAAAAGAAGGGGGGGGGGGGAGAACAACAAACATAGTTTAAAGAATACATTTACTCATTAGCTTTTATTACTTATCAATGAAATCATTGGAACTGCTACCAGCAACAAAAGAAGCTTCGTCTCTTTTCTACCAAAAGCAATGAGTGCATCCATCACATCGTAATTCTTTAATGTTTCTGCCGCATGCTCAAGAATAATCCACTGCACAGTAAGTGGCAACAGTAACAGACTCTCGAGGCTTCATGGTCACCGAGTAAAAGTATTCCTTATTCACAGCCCGTGAGTTAAGAACTCAAGATATTCTCCATAAGTTGAAGCACATTTCAACACCAATCACATTACCAACTTCATGAGATGCTTTTGGTTTATGAGCCAGAAAAATAAAGGGACGATAGGACTTGGGCGTGCATAAAGTTACAGACTTGGAGCCGCAAAAACATGTGGAGCCAGAGGTGTTGGACAAAACCAGCCTGCAGAATGCAGATGTGACAAAGAGATGTGGAGAGTGATCAGAAAATTTAGAAACAAAACAATTACAGACGAGTTGGGAAAAAGCAATGAAGACAATGAACAACCTTGCTTAGGTCTGCGTGAGTTAAAACGTCTCCATCACCATTGTGGCCAGCATTCCTTGCAGCAGTGTCCATCTGCAACGTGGGGACCAAGTCAAGAATAACAATCAGAAATGCTTAAGACATATGAAGTGCGTAATCTATTAACTTGTCTAGATCGAGGAGTCAACTGACGAAAAATAATATGTACCACTAGTTATACTTAGTCCATTGGTTTAATCCATGAGATGTGTTTAAAAGACATATGAGCAAGATAGGAACATATCATTGCAATCTCTTCGTTGAGTTTTTACCTATTATGGTACAGTATGGCGCCTCGGTTGCCTCAAGTGTCAGATTGATCTCACGGTGGAAGAATTATAGACTTTCATCAGTAGAAATTCAAGTCAGCGTAGCTGTAAGAATGTGAATGTGGCAACAACTCTTCTACTTCAATCCTGGCACTAGTGCAACTGGAGCTCTTTTTGATTCGGCTTCGGTTAATAGACTCGACTTCTGCCAGGAATATGCCATATACTGGTCTATGATCGGAGAATCTTGACTCTCCACGAACATAGGATAATTGGCGGAGGCCCCTTCCGTGCCACAATATACGATCACACCTGTATTAACAAATAGATGGATCAGCTTAGCTTTACATGTAGAACGATATAGTTTCAGAACAATAATCCAGGACACAAATTTTGACTTTGGCATGCAGTTTCATATTTTTGCTCTATGGTTCTTATTTACCACTTCACTTGCACATGAAGAGTGGAGATTTTGGTTTTTCGAGAAAAGAAGAGTACCATGCTGGGGTTCTTCGCTTTTGTTTCGAGCGTCTTTCATCACCTGCATATCTGTCTGAATTATTAGAATACTTGTAGGTGGGAGGAAAATATATCTTCCCTTCATTCCATCCTTCAAAGACACGGCCATGCCTCTGCTCTATACGCAACTGAAAGCAAGAAGTATTAAAATTGCCAGGATGATATTAGAAATTAGTTGAGAAAAGAAAGAAAGCTTTGAAATCAGAATTAGCTGAACAGGGAATAAGAAAGTATCATGCCTGGTCATTCTCTAACAAAGCCTTCCAATTTCGCATCTCAACAAGGGCTTTTGCTGCACGGTAAGAAAGTGCTATCCGATAATTTAAATCCCCCAGCCAAATTATTCGGCTACACCAATTAAACCAAAGAATAAGTTGAGTACATTTTATTGAGGTTCAAATGTTTCAAGCACCACATACAAGTTAAGGATTTGGAAATGATGAGGGCTTACTCATGTTCCAGAATTGTCTGAGGAGAATTCTCATCTCCCACGCCGTGAACCCTGGGAAACCTAGTCTTTCTAAGAATCTCAAGGACATCTGAATTTCTCCTCAGCTCATCACCATCTTTTTGTCCAGAAGTCAAATGACTACAGATGAAGCAAAAGCTTGTTTGGTGCAAAGACATGCTAATCGAAATGGAACCCTGGAAAAACCAACAATTAATTTTTCCTCCTTGTTTGGTTCATCATAAGCAAAACTACGGAAAAATATACATACGAGCTGCAATAGTGTACCTTGTTTCCAAGATAACCCATCAATCCTCTGCCAACACAAGACACTTTCATGTTGTGAACTTCATCTCTGATATCACTTTTCACCCAAACTGTCAAAAATATCCCAACCATTTGCTTGCTGGCAACCAAACAGTATCGTGAGTTCCCTGTCGATCTATCTCTGTCCTCTGCAGAGAAGGAAGCACTGTATGACATTGGTGAATATTGGGTTATAACAGGGGAATCACCAGGTCCATTTTCATCATCTGAGGAACACCATCTATAATTGGGTTCATAGTCGCTACTCCTATGACCGAAGATCATTCTATCACAGACACTGAGACGGCGATCGAGCTGTGATTGTGACAGTGACGTGTCATTGTCCATTCTCATACTGCGACTTAAGGATTGGAAGGACCTCCGGTGGAAGAAAGAGGTTTCCTTCTTCCTCATTGATTCTTCAAAATCAGCGTCTGCCTCTACAAGTGGATCAGGGACTGGTGATGGAGTGTGGCATCCACCAGTCGTTCCAGGAAGACTGTTTAGAGTTTTCCGAATGAGAGCTAGCCATTTTTTGGCAGGGCCATTGTCTTCAGTGCCCAAAACATTACCGGCATTGAGAGGTACAATTTCTTGAAACCTGGGTGCAATACATAGGGGAACAAAATGAATCTTGATCTTGCACTTAACTGAAGGGAGAATACATTCTATGATCAGTAATTTACCCAAGGACATAGATATCAGCAGGTGGAGAGGTGTGGAGCCAATCTTCAAGATTCAAATAGCTCGGGGGAGATTTTCCAGCCACATTCCAAGTAGCAACGAAGATCCTGCATCCATAAGACAGGAAGAATACATGAGAATACAAATTCTTTTCAATTTCCTATTCATATTAATAATGAAGACAGAAAATTACTGCAATAAATTGGAACATGGAGCATACCTATAATTATGCACGTCTTTAACCTGAGAAGCATCAAGGTCAACCTTACCCCGCCGCAATTTGTTCGAGTGTCTCCTGCTGCTTGATCTCCCTATGCATCAGGAAGGGGATTACTTGTTTCAGAGAAATTAGCCGCAGAAATAAACAAGAAAGGGAACTACAGAACAAGCGCCTAATAAGCTTGTTTTCATCTTTATGTTTGTGGGGTTTAAGAATGGTGTGGTCCTAAGCAGTAGGAAATGTTAAGGTGTCTGATACTGAACCTGTTTTGCTTCTCTTGAGAGAGCATGCCTCCCGCTCTGGATAGTTGCTTCTCCACTCTTCATCAACACCTAAAACAGAAAAACCATGTTAAAGCTGTGTTCTTTCTACTGTTAATTTATCACCCCGCTCATAGAAACGCAACAAAAACTATCACATTCTTGGGAAATCATTGAACAACTAAAACAAAAGAGATCAGATCTCGAGCTGAAAAAAACAGACCCGATTAAAACAAGACATCATGTTATATATAGTTGCAGAACAACGATGCAAGTTTGTTCCAGGTTCTGAAGAATATATGGAAAATTCAGTTTAAAAGAGGCAAGAGAAATCTCGTTTTCGTTTGACGCACAGAAGCCAATATTCCAAATCATGAAGCCCTAAACTACATTCAAATCATGCGAGAATTAACCAATCACCTCCACAAAGGACATCGTCTGCGTGAAAGTCCTCGCCTTTGCTCTTGATATTGAACCACTTCTTGACCAATGTTTTGGGCCACGAAAACTTCACCAAGAACAACAGGAGTCAACCATTGATCTGAGAATATAAATGCAACAGATTTTAATGGAGAGCTGGTGTTTCCCAAACCTTGCTTTTCTTCGAGTTCTCATCTCTCATTGTTGAGACAACTTCATATAGCTATCTCTAATTCAATAACAATAGGTATACGTATTCCTTCGATGTTTACTATGTTTTATCTCTCGGGTCTTAGCTTAAAGAGGATTCAGAGTATGAAAAATGGAGCAGGAGAGTAAATGACTGTGCTGAACCTCAGTTCTGAACCAATATCCTTGACACACGGACTCCTGTTCAATCCCTGGCTCTGATCATTTATCAGTTCAAACAATCCGAAGTGGAGGGAAGGAAAAACAATGGCTTAGATGACCAAAGCAATGTGCCGAAAGTTTGGTATGCGACCATAGGGAAGAACAAAACAAAGGGGCGAACCTCTGTTCTCAAGTAACGTGGAGAAAACAAGTTAAAGAACAGAGTGAATGGTACCGGATGCAGTTACAAATCGAAACACATAATAGGTCGTTTCACTTCCATTCCTGTGTTTCTGTCTCTGGAGAAAAACAAAAGAGGAAAGAAAGTAAATTGGAAGGGACCGAAGAAGCAAAGAGGGAGGCAATGTGGAAGTTATGGCACTGTGGGGGTAGAAGAAGACAATGTAGAAGGACTACATAGAGAGAGAGAGAGAGAGAGAGAGAGTGTGTGTGTGTGTGTGTGTGTGTCTGTTAGAGAGAGAGAATTTCTGTTTTGCAAAACCTCGTTCACAGTCGAGAGCCAAGTATGGAATTAGCAAGGACAATAAAGTGGAGGCAGCCAAGTTTCGGCTTCTCTGTCTCTCTCTCGGGCTTTCACTTCAAATCCGACCCAAGCTTAAGGGGCTGTGGTTATATTGATCAATGCCCACCCACTCACCCAAACCTGCTTGAACTCTCCCTCTCTCTCTCTCTCTGTGCCCACGGTCAGCAAAGGATGCTTTGATCTAATGCCCAAACACAAGCAGCAGTACTTGTAAGCAACCCATGTTCTATTTTTGGTCTTGTTAAATGAGAAAGCACGTAAAGAAGAGTAAAAGATAAAGAGGATGGGTGGAGGGTCTGCTCCTTTAAACTCTCTTATTTTAACATATCTTTTACACACAAAAACAAATTTTGCATGTTTGTGTTCCCTACACGATCTGGTAGATATCTAAAAAGCTTCGGGTATGTTTGCTTGGATGGAAGGAATGTTTCATGCTCGGAAGTAAATTTTTTTGTAATTTGGTCTGTGGTGAGATTGCAGATATCCAAGCCTATGTTCTGGATTTTCATTTTCCAAAGTGTAGGGGGAGATGTTTCTATTCTCATGCACTCATTCATATAGATCTCGCGACAAACCAAAAATTGGTTTTGAAGAATTCATCGGTTCTACAAATGTCTCCTCTAAACCCCATTCTTTGCTTTTGGTGTAGAACAACACCCAAGCGTGGTAGTGAATGTTAAGAGTGGTGCCCGAGAAGACAAAAAGGCAAATTTATCAAATACTGGGGGGAAGGGGGGGAGGGTTTCTTGTATTGAGCAATTCACATATCGTTTGCTTAAAAGCACATGGATTCATGTATTGAAATCATGCTTTTAAGGGGAGTGACGCGTCCTCCGATGAATCACTTGAATACAGTTTCACACGAATGCAGGATCTTGTTAAGCAACGAGGAGGTTTGATTTTGCTGCTTAGGCCACGCGATCTCCTTGAATTTTGTGAAACTGCCAACAAAATCCTAGTTTAACAACACCTAGGCACCAAAGTAACGTCTCTGTTGAAGTCTCCACTCTCCACCCCTTTTTTGTTACGCTAACGCCACATGTGGGAGACTGTGTCTGCAATCCCCCTGCTCTTCTTTTTTTTTTTTTTCCTCCAAAGAAAAAGAAAGGGTTTTAAAGAAGGGGGTGAAATAAAAGCATTAAACAAATAAAGTTGACGGCAGAAAGCCATAAGGAGGCATAGCAGCGACCTCACTAGACTACCAGGCTCCGTGTGTTCATAGGTAGCGAAGCCTTGTTCATGTGGTTCTCCAAATATATATAAAAAAACATGCATAAGTTTGAATGAGTGTTTACTTATTTCACTTTTGGGGTCAGCAAGAAACTATTACAAAACACAGAATAATCCCATCAGGGAAGGCACGTACATGGGAGTTCCACTCCCTCCACACGAAACAGTAATGAGTACGAGGTGTCATAGAAACAATGAAACAATAAACATAGGAAGTTAGGAACCATTGAATGATGGAAGTGAGCTGCAAGATTTCATTTAAAACTAGAGCTTCAACAGTTGAAATTTATTAGTATGGCTGAGATGTGAGGTGGGCGTAGGCAATTTGATGCCTAGAGGAAAAGGCAGAGTAAGAAAAATGAGAGCAATGGGACCCGATTCCTAGAATCCCTATCTATGTATCTGCATCACCCCCCCCAACTTGATTCTTTTCACTTGACTGCTCACAAACAGAGATATAGAGAGAGAGAGAGAGAAGGATTGCATTGTGAAGCAGATGAAATTGAAGTCAATCGTCATCCGCGGGTGACAACTTATAATTGGCCTTCAATAATGAAATCTCAATCATGCCTCATCTGACTCTTTCTTAGTCCTTTTCTCCCCTAATTTTTTTTTTTTTGGGGGACGGGGGCTTTTTAAATTTACTTTGCTTGTATGCTACACTCTACCTGAATCTTGCACGTGACGTGGTTGTCATACTGATGTAGCCGTTCAATTATTTAAACCTTGTCCATCGCATTGCATTTCATCATTCAAACACACTCCTTTTCTCCTTTCCCATATTTGAAAGAATCCCAAATAAGTTTTCTTTTCTGGGCAAAGGATAATATTATAAAGCATAAACGAGACCTTTACAGGAATTTTTTTTTCACTTAAAACAAATCAAGAAATGTAGATCCAATGGGTAGGGGTTTCTGTAGAGATGAAAGAGGCAGTCAAAAGATGCATCTTTAATTCTACTTTGGCCAAAGTATCTTCTTCTGTTGATGGGGGGAGTGTATAAATTAACTGTGTTCTATAAGGGTTTCTTTTTTCTTTTTCAGCCTTAAAACCTATTCAATCGAGCTCCTACATAGTTTTCATAAATTATACTTTAAACCTCCCAAATTGGTCCTTTCAATTCTTTCTTCCTCTTTTCCGCAAAATCTTGGAATGGCTTCATCTTTCCACCCACCTCATTTATACTTGGGGACGTAACTTCATGAAATCTTCCAAAGCACACAACATATGATCATATATAGTACACTCTGTTCAGTGTGCATATGCAGGAAATCATTACTTCTTAGCATAAGGTTAAAATGGTAGGATGAAGAGGGCCACTCTAGCAGCCGGGATGGGATTTTTTTTGTTTTTTGTTTAGGGTTACTCGGAATTCAAAGATTTGATCAACCAACATCTTTTAAGGGCGATGCTAGAGAAAAGGCTGAGGAAAAGAACAGTGTCGTCGCTTGCTAAAGATGGGTACGAGGAGAGGAGAGAATGAAGCAGGCTTGTCGCTTTGTTTATTGTAAACACATACACCTTGCCCCCCCAGAGCTCCATTGTTATGCTTCTCATTTCCGTTGGCCAGTTTCTGATAATGCCCCACTCCTTCTTCCTAAAGCTTGGGCATGGGCCACAGAAGATGCGGAAATGTGAAGAACAGAAAAAGCAAGATAATGGAAGCAGTGAGATTTTTGGATTGAATCCATATACATGACTATTTGAAATGTAATAATGCTCTATTGACAGGATATTCTGGGAAGAATACCTAAAGTTTTAATCAATGTTTTTACCTCCGAAATATTTTTAAAAATAAAATATTTTTACATGTTATCCTAATTAAACAAACTAATCACATATCATAATTAAAAATCATAAATTTATTAAATATGGAATTTTTTTTGGTACTAGTAAATATAAAAGACTAATTAATGTAGGAGTACAAAAATTAAATATATCTATTGTATCACTGTGACTAAGTAACTTATTCCGGCAAAAAAGACTAATTAAGGTAGGAGTACAAAAATTAAGGAAATACTTGGCATTCCGTGTACTTTAATTTAATTTATTTATTTTATTGAATGTGTGTTAACTAATTTTAAATAAAATGACATTAATAATTGTGAAGTAGCAGTTATTACCCCTCGGGGCAATTCTTCTCCGCAATGATTTAATCGTTTCGCTTTTATTGAAGGATAAAGAGTAAAGAGGACAAATGGACAATGTGGTGTAATTATTATGGATGAAAACAATAAAATCCCCAAATCTTCTCCCTTCCGCCTCCGCTCTGTTTAAGCTCGTGCCCGTCAGAATTCAGCAAGCTTCAACTCGACGTCTTCTATCGCTGACACGGTAATCTTTAGATTTCTTTGTTTGTTCCAGCTCTCGCTTTGTGCTTCTGTGTTTTCTTGTTGTTGAGCTAAAATTTACTGTCATCGGGCGTTTGTTGCCCCTAGTTTTTCATTATTGTGATTGTCACCAGAGCGCAGTATTTCATCACGTATTGGTGTGCTTGTTCATAGAATCAATCTTCCACTAAGTGGGTTCTCTTGTGGCTGCTAAAAACTGATCACGGCTTGTTGGTTTATAATTCATTTGCCAAATGCACGGTCTTTCCGCTATATTTCTGCTGAAGTCCTTTCTCTCTCTTTTCTTTTGAAAATTTATGACTTTTTTTTCACATTGCTGCATGGTGTAGTTCTCAGCCTCTGTAATGATTCTTATGGATATTTGAAAACATTTTACGGATTTTCTGTATGTTTGATGATTTCCACAATTTGATGTATTTATTCATGCAAAATTTAGTAGTTTCCTTTTCAACATCTTTTATAGGATTTATTAGGTGATAGGAGAGTAATTGAATGGGAGTTCTATCACTTTTCTCAGTGTTAGGGTTAAAAATTTATATTTTAACTGAATAAATTTCTTTGGCACTCTGAAGATCAGTTGTACGTCTTGGAGTTTTCCCTTCATGTTATTGCTTTCCTGGTATTGCTTTGTTATGTGTGTTTGTGTGTGTGTGTGTGTGTGTGTTTTTTTTTTTGGGGGGGGGGGTGGGTTGGGAATCTTAGAGTTTTGCTAATTTCATTGAAGCAATGAGGCTTCCTACACGCAAAAATGCTTTTCATTTCGCATCCTTTCCCTGGGGGGTCATGACTCATGACATTTCTCCCTTGTCTTGTCCCACAGATTAATCGTTGATCTCAGTAACTATGCCATCTCTTATGTTGTCTTGGGGGTTCTGTTGTGCCACTATTCTTGGATTTATAGTATGAAATACGTTTTAGGCTGCTAGTATCCTCTATTTGATTCAGGGGCTGTCCTATTGATTATAAAACCCTCATGATAGCGTTGTTGTTGAATCACAATGGGGTCCGTTTGTGTGTGAATTATGAATGCCTTATGACATTTATACGCTGCATTTCTTAGCAAGAGAATTTATAAGGTTTTAGCTTTCTTTTTTCTTGTTTCGTGAGGACCATGGTAACTCTTATTTTTTAGTCTTTTTTTTACCAAATATTTCTGAGTCTTGAAAACTAGGGCACAGAGCCCACAAATGTTATTGGGATTGTTTGACAAAACCTGGGGTGCTAATATGTTCTTTGCATGTTTCATTCTCAAGCTCAAGTAAACAATCTGATCAGATCCTTTATATTTTGACAGAGTTTTCTTACTATGAAGAGGGCAATGCCGTGGAGTGATGATGATGAGGACTCATCATCAGATGAATCCTCATCATTACATTCAGATTCCGAGCACAATAGTGAAACTGGAAAGAAAAAATCAAAGGGTATTTGCCTACAATAACATCTTCTCAGTTGATAATCGCTTGTAATCTATGTTAAAGCCAAATATGTTCAACCTCGCAGTAAATTTTCTGCTGTTAGTAAAATACATAACTGAATCTTGTATACAGCTTCCAGATATCCTAGTTCCTTGACCAATGAATGTGCATTTCTGTCCACTGTGATTATGACAAATATACATATTTTGTGAATAAATGTGTCGACAAAGATGTGATCCAAATTTGACGGAATTGGTCACCATACTCATGACTGTTTGCTGTGGTGTAGTTGTTTTAGGTAGTAAATTTTAACACGTAAGACAGGATTTATTGAACTTTGTCTGTGGAAGGGAATAAAATTATCCCTTCCAAAAATGGTTTTTGAAAGATGATAAATAATAACATGGAGTAGAAATTTCTGCAACTGCAAAATGGTAACCTTGAGTAATAGAGTTCCCAGCTTGAGAACTTATATTTTTGGATAGCTTCATGCTCTATTGCTTTTGAAGCTCAGCATCATCTTGAAAATTTTCTCTCTAATTTTGTTCCTATGTAATTTTACTTTGCTATCGGCATAACTGTCTGCAGATAAATCTAGAGAGCAGAAAAGCAAAGCTATTGATTTTGAAGCTTTAAAGCGACATGGATTTAAAGGTGGACCTTCAGTCTTGAAGGTACCCCCACCAAAAGAAGGGGACAAGGAGCAAGATTGGTCTTGGTCTACTGGACAGGAAAGGCGTGACAACAAAGAGGTTGAAGAATCATATGAAGAAAGACAGAAAACAAGAGCTGCTATATCCCTTGGGGAGCAGCTTTCAACGGTTCAGACTCAGAGAGAAAAGAAGAACATCTCCTTTTCTCAGAAGGAGAAGAGAAAAAGAGAGCTTGGTCAGGCAAGCCGAGGGAAAAATTATGTTGAAGAAGAGAAGAGGTTGTTGAGGGATAGTGGTATATATTCTGGTTTTGATACTTGATAAACGGACCTAAATTCTCTTCATCGTGTATAATGGTACTTCTTTGGGATCCCATGCGCTGAAAAGATTTGGTTGGAGCCATGGTTTCTATCGATACTTGAAAACTCGGGATAATCCATTATGGTTTCAAGGGAAATTTGGAAATGCAATTCTTGTAGTTTTACCATTTAGATAGCGCACAATTGAGATGGCGTGGGCAGTTGAACTTGTTTTCCATTTTCATTTTACTTTGCTAGGAGGCGTCTTTATATTACTCCGTAGGAGATGTGCTTCGTTCACTCGGAGCCCCTCAATTTAATAATTCAATTCAATTCAATAAAAAAGAAAATATCCTGCTGGTTAGTGTTATTTCCCGACTTTCCGGCTCGGCATCATTGTTTCGAACTGGTGATTTAACTGGAGGAGCTAAAATGCTGCCACCATCAAGCCAAGAATTCGAATGGCTTTATTTGTATGTAGCCTTGCCCGGTCATGATACCAAATCATTTGGAAGGCAAAGAGATCTCCAGAAGCAAAAGCGAGCGAATTCCTTCCTTTTTTTTTTGGGGTGGACAAAGGCGAGCGAATTTAAGGTGCAGTTATTTTCATAATTTTAACATCGTCAAACAAAATATCAACATGACATTTCAACAGGTCTACGGGTTCACACGTCAATCATGTCTTCTTTCTTCTAGAAAATAAAATAAACGGGAGTGGAAAAGCCAAACATTTTTCCGTAGGTGTTGAGACTCATCTTGACTGAGACCTGCACAACGATCCTCAAGTTGAAGGTGGAGCTGGCATCAAGGGCAAAATGCTGTTTACACCACAAGTGCAGAATGGTTAAGCAAGGTCTTCCCACCTCAAAATGCCCAGAGGAGCAACATGACACAGCACCATCTGCCAGCCTTGTCAGGCATTCGAACACTCCATGCCGGATATGTGAGGGAAGTCACTCCGCGGCTAGAGTGGCTGATCTGCGGGAGAGTGTCCTGTATATGCCTTTGATAGTAGCTGGGTTGTTCGGCAACAACCTCCTACAAGAGAGGCTCCCAGCTCACACCATTTACTTACATACGATACAAAATCGTCATCTGAAACCCCTGTGTTTTCCTGTATCAATAACGTACAATTAATACTATATGATTCACTATTCACCAATTATGCGAAGAGTGAAAGCTGTTAAATGATTAGATAGATCGCAATTTGCCATCTTTGCCCACCAACAAATGCACAACTTACAAACTGTCCAAACCAGAGAAAGTGACCCTCCTATTGAAAGAACTAATTAGGCACTTGTGACATAAAAAATAAACACAACACAGCTTGAACGACAGAAAGTGGTGTTCCAAAAATGTGTACAGAAACTGCATTTATTGGATACGATTAAGTAATAGCTAACGCTTATGAAGTGTGCCCATTATGGTCTGAAATCAACGATTAAATAACTCGTTCAGTTTCATCATATACCATATCTTTAAATATATAAACTTGCAAAAAAAGCAGTTACACAGTAATTGCAAGTCCACCACCCAAAAAAAAAAAAAAAAAGCTTCTGAGACAGCATACGCATGTGTCAAGACCATCGTACTGACAAAGAAAGATCAAAATCTTACTCCTCATTTATTACAACTTTTTTCCGCTCTTTGTCCAAGTTTTAATCATCATTTTTAGACGCCACAACTTTATATCTCTGCATCTAGTTTAATTTTCAAAAAGAATATGACCTCTCGATCCTTGAAAAACGATGCAAGATGCAACGGCAGAAGCAGAGAAAAGGAACTTACTACCCACTCCTTTTTGTCACCATCATAGCTTTCCCCACTGTTTGGATAGATAACAATTGGTTTTGTAGTCACCTGAAGGATTAATATGTGAATCAAAGATAAGCACTCTACACAATGGCATCCAACAATATAGAAACTAATTAGCACCAACATTTATTCTTCAGCAAATCAGAAATGGAAGAACAGACGGGTTCAATAACCAACATAGCTGCACATGAACATAAAAACAATATACGGATTTCAAGTACACCTAATCATTTTACCATATGTTGCAAATCTTACGCCCATAACACATGTACCTATTTATTACTATCCATCTAGATAGTAACCGGACGATCAAAAAGAAAAGAGCAGGGCAAGGTAGATACTGGAATTGCAGTAATTCATAAAAACCCAAAGATAAGAAGGGGCTGGACGACATGTTTTAAAATAATTCGAGAAAACCAAGGTCTATAATCGAGACGTGGCATGCGCAAACACACACAAGAAACACACACAGGAGTAAATAATTCAAATTCAATTAGGTATTGGAGAGCCAGTGATATACCTTCTTAAGCGATAATATTAGGCCATGTATAAATCTAGGGGGAGTGCAGTTTATTCCAACAGCAATAACTCCTTTGCATGACTCGGCAATGGAGCCGCACTCAGCCAAAGGATCACCACTAACAACATTAATTCCGTCCTTGGAGTTAAATGAAAACCATGCAGGAATCTTTATGTTTTCTTCTTCTAGAAGCTTTGCGTAAGCCTGAACAATAAACCACCATGGTTACTGAGAGTCAAGACCAGAAGGAAAAAATCAATGGAAGTGAAGACCATTAACATTCCAAGCTTAATGTTCTCCATCACCTACTGGGTTTTTGTCCCATTCCAGAATACTCGATATGCTCAATTACTTCTCGTCTTTAGTGTCTTACACAATATGTAAGATTAATTGCACTGCAATTGCACCCTCTCTAAAATGGAAAATTACAGCTTCCTCAGTTTCTTGTCATCAATCTCAGCAAATGGCACATTTTGAGATCGGGCTTTTATAGTGATAATGATTAAGAGATAGGGGTTTCTATAGTGAGAACGGTTAAGAGACAGAAATTCTATTGGGAAGACTATTTCAGAACAGGGGGCTTCTGTGGTGAGAAGGGTTAAGAAACAGAAATAAAGCCTCGGTTATGAGAAAGACTAAAATAAAGACTGTTCTAGATAGTGAAATCAGTTGTTTTCTTTTCTCTCTCCAGACATCTTGCATGAGACCTTACAAAGTCCTTCAGTTGCAGTTCACGGAATTCACAAAGGCGCATGAAGAATGATAGCACATATAAGAGTGATCCAAAAATTGCAGAACTGAAATAGAAGCCCTATTACACGCATTTTCAGATTTTTCCTCAAGGATTGCTACATGTTCTTACTAGCTTTGTTAAAAAAATTTCGTTCCCATAAATCAATGATTATGGATCGCATAAAATGCAGTCAATCAAAATAATTCAAAAAATTTACCCGTAACCTTTTGTATTATCAAGTTATTATATTTTAATTCAAAAAGCAATGAAGAGGAGTTTCAGTTCCATTTATCCATCAAGGATTCCAGTTCATATAATTTCCAAAGCTTTGAAGATACCTGAGCTTCTAGCTTATTTGGCACTGTTTCAAATGCAATTAAGTCAGCACCTGAATCAGCCAATATTTGAACTCTTCTCCTATGAAAATCTTTCAGAGTTTCCAACGTGATGCCATCACCATAATCGCCACTGTTAAAAGGGAAACATGAAGAAATGTGATTATTGGCAAAACAAGTTTATGATTGTGTCTATGAAACTCCATTCCTTTTCCAAACTGTTCATAGTTCTTAATTGAGAAGCTCAACAGTGCACATGCGTGCAAGCTAGACAACTGACAGTGTTCAACCAATATTGTGAAGATCATCCGACTTCCATCAACAAGTTCAAATTTACATGATGCCATAAAGAAAGATAATCAGAATTAATGCATTGAATAGAGAAGACTAGTCATATCACCTGTACTCTGAGCCATCAGCCAAATAAGCTCCATAGCTGCCGACTGATGCTGCCACAAGGATTGGACGTTGTTTGAAAACTTTTCCATCGTGTTTATCTTCTGAAGAACACGCAGCACATCTTTCATAATATATACGTCGAGCTTCGAGAGCAATTTCAACACTTTTCTTGAGCAAGGCTTCACTTTCTTCGTTAGAAAAGCCTTTGGCTAGAAAACCTTGAATGGTGGCCTATGCACCACAAAACGCCTCAAGTTCGGTTTTAAGAACAGAAACATATAAAACCGCGTCCTTAGCAAGTACTTACCTGATAAGATGCTGTGATTAAAATATCGGCACCATTTTCAAGATAATCAAGGTGTACCTGCTCCATCAAGTAGGTCCGTGAATTATCGAAAGTTTATAACTATCACTAAACGGAACAAAACAACAACAAAAGAAACCCGTCATAAATCCAGTTAAAAGATAAACGGTGAATTTCAGGTTCAGAAACCTTCCTAAAATGGCGATATTGAGACGGAGTTCGCCATAGTTTGCAAAATAGGAAAAACGGATGGATAAATAATTAAAGTAAATTGACAAATAAAACTTGCGAGGTTCGCAAATATGAATCGATCATCTGTGATGCTTGTGTAATATGCCAATAGCTAAGTAAGACTCATCAGCTTCCGGAAAATTGACAATTTCCACAGAGAGGGCCCACTGGTCTCTTGGAGTGGATATTGGGAACAATTTTGGATTCCAAGAACCACTAAATAACCCAACACTGTTAGTTTCAATCCAGGAAAGTAGTACCTCACGAATAAGGTGGGGTGAGGCGAGGAGGCATTTGGCACTCCAGAGAGGATCGTTGAGGTCGGCACCGTGGCGTTCGAGCTCCGTCGCGAGGCCGCCGTCGATGACGGCTGTGCCGCCTGCCTGGCGAAGGAAGTCAGTGAGCAATGATGGCATCGGGCGGGCGCGATAGGGTCAATGAACCCAGACGTTGGAGCGCAGCGCTGAATTTCCAAATGCCTCACCCTACTCCCCAGATCAAAGTATACTGTCCCATTCAACTCGCCGTCATAGTTCACAGTACCATGTTTCTGGGATCTATCGAATGATTAACTACACTGGTAGCTTTATTTCATTCTTAATTTAATGAGGAAATTGCAAATAAAAACCCTCTCATATGTACATTATGATTTGGGACCCTTAATTTGAAAAATAGCAGATAAGACCCAGTCTCATATTGCAAATTTGAAATCTTAGTGAAATGTCTAAAACCACCCCTCAGTCAAATGATAAGTTTACTTTAGCGAATGATAACTTCAGTAAACTAAACCACAACTTGGCTAAGGATATGCCAAATAACAAGTTTACTATAAGAAATGACAAATTCATTTTAGTGAATGACAACTTCAGTAGACCAT